TAAATATATTAAAAAAAGTATAAAAAATAGTTAAAATATATTTAAAAAATTAATAAATATTACTATTTTTAAAATATATAATATTTAAAAAGAAAGGTATTATAAAGGTAATAATATTAATATTTATAATTAAAAAATAACTTATTATATTTAATTTAACGCATCTCCCACTTAACCTGGCCACCCAATTGACCTGGCCACCCTAATAACTTATATGAAACCCTATTATTTTAATCTTTAATAACTTTACGAATATTAATCGTACGGTTTAATAATTAATACCGTTAAATCTATTAGTTAAAGGGGAATCCAACGGTATTTTTTACTATTTTTTTACAAAATCTATTAAGCGAGATATTAAGCAATACGCTAAAGGGGCACTAAGCAGGGATTAATTTAACGCTTACTTTAGCGTATTGTTTAATAACTCCGCAAATATAAGTCGTAAGAATTAGTAAAGGGTACCGTTAAATAGCACTTTTTATTACGAATCTAATGGTATACTTTATTGTTTTATACGACTATTATTTGTAGAGTTATTAGATTATCACGTGATTAATGCACCGACGTTTATTGTATGGGCTAGTGGGGTGGCTAGGTCAATTGGGTGGCCAGGTTAAGTGGGAGATGCGTTATTAAAAATAGCTTTAAAAATTATAATTAAAATACCTTTTAAAAGTTAATAATTATAAGCTAATATATAAAAATTAGCTTAAACCTTTTTTTCGTTTAATAATTTATTATAAAGGCTATTTTTTATAAAGGTTAATAAAGCTTTTAATAAAAAGGTTAAAATTATTACATTTTTATAAATAAAAATTAAAGCATTAAAAGTTAAACTTTAAAAAAATATTAAGGTTAAATAAAAAGTAATTAAAATAAGTTCTAATAATAAGTTTATTTATATAATATATATATAAAAAGTAAAATATAAATTATATAATTATTTAATATATATTAATAAAGTTAATAATTAATATATTTTAAAATATAAGGATATTAATATAAAAGAAGTTATTAAGGTTAGAAATAATAGATTTAATTAAAAACATTAAAAAAAGTATCGCGAATAACGTATTCGTTAAGAAAATTGCTTTAGAAGTTGGGTAATTAGTAGGCAGGGGGGGTGGTCGTGATAGGGGGTGGTCGTGAGGCAGGGTTTTTGCTTATACAACCAGACGACAACGGGGTAAAGCCCAACAACCGGCTCTTCGTTGTCGAAGACCTATCCAGCATGGTTATAGAGCTTCTAGGCTTCGCGTTGGACATAGATCCTCTCTTCTTCCGGTTCCATCTGGAGGATCATACGTGGTTCAATATCAAAGACGACTGGATTGAGATGCCGGAGCTTGAGTCCCAATCCTACAAGCGCGACTTTGTGACCATCAAGTTGTCACGGAGGGGTAGATACGGAGCGGTAGAACCTTATTACGGAGATCGTCTATTTATAAAGGGATCTCTTATAGTAGGCTTACAGGTTAGAACTTACTATAGACCTTAGATCATCCTAATAGACTTCAACTGATCGCCTCATGAAGGAAGCGCTGGTTCACTTCTTCCAGAGACTCCACACCTCTGTGAGACAAGTACATGCAGCCGCGCTTCTTCGAAGATTCGACGTGTCACAGGCTGCTAAAGACGCGGCGGGAAAGTAGAACGTCCTCCGGCGAATCGACTTCGAAGGCCAGGTTAAATCGGGGAAGAATGCCTGGTGGGAGGATTCACCACACGAGGTCGGCCTCCTGCGACGCAAAGTGAGCATATGGAGTCGCAAGCAAGGAAACGATTGGACTGGTGAGTGACCTACTGCAGATGTTTCAACTTTGAGACTTCGTGTCTCGGTTGTATAGTGGCATTTGCTGACTCCTCATCGAACCGCAGGGGTCGTTCTCGTCGATTCTTCCATCACCGCAGGACACCCTTTATGGAATGGATATGGCAGACTCGATATCCCCCCCAGTATGTCGGCCTCTGCTGAATCTTTGATTTCCAAGGAGCCTAATACGCCCATTTTCAACGCTCTGTTGTCCTGCCTTTCGACGTTTAGGCCCGAAGATCGCGCCCGTCTTATGGCAGATCCGGAAAACATTACGTCCTATGTGTATCCGATGGTGTTCGCGGAGGTCCTTGTGACACTTGAGTACACCTTTATATGACTTTTTCAGGTTGGGTGGCAGTTCGACTTGGAGCGGACTCGCAAATTGGATGACCATGAAACGGCTTTCGACAGCTTTCATAAGTGGCAGCGCCGCCTACCCTTTTATGTGGCCTGGGCCCGAGGCGCCATTAACGGCCTTGAGAGCCGCTACGGTCTGTCGGCCGCGCTGTCTCCCTTCGCTATCACCAATCCGGGTAAGCTACTGCATCTTTAATTCACCGGCGTAAATACAACATTGGCTACGAAGAAGTCATTGGAGTGGCAGGCTAAAGTTCGGCGCGACTTTGTTCCACTGCTTGCGCGTTTGTAGACGCTGCAGCAGCAGGCCGACAAGATTATGAAAATGGCCGTGGCCATTATCAGCGTAGAGGAGGGCAAGAAGGCCGTCGACGAGAGCCGCAACATGAGCCGTATCATCTACCTCGCCTTCGTTTTCGTGCCCCTGTCGTTTGTCACGAGCCTGTTGTCAATGAGTCCAGACATCAGTCAAGCCCGGGCGCTGGCTTACGGCATATTCTTCGCCGTCTCTGTGCCCATCAGCCTCACGGCCCTCTACATCTCACTATCTTGGAACAGGATCATGGTGTGATGGGAGAAGCGAAACGCAGTGAAAAGACGGCGAAACAGGTGACGACGACGCGTCTGTAACAGGCCACGGGAAGGGTATTCCATATGACGGGCCAGGGAAACGACGTCGCGTCGTTATATAGAACGAACGAGGGTGATCATTTACAGCTTGAGCCGGTCAAGTCGTGAGGAGATATTTCTGAGGTGTAAATGAAAGGAACAGCCTGAAGTAACGAATAGCGAATCTTTTTCCTTGTACCAGTCTAGCTAAACGAATGTATGATTGACAATAGCCCGATAGCCTGATACACAGGAATCTGATTAAGGTGTACCTAACTTTCATACCCGAATTCAGCACACTATTCAGCTAACTCGTATGTCTTCAAGTTGGATATTGAATGTTTCCTCGTAACTTGCAGCTGAGCCGAGCGAACAGGACAGGGTTCGCGTGTGTCACGATGTAGCACCTAGTGTTAGCTCATTGATCGAATGAGTGCGTGACTGATTGATTGATTGACATGCACCGCTATGCACAGCAGAATAGTGGAGGGCGGATGTTTCAAGGCCAGCGGTTTGCCCATGGCGAAAGTAAAAAGAGATTTAGGTATCCTTCGTCTCGGTCTTAGCGCCATGCTCAAGCAATAGCTTAATAACCGCCGTATGCTTTTTCTCGGCGGCCCATGACAGAGGCGTCCGATAAGATTTATCCATTGTCTCGATCTCAGCGCCATGCTCGAGCAATAGCTCAACAATAGCTCTATGCCCCTTCTCAGCAGCATGCGATAGTGGCGCCCGGCCCCTAAAGGTATCCTTCGACTCCAAATCAGCACCTTTGTCGAGAAGCTGTTTAACGATAGCAGCATGTCCGTTTTTGGCCGCCCACAACAGTAGCGTCCTCCTGTGGCGCTTTACATTGACATCGACGCCGTCTTCGCTGAGCAGAAGGTCGAATACTGCCTTATGCCCATTTTTAGCTGCCATCCATAGCGGTGAATCGCCTTCACCGTTGACGTCGATGTCTTTTTCGCTAAGCAGCAGTTTGACTACCGCCTTGTTCCCATTCCCAGCTGCCCATGATAGCGCGGTCCTTCTTCTATCATCCACAGCGTTAATATCAACGCTATCCTTGCTAAGCAGCAGCTGGACTGTCGCCTTGTCCCCCTTCGCAGCTGCCAGTATTAGCGCAGTAGTATTTTGGCCATCTTTAGCGTTAATATCGATGCCATTCTCGCCAAGCAAAAGCCTGACTACTGCTTTGTTCTCATTCGTAACTGCCAACAATAGCGCGGTATTATTGCCATCATCTTTAGCGTTAATATCGACGCCATTCTTGCTGAGCAACAGCTTAACTACTTCTATATGCCCGTTCGCAGCCGTCCATAACAGCGCTGTACGACCAAAATCCATCCAAATATCGTCCTCAATCGACCATGATAGTAGTCTCTCATCCTTAGCGTTAATGTCAACGCCATATTTATCAAGCAGCAGCTCAACCACCGCCTTGTGCCCCTTTTCAGCCGCCCACCACAGTAGTATCTGACTGCAGTCCTGTTTAGCGTTAATATCAACGCCATCCTTATTCAGCAGCAGTTCAACTACTGCCTCGTGCCCTTTTTCAGCTGCTTTTGATAATAGCGTTTGACCAAAATAGTCTTGAGCGTTAATATCGATGCCGTCTTTATCTAGCAGCAGTTCTATTATCGCCTGGTATCCCTTCTCAGCCGCCCACCATAACAGCGTCCGACAATAGTTGTGCCCTGTAGCATTCACGTCGACGCCATATTTACCAAGCAGCAGGTCAAACATCGCCTCGTACCCCGCCGTAGCCGCCCACGACAGGGCCGTCTGGCCGTGTTCGTCCTTAGCGTTAATATTAACGCCGTCCTTGCTAAATAATAGTTTGACCACCCCCTCGTGCCCATTCCCAGCCGCTAGCGACAGCGGCGTCCGACCGTGACCATCTTTAGCGTTAATGTCGACGCCTTTCTTGCTAAGCAGCAGCTCGACCAATGCCTCACTGCCACTCTCTGCCGCCCGTGATAGTTGGTCCTCGTAGTCTGAATCAGAGCTCTTCTCCAGTAGGAGCTTGATCACCGGCTCGTGGCGATTCCGTATTGCCCAGGATGCTGGTGTGTTACCATATGAATCCCTGGTGCCTAGACCAACGCCCTCCTTCAGCAAGAGTTGAACTACTGCATCATGGCCATTCCCCGCTGCAAGTAACATTGGGGTTACGCCATCACTGTCCCTCGGTTCCGGGTCAGCGCCCTTCTTCAGCAAGAGTTGAACTACTGCATCATGGCCATTCCCCGCTGCAAGTAACATTGGGGTTACGCCATCACTGTCCCTCGGTTCCAGGTCAGCGCCCTCCTCTAGTAAGCGTTGGACCACTGCCTTGTGCCCCCTCTCTGCAGCCCACCACAGCGGTGTCTGTCCCTTGAGAGAGAATACCCCAGTAGTCTCCGAGTTCGGGTCAGCTTTGCCCATTTTGAGCAGTAGCCCGACCACTACCTCGTGTCCTTGTTCTGCTGCGTATGACAATGGCGTCCGTGTATACGGTCCCCTTGAGTCCGGATTGACTCCGTTCTGCTCGAGTAATAGTTCGACAACCTTATCGTGGCCGCTTCTCGCTGCCCACAATAGCGGTGTCCCTCCGAAGGAATCCTTGGGGTCCGGATCATGCCCATTCCGCATCAAGGCCATCACTGTGTCCCTTAGTCCAAAGTGTGCTGCAAGGTGTATCCCTTTCACTTGTTTCACCATATAGTTGCGATTGACTACGTACCGTGTAGATAACACTATTATCTGACTGGAGGCACACACCTTGTCCTCTTGCCCAAGAAAATTTAGAACCAGTGGTTCCGCCTCCATCGAGGCTGCTTGAACATGGTGTCCCCAATTCTGTGCGGCATATTTATAGAATGGATATCCATATTGATAGACTTGGTTGGTATATTTGTCGTGTGGATACGGATTTTGCCAGGGGCCGGCCCCAAACACGTTAAAAGATAAATAGGCCAGACAAGTGTTGGCAATATCTTGGTCAGCGTTCAGGAACCAACGATCGTGTTTCTGCTTGAAGTCTTCCTGCTCGAAGTATTCCTGTGTCGTATAATGGACCAAGCGGATGATCTTGCTCTCTTCGTCGACCGTAACTAATCCAGCGCATACTGAGACCATGGTTTCAATATCTGTGAAGTTTTGTTCGTCAAGCTCAGTCTTGCCAACTTCCACAGCGAGCGCATGCTGAAGTTCGGATGTGGTCAGCGGCCTCTTGGCGCAGGTGATCCATGACAGAACTCGAGTGGCCATCCTCTTCAAGCCTAGCTTCTGACTATTGATTCTCTCCATGGTTTGGTCGTATGCATCAGCTAGCATTTGGACCTCCCTATCTTTGCCTAATCCCTGGCTTCGTTTCCGGATGTATTCTAACGCATCTCTGATGGCCTTTGGTGTTGTTTTGTCGTCAAGCGTATCAAGGTAGATCTGCGCCAAGAGAAACCTGTAGGACCATCAGCGCGTCCGCGTCTGTTAATGCCAACTGAAAACCTACATTCCATCGACGGCTTCTGAGATTCCCTTCTTAATATCTTCCTGTAGACTTCGGTCACGCCGGACGAAAGATAGTAGCTTATCCATGTTGCCTTCCAAGTATCTCTCCACATCTTCCCTGCTTGCACGAATCTCTAGAATACTGGATTTGGGCTGATCAACGATCTCCGGAATAGATCTTGAAGTCACGAAGATTTTCGCCCCCTGTCTTGTCTGGAGGTTGAAGAGCTCTTCCAGGAAGCTCTTCCTGTCGGATGGCTGACATTCATCAAGTGCGTCGACGATAATGAAGAGTCTCGAATACAATTCAGTCACAGACCGCAGAGTTCTAGCGATTTCGTCGAACGATGGCGACGTTCGTTTGGGCTTATGCTGATCATAAAGGTCTTTCAAATTCTTTGGAAGAGAAGTATAGCTCTCAGCTAGCTGTTTCAACAGACTGGCCAGCAAGTTCTCAACCTTCTGGTTGTCTTCCTGTCGGAAGTTGCAGTAAATATAAGCGATGCCAGTACCCGAGTCGCTCCGAAATCTTGCGCTGAGCTCGTCAATGACGATCGATGTGAGTATCGTCTTCCCTGCTCCCGGAATACCTGGACAGAATAACGTCCGCGTGTTTCCCTTAAGCCAGGCCTGGAATTGTACTGAGTCTAAGAGCCATTGGCCGGTTCCCTTTTGTCGTCTCCTGATGTAGTCACTTTGTTGAGGGGCGTAATCGATTGGAGTTAACCAATTAAGGACATCAAGGTCTTCCCTGCTCTCCAATTTACATTTCATCCTTTCAATATTTGCTCTAGTTCTGGATACAGTGTTAAGAACTACATCTATTATTAGAAGCTCGCTACCAATTGGACGCAGAGCCTGAGAATGACTAACCGTCAGAAAGAAGCTCACTGATCCTCCTCTCGGACTTAACCTCGTTAGGAGGAATTCGACAGAGAAGATCTTTCGCGTATGCGGCCGCCACCATTGCTGCATACCCTTGCCACTCCTTGTTCTTATGCGAGTCTGAGTAGTCGCATATACCGCGAATAACTAAACAAGGAAAGTGGTTCATCAGCCCTGCCGCTTCCATTTCAAAACACAGAACGCCCTTTTCCGCTGCAAGTTTATCTCGAACCGTGGCATCCTTCATCAACTGGTTCGCTGAAGCAATTAAGCCGTAGTGGATTGCCGGATTATCGTCGTCTTCGGTCCGGTCAGGTCGCGATACTAAGTTCGAGGGACTATTGCCACAGGCTGTCTCGCAGCTGGAACTGTGAGTGATTGCAGATTTGAAAAGCCTGTCTGTGCTTGAGTCCGGTCGTTTGTATTTCATCCTCAGTCTTGGCTTTTTCTCGAGTGCGACATTAACGGCATCTTCAAGCCGGTGGCCTTCCTCCTCATACTGTGCCCTAAGGTCACTTACAGCTGCTCGCAACAATCTGGGGGGTTGATTCAAGAACCCTGTTGTTTGGAATTTCTGCTCTTGAATCGTCTTGCCAAAGTCGTACTGGAATACACCACCCCGTCCATCTTCAGGCTTACTAACCACAATATCTCCAAGACGTATATCGTGACTTTGGCTTGGTGAGCCGCCGCCGATGCCAACCATTAGACCGATCCTGATGTTAGGAAAACTGTGCAGCAAATCGCCTGCGACGCTTGCTGCAGCGGCTATGCCATACTCCCCGTCAGGCAGGACAGCGATTACGACATTATGTCTCCCAACTTTGCCCAGTGTATAGACATTGTTATCATGGGAGGGCATATCTTCGGGTGGGTCGTGCTTTTCGTCGAGAAAAGCTCGCGCGGCAATATACTCAGCTGTGATGGCGCAGATCCAGCCGACAGTGTATTCGCCAATCGAGTAGGAGGATTGTAAAGGATGTATGTCGTTTTCTCGTACCAGTCTCTTTCGCGGCTCGGCGTCTATTCGACCCTGGCTATCTTCGCTGCCTACTCTTCTCCGCTTTGGCCCGTTGGACATACGTCCTTCATAACCGTCGTTGGTTCTCTTCCATATGCCTGAATCATTCGCAATCGATTCTGAGGTGTCATTCATCGATTCCTGCTTGGCCACATCCTTCGCTGATGCTTCGTTGTCCGCGGCCTCTCTAGCGCAGGAGCTGGCCGTGGCTTTGACGCTGTTTCCGGTTGCCTTGGCCTCTTTACTGTTTGCCATCGGAGGAGCTCGTTTCTGTGCCGGCATTGTTGAACTTGTCGAAATGGTCTGGAGCCGCGAATTGTTTGCAAATGAGACGTGCCCAGATGATACGCGTAAGACCTTTACTTGACAGTTTTCTGATGAAATTTGCGCGGTTGGCGAAGACCGAGGCCGTTCGTGGGAAGAATGGGTGATACAGGTTCTCAATCGGTCTTTCACTAGCCTTAATTTGCTTAAAGTGATATCAAGCGCGCCGGAGCTCAGCATCCCTCAATGAGCAGGAGAATTTGATGCCGCTCAAGGAAACTGCTTGATGAGATGCCAATGAGGGGAAAAGGAGACGGGGGGGGGGGGGGCAGTGCCGTGATAATATGCTGGTACGTTGGCACCCGGGCCAGGCGATAGGTAAGCGCTGTGGCGCTGAATGCACTCATTGGAGCTGACAGACTGCAGAGATACCAAGTCCTAGAGATTTTGTTGGCTTCTGAAGTAAGCTGGCCTGTATACGCTGCTGAACTAATCTAATTTATTTCTCTTCAGAGGGTATGCAGGTATTATTCGAAACTGGTATATCAGGATTGTTCTCCCTAGCGTGGTAGCCCCCTTTACTGCCACTCCTTAAAGTATACCCAACACTCATAACTGCATATATACGTCCTTGTCTTTTGAACATTATGTTTAGCTTCATGTACTACTAATTATCTATCGACGAAAATCAGGGCTTACCTGTGCTGCTCCGGGACATGTTGGACCGGCGTACCGATCTCAACGTCTTCCCCAGATCCGTTTTGGTAGATCGATGTGCAATTAGGGGTTCCGCGAGTCCCGCCATTCTTTAGTGAGAAATTGTCAAAGCCTGTCTGGTCTGCATTACTCGTTTCGTAGGCCACAAGATAGTTTGCTTTACATAGGTGTTTCGTTGCTACCTGTCACGATCGTAGGTTCAAAGCATAGCTTACTTGATACTATGGATTAAGGTTCTTAAGGTGAATGTCACAGGTGGGTTAAATTTTAAAGGTTAAATATAATATTATATAATAAAATTAAAGCTTCAAAAAGAAAAGAATTTCCATTAAAACATAGTTATATCAAAAGAATATATAATATGGGCTTATATAAGTGGTTATTTTAATGATGTGGTTAAATTGGAAAAAGGGTGGGGCGTGGCACGGTTAGTGTACCTAAGGTACCTAAGCCAAGCTAACTTTGTACCCTTTGGCTAACCACGTATACATCATATCTCACACATCGCATCAACCGTCCTTCTCTCGACACCCGCACCGTGTCTATCGTCGAGCTTGTTGTCGTCAGCCCCGGCCGAGGAAGAGAAGACACGCCTGTGTACTCAGGGCTATTCCAATTGTTGGGGACATACATGTTCATACATCACGAACGGCATGATTAAATAGCGTCTTTTCCTGGAAAAGAAAGCATTGCGACTATTCCGCATTTCTCTGCATTTATCTCTTATCGCCTCCTTCTCTCCTTGCTCGTTGCTCGTTGCTCGTTGCTTTTGCATATACGAACTGCCTTCCTGCGACGAGGCCGAATCTAGCAGGACGAAAGACGGCAACAACTGCGTCGAAGAGAGTGAAACAGAGGTCACAGCAGCAACATGGAGGCGGCCTCGGCTCGTGCAGCGGCTAGGGACCGCTGGGGCGAGATGGGCTATCCTCGACCATCCCAGCTGCAGCGCTTCATCGCCAGCGCCTGTAGCCCCGAAAACTTCGAGCCCAACCTCGCCCTCAATCTCGAAATCGCCGACCTCATCAATAGCAAGAAGGGTACTGCCCCGCGCGAGGCTGCCGTCGCCATTGTCAATTACATCAATTCCCGCAACCCCAATGTCGGTTTGCTCGCCCTCAACCTCCTCGACATCTGCGTCAAGAACTGCGGGTATCCCTTCCACCTTCAAATCAGTGCTAAGGAGTTTCTCAATGAGCTCGTTCGGCGCTTCCCCGAGCGACCCCCCTTCCGCTACACCCGTGTCCAGTCTAAGATACTAGAGGCCATCGAGGAGTGGCGTAGCACAATATGCGAAACGAGTCGCTACAAGGAAGATCTGGGCTTCATTCGCGACATGCACCGTCTGCTAAGCTACAAGGGCTATCATTTCCCCGAGGTGAGGAGGGATGATGTCGCTGTCTTGAATCCGAGCGATGTAAGTAAATTGCCCTAAGAGAGCTATGCTGCTCTCAGAAAAAAAAAAAAAAGAAAAAAAAAACCAGAGTAAAATACCCAAACTAACATCACACCGCAGAACTTGAAATCAGCCGAGGAGATGGAGGAGGAGGAACGTGAAGCACAGTCCGCCAAGCTTCAAGAGTTGATTCGACGAGGAGCTCCCGAAGATTTGCAAGAGGCCAACCGATTAATGAAGATCATGGCCGGCTACGATACAAGATCTAAGACGGATTACCGCGCCAAAGCCGCCGAAGCAGTTGGGAAAATTCAAGCCAAGGCCCGTCTATTGGAAGAAAGACTCGCCGCATTTAAACCTGGTGATACTATGACCGATGGCGATGTGTTTGAAGACCTTGCTGCGTCGCTCCAGAGTGCCCAGCCCAAAATCCAAAAGATGTGCGAGGAGGAGTCGGACGATCATGAGGCTGTAGCGAAGCTATTTGAAATTAATGACAGCATACACCGGACTGTCGAGAGATGGAAGCTGCTCAAGAAGGGCGATATTGAGGGTGCCGAGAAAATAGCGCAAGGAGCCCCTATACCCACACCCTCAGCTTCGGCTGGGAAAGCCAAAGCTTCGGCAGCGAACGAGCTATCTTTAATCGATTTTGACGCTGACGCAGAGGCAAATGGAGCCGGTGCCGAAGTTGCCTCATCGTCTCAAGGAGGTTTGGAAAATGATCTGCTGGGACTGGCTCTTGGAGACAACACCAGCAGCTTCGGCCAGGGTGGTGGTATCTCTCTTGGCTTTGGCGCGAATCAAAGTCAGTCAACGCTCACATTCGATCGACATTCTTAACAGTTGGACATCTAGCTAACTCGATTATAGATATACCAGGCCCCGCGCTTTTATCATCATTGACTCAGAACAGCACGGCAAAGGGCCCCTCGCCCACTCCTACGCCACCTCCATTTTCTACGTATTCAAATTTCGCCTCTAAGCCGTCGTCATCACAGTCCACAACGCCACAACCTTCTTTAGGCCAATACTCGGCGTTTTCTCAACCTCCTCAAAAGACGAACGATCCTTTCGCGTCTCTTAGCTCGCCGCAGTTCTCATCGAAACCCGTTACACCTCAACTGCCAGCGGCACCTGCCACCACATCTAACGATGACGATGAATGGTCGTTTTCTTCCGCTCTTCCGCCAGAGTCGTCTGCCCCGCGTGACCACCAAGCTGTCGTTAGCAATAGTCTTCTTCGGATTAATATGAAGGCAGCCAGGGCACCACAGGCGCCCAATGCGTTATCATTGTTATTTGCCTTTTCTAATACTTCGCCGCAGTCCATAGGCGATCTGCATTTCCAATTAGCAGTAACAAAGGCAAGAGCACCTTTTTAAACACTTCATAATCATATCCTATTCTCTCTCGGGCAACTGTATTCATCTCACCTAACTTCTCGCTAACTAATGACAGGGATACGAACTCAAACTACAGCCGCAGACTGGTCGTACGTTGGAGCCAAACCAAGAAAATGGCGTGACGCAGTTGATCCAGGTATGGCATGCAGGCGAGCCTGCTAAAAAAGTAGACAGTGCACGATTACGGTGGCGTGTGAGCTATAAATGGGGTGCGGAGAATAAAGCAGAGACGGGCGAGATTCCCGAGTTTAGCATCGCGTAGAGTTACGTATTTGATTTAGCTAGTTTGGTAGATGACCATCCAAAATACAAACGATGCAGAAAGATATGTCGGCGAAGATTGAATGTATACTATTGCGTAATCTGCATAGTGTTGTCGAAACTCGACTATTTCGGTTTTCAATGAGTTGAACCAGTCCGCGCTAATTATAATGAGCGGATATATTTATCTTAAACTCAATTGTACATCAAGGTAGTATACAGATGATAGCTCTGCTTCCGTAAACCTTCAGTTCTCGTGAAAAAAGGCATACAAGTAACTAGGCTGAGAACATCTACATCATGTACATACCTAGGGAATATAACGAACTACGCATACCCAGGTACCTAGATAGGGAATATCTAATTGATTTGATCGCGAGTTGAGGTAAGTAGGAATCGGTACACCGGATCGAGCCAGATATCTAGGTTATCTACATAATCCTATGTGGAGTTAGGAAATCCTTACTTACAGCCGACAAGATGAAAAAAATACCTAGCTGGATTTGACAGGTGTTTTTAGAAGTCATATATATCCTGAAGCACTTGATGGGTGTCCAGCTGATTCTTACTTAGTACACGCAGACAATAGGACTGCAGATTAGGCAACTCTACAAGATATCTAACCTGGGTGCCTAGTGTACCTATAGGCAACAACAGGGAGTTGAAGTTCTATTCTCCATTATCCATCAAAAAGCTCCTCGGTTTCCCCGCAGAGAGTCACGCCCACGCATTAACAAGCGCTTTATTATGAACGTTAATCGTCAACAGTAGGGGAGATCATGTAATATAGGAGGAGTAGGTAAGTAAGTATGTGTCTGACACAACTGGTGGCAGCACCACATATTGTGTGCCTGTATATCACGCCATGTAACCCGTTTCTACTGCCTCATGCCCTATAATCGCCATGTACACGTCTAATATACATAATTCAAGGTATTCTTCACCCGGACGCCGTTTATGTCATGCCCAGTTGTCCACCAAATCATGCACGCTGTGTAGACCTCAATCTGGCATATCCCATCTCACATTAGTGTTTCTTTTGTACAGATACTCAGGGCTCGTCCCCTCGTTGCATGCCTGGTCAATTGAGACCCTAGATAGACACATAATCTAAGGTCATGAACACGATCGAAGCTGGGTAACCCACTATAAGCTCCGCGCGGTGCGAACTTCCTCGTAGGCTTGGATTTGGTCACCGACTTTGAGGTCCTGGAACTCTTCAAAGCCCATGCCACACTCTGTACCTTTACGCATTTCCATGACATCTTTCTTGACATTTTTCAAGGTTTCGAGTTTGCCTGAGAAGGAAAAACAGCGTCAGTCTCGTTGGTACAAGGATAAAAGCATGGTAATGGGAGGCCAAAGAAACAGTATAGAGGCTTAGTGAAAGGGGAAGTTAAAGAAATAAATGCAAGCTGAACGCATAGGAAATCAACTTATATGCTTACCATCAAAGACGACTTCTCCATTTCGCATCACACGATATAAGTTATTCTTGCCTACAGCCCCGTTACGCACGCGACAGCCAGCGATGTTCTTGTAAACACGGCCCCGAAGATTGATTGGAAAGATCTGAAGGACTTCGGCCTCGCCAAGCACACGTGTACTGATTTCAGGGGAAAGGTATTCATTCATGTTTGCCTTAACGTCATCAACGAGATGGTAGATGACAGTGTGGTCAAGGATGCGAACACCCTGCTCTTCCGCCATTCGTTGGACATGCCCCGGTGTTGTGGTGGAAAAGTTAACAAGCACTGATTTCGACGTCGCCGCATGGTCGACATCGAATTCGGTTATGGGTCCTGTTGCTGAGCGTAGGACTCGTGGTCGCACTTCGTGATTACCGAGCCCTTGTATCACAGCGCAAACAGCCTCCACAGATCCGTGGACATCACCTTTCACGACGAAGTTGACCATTTTAGCGCCATCCTCTTCATCCGGAAGGACTTCCTGCACACCTGTACCGTGCTCGGTGGTCGTTTTATCATTCGCGCGCTTATCTTGCAGAGCCTTACGTGCCTCGGTGATAGCTTCGTATTCAGCAGCGTCCTTTTCCCGATCACGGATCCCTTCACGGTAAGATACAGCTGCCTTGGCTTTCTCTTCATCGGGAGACTGAAGGACCTGGTCTCCTGCTGCAGGAAGATCTCGCCAGCCTAGAATCTCGACGGGTGTACCAGGTGGTGCTTCGGAAATCTCGATTCCAGCCTCGTTACGAAGATGTCGAATCTTTGCCCAACTAAGACCTGCCGCGATGTAATCACCGGGCCGTAGAGTGCCACGTTTGACAAGCACGGTGGCAACCTTGCCCGTAGGCTTGAGACTACTTTCCAATACCCAACCCTCCGCAGCGCCATCAAGTTCCGCTCTGTGATCTAGAATCTCAGAGAGAGTGAGGATATTCTCCTCTAGATCATCCATGCCTTGGCCTGTCTTGCCGCTTACACAAACGACTTGGACATCCCCCCCGAAATCTTCGATTTCAACGCCTGCATTAGCTAGATCATGCTTGACTGCGTCAACGCGAGCCCCATCTTTATCGATTTTGTTTATAGCGACAATAATAGGTACTTTAGCAGCACGTGCATGTTTCAGAGCCTCGAGAGTCTGGGGTTTGACGCTATCGTCTGCAGCAACAACCAAAACAACAATATCGGTGACATTAGCCCCACGTTGCCTCATGGTCAGGAAAGCAGCGTGTCCAGGAGTATCAAGAAAGGTTATAGGTTTGCCTGACGATAACTTCACTGAGAAAGCACCAATATGTTGTGTGATGCCTCCATGCTCTTGTGCTGCCACTGAGGATTTGCGTAGGTAGTCAAGTATTGTCGTCTTGCCGTGGTCCACGTGACCCATAATCGTTACAACGGGTGGCCGTGGGGGGAGCAGCGAGAGATCTGTCGGTAGAGGTCTTGGTTTGAGATCTTGACTGTCGCCAGTATCAACAATTGGCTCATATCCATACTCCTGCGCCACTAGGGCTGCCGTTTCACCAGCCATTAGACTATCCAAATTTACTCCTTCAAAACCAAGCTCGCCAAGTTGAACGAGAAAGTCGTCTGGTCGAATTTTGAGGGCATTGGCAAACGCCGTTATACTTATTAGTTCAGGTAAAATAATGGGGATAGGCTCGGTCCGTTTGGCTTCTCGCTCTGCCTTGCGCAGCTCCTTTTGCCGAAGCCTGTCTTGATACTCATCATAAGCATCTGCACCATCTTCATCATCTTCGAACCGAGACGCTCGTTGGGCGCGCTTCCCATCTCGTCTCTTGTTGGTTTTTTGTTCCCGCTCAAATAGATCCCATCGTCTATTTTTTTCAGTTTCATGACCACCGTGATGTGGAGGTGCTTGAGGTATTGAATCATCAAAGCCTTTGGAACCCCAGTTGTCAGTAGTATTGTCGTCTTTTCTGATAGCCCTCGAATCTGACAATGTTTTATTCGAGCCATGAGGATTAGAGCGTTCTGGTTGGGACTCAGCTATAGCGTCTCCAGTGAAGCTCATGATATCATTGTCTAGGTTCACTTGTCTGGCGGGTTTTCGCGCCAATTGTTTCCATTCGCTCTTATCGGCGTATTTTGTCTCGGCGTCGATCGCAGCTGCAATTTCCAGCGCATCAAAACCACCTGACGGCGCTATTGCACTATTGACGTTTTGAGGTGCAGAGCCGACTGTGGATTTGTCGAGTCTTGTGTTGGCCTGCTTAACCCCTCCTGTCTGTGACGGCAGAGATTCCATTGCCGAATTCCCTGCGGCGTTGTTAGACCGCTGCAAAAACACTTCAGATCCCAGGAGACCTGATAAGTCGACTTTGGGAGGTGGCTCCATCGCCGGTGGTGGATTTAAAGGCACGTCCCTTGCAGGAATTTTCCGAAGAGGGGGATCCGGCCGATGCCCAACGCGTCTAAAAAAACTATTTGATTCAAGAGAAGTCCGATCAGCGATAGACTTGCTGCCAAGTTCGTATCTAATTGAGTAGTTCGACCCGGGGTTGGTACGGGAGAGGGATATCGCGGGAAGCGTGGGTGTCTTCCGCCCTAGCATGCTGGTATCGCCATAACTCTTGGACGTTTGTGCCTTTAAATGTCTCTCAATCGCCGCGCGCTTCTCGAACTGATGGATTAGTCTTGGATCTTGCCCAGGGGGAACCGGTCTTCTCTCCGGCAATCCGCGACGCGGCGTATTATCGCGCAGTGCTGTCGGTTGTTTCTCGAGGAGGAGCTTTTCTCTCGCCGCCGCTTCGTGAGGAGCTAGATCATCTTCTTGGGGTGCCTTTGCTCTTCTGAAAATGAACTTTGGCCTTCCAGTAGCCGCTGGCGCGGGAGTAGCCAGTTCATTATTATTCGCTGTTGGAGAGGAACTAAAAGAGCGGTAGGGCGTGGAGTTGGTGGCCGTACGTAAGGGCAGGGGAGAAGTCAGAGATAGTCCACATCGTCTTGTGACGGAGAAGGGATGGTGCTGTGGCGAGGCAGGCTGTCGCAGGAGGTAGATCCTATGTTGGCAGAATGCACAGATGGAGGTGTCCCGCTGCGATGCGAAGCGTTAGCAAGCCCCAGAAATAGTATAGAGTACAATGCATAGAAATGCACTGGTGTATTGAAGTACCTTTCCAAGCCTACCTCTCAACATAGTGTAATCCTGGCGGCCAGATGTTGAGATGCAAATGTGACATCTAGGCCTAAGGGCTTGACTCGGATGTACGCAGCCGTGTATCTACAGCTGCGGGAAAGGATTCGTCGGTCTCGCTACGGCTTCACTAACATTGGGAGGCTGGGAGGAGAAAGGAAAGGAATTGGGTTGAGAGCTTGGTAGGATAACTCGACAGGTGAGAGAGTCGGTCTTGTCATTGCACGGCGGCGTTGATCGCTGGACGTATGCGATCCGCGACTAAAAAAATAAAATTATATGGAGCTGCCTCATTTGTCTGCACGCTGTAACTAAGTACATACCTAGGTAGGTAGGCGAGCTAGGCCACTACCTAGCCTAGGTATGAACCAACGTATCGGACCCAACATAAGCGAGGAGGTGTTGGTATTACGTGATACCTATTGTTGAGAAACTTCTCAGCCGATAAATCTCCGTTTCATCCCGCTCGGTTTATCTAACATTAATCGTAATCGTTTTTGTCAAGAGAATGGATGCGAAGAAGCGGGAGCATACCAACCCCGATCATTGATGAATTAACTAGGTGCTTGATCACAGAATTTGGCTAATGTATGTAGTACCTAATAAAAGAGCATGCTCCGTCAGATGTCAAAATCTGAAGTCGCTTGACATTCAAGGAAGTGCCCTGGATCTTTTAGATATCTGCGATTGCTCACTTGCTCGCGGAATTTGTGTGTCTCTTGAGAGTTGGCTGTTTCCATTTGCGGAATAAGTGCCGCGTTGTCTCTCGCTGCTTGAGGCTGGTTTATAATCTCACCCATACCGACAGGTTTCTCAAATTAATACTTGCGCCCTGAGCAGCTGATCGAGTACTACTACTTTTTATTGCGAGATAAACGCGCAACGTGTCCTTTGCAAGCTATGACGCTGGCTCCCCTCTTGAATGTTCGTCCCGTCCGGTACTAGATGCCCATGGCTGAATCTGTGCCAACGCTGTCCTTCCAGAACTGGTCAAAGTCGATACCCTCCTTGAGGAATAATTCTCTGATCTGCTGGGCCGTCTTCTCCTGTCTCTCTACGCTGAATCCGCCAGGTTGCGATGACTCGAACTGAACGATCTCAATCCAGCGGTAGAATAGGTCCTCCTTCCCTATGTTGGTGAGCGCGTCCCGAAATACATAGATCTGTCTGCGGCGACCGGTTTCCCGCGCTAGTTCTTCACCTTTGAGATCCACGACAAGCCATCCCCAGTCGTCTTGGTGCACGAGAATGACAAGCGTAAACGCCTCAATGGCTGCCATCTTCTTATCAACCATCTCCGTGGCGTCCATCATGGCGCCCCAGTCGAGATCCCAGTCACCATCCATCATCACGTAGCCTGTTTTGTCACCTAGCACCATTGGAGAGGTAGCGATGCTCACACGGGCCAGGAAGTAGCTACGCGCCGCGTTTGTGCCATCCTCGCCGTCATTCACCACGTCGCCCATATCCTCACTCCACTTGCGGCTGCGGCGGACTATAACCTCCCGGTCACGGAAGCCGACAGCCCAGCGCCAGGCCACGGGATTGCCGTGGTGCTGTCCGAAGCAGAACTCGACTGGCCAAGGCCATAGGAAGACGAAAAGTAGAAGGTCAAGCATAAAGGTAGCCGCACGACGGCCAATTTCAGGCAGAATCTCCTCCCACGTCATCTCATCTGCGAACATGGTTGTCTCGTTCCAATAACCCAAAACCGAAGCCAGGAGGCTGAGATAGTAGGGTAAGATGTAGTACATTCGCCAGATGAAAAGAGCGGCAATGGCAAGATTCAGAAGTACGGGTACCATGAATACCTGGCGCTTGAAGCTTCGAGGCTTGTTGTCAATGTGCATGATGTACACGCACTTCTCATCCAAGGTGTCGATGATGGGCTTGAGAACCTCGGGCGGTCGTCTGAAGGGTGTGGGGAGCCCTCCATCTTTGCGTTTTACAAGCGTTGGTTTGGCCGCTTTTCGTTGTCGCGCCATGGCTTTCTCTAGGTATGGAGTTGACGCGCTCCTGGGCAAAGATGAAGAGCTTCTAGGCTTGCCCGAGCCAGCTCGGAAATGTCGTTGCGTTTGTAATGCAAAGTCCCTGCAAGGAGCCAACCTTGGATACTTACCTATGTACTTTTATACGGCGCTGTGCGGTGTACCTAGGTTAGTGCTTTACATGTAGGTACATGTACACGTACACGTACATACTTACGGCTTGTGCAGTGGCTGGGGGCTGGGGCACCACCTAGGCAGCTGTGGGCGGACCGATGCTCCCTATATATACGCCGTCACTTTACCCTAACCGTGCCAGTCTTACGGCCAGTCTTACCACACAAGAAGCGCTTGCATGGAGACAGAAGTCAAGAGATCAGGGACCTTGTTCATTATGCGAGGTATTGCAACTCTAAGCACAGAAAACATCTCAATGTGCTTACAGTGCAAGACTAGGTAGGTACCTAGCAATAAGCTGTTCAAAGTGGGGGCTTGAAGACACGAGTATCCTGTACATGGACAGTAGGTACAAGTCAGAAGAACCAGAGTTAATTCTACGCAGCTGATGTGGAATGCTACTATGTATGCTGGTGGATGATTTCCAGGTCTGCCTCAAGATGCCAAAAAGCTAAGGCGCTATATGCTCATATTCTTCAGTTCTTTGCCTTCTTTACGGGCTTCCCGAGGGCCGCCTCGCGTTTCTTAGCTTCCTTGGCCTCTCTCTCCAGTCGTCTCTCCTTTTCCTGCTCCTCTCTCTCTTCTCGTTCAGCCTGCAATGCGCAGACAACACGTTAGTATCCAGCGAATGTTTTTAATTTTTTTTCCATCACAATATATTCATTCAGAGGTAATTCAAGCCGACGATCGAGATAAAAAGGGTAGGGACATACCTGTTTCCGAGCAGCATCTGCTTCTCGCTTCTCGCGAATCAATTTTAGACGAGCCAGATCGGCTTTGGCCTCGTCTGTCTTGCCTTCGGCGTGCAGCTTGCGGTAACGTTCCGCCGCTTGTTGCTTCTCGAGAGCCTCACGCTCCCTTCGGCTCATGGTCGACTTGTTTACCGACATCTTGCTTACACCCTCTGTGGCAGCGTCAACACCCGCGGCTGCAGCTTTAGTCTGTTGTCGCGCAGCTTTGGAGTGGTTCGGATTTGCGGGCATGTCGTCGTCGTCTTCTTCTTCTTCTTCCGACTCGCTGGGAAGATCGCCAACCTGGACTTGACCCTGTTGCTTCTTTGCTATGGCGGCGTCTTTCTGAGCTTTCTTGGCAGCCTTGCGCTCTTCACGGGTCAGGTCTTGTTGCGGCTGAGAAGGACCAGCATCCGAGTCGTCATCTGAGTCTTCCTCGGAATCGTCCTCTGAGCCTTCTTCACTGTCGTCATCTTCGTCGTCGTCGTCCTCGCCGTTTCTCTTCTTCTGAGCATCTTCACTCCACATGCTGACCTCATTTCCATCGGCGTCGAGTGGTCGAAGATCACGAGAGAAATGCTTTCCGCCTTGTTGTGTTCAAGTCAGCTATGGGTATATTTGCAGCGCATTGTAGCGTGGTAGCACAAGTTGGAAACAAACCTCCTCTAGTGAATTTCTTGAATTTGCCACCGCGGCCGCGCGAGCTGGCACCTGGTGCTCCTCCTCGTGGTGGCATCGTAGCAACGGGTAAACACTAAAAAGTATGTATGTGGGAGAAGTAGGCAGATAGGTAGTGCACGTGCTAGCAAACGGCAGTTGGTGGTGGTGGTGGTTGGTTGTGAGTGTTGTACTTGATTGTAGAAGAAGCGCAAGGGAGAGAACGAAATGAACCAGTCCTAGGGGCGTTGTGTATTGTGTGTTGTCTTTTTTAAATTCTCTGCAGAAGCAAAAAAGATGTAAGAAAATGATATTGTGGGCGTTCGATGGTTTAGATGGAGAAAACAGAGCAGAGCCGACACCTGATCCCCTTCAGACGCCTTTAAAATACTCTCCAGTTCAGACACTCCTCGGCCACGCGTGTCTCTGGGTGATACTATTGGAGACGGGATGTGGGTGAGTCAGAGGACAGAAGAAGGGTCGACGAAAAGGAGGCAGTGCGCGTTGAACAAGAACGACCCCTCGCTATTATCTGTGATGCGCCCACCAGCGTCTCTTAGAGCTGGCGGGGTAGAGACAAACTCGATGTGCTTTTACCGCGCTGGGATTGGCCAACGAGTGCTGGCCGCCAATCACAGCAGCCCGCGTTCTGACCTCATCGCTCGCTGTTTAGCGGAGCAAACCCCACTATTCCAGATTAGATTAGGCCTGCCAGAGTGTGGCTGGGCAGAGGCTGCTGGGTGGGTACCTATCGACTAATCTTCTGTGGCTTGGGCCCCCACAACCTCTGCTGCTTCCCATTTAATCCCAGCGCTGTCTCCAATCCTTCTTGATTTTCTTCTCTCTTTTCTCTTCCTCATGAAGAACAATCCTTCATATTCACTCTGGCTTTCGCTTTCATCAATGGCAGGTCTTGGAGGGGAAATTGGAGGAGAGAGGAAGCACTTACATTTCGATCACTTACCCTCCGGCCCGTTGCAGCTTGCTGCCGTTGGGTACCGGAGAAATTTTCGCATCGATACATTCATCCATTGCCACTCGTTTAGAGACGCATTTGTTGGATCCCAAGTAGTATCATAGCTTGACCAACTTAAATATGCATGCAAATCTGTTAGATTGCATGCTGATATTACTTCTCTTAAGTCACTGCTAGCAGGTCTCCGGAGAGCACGCGGTCATCCGCACCAGCCCGGACGGGTGGTGGCACCATCGGAGAGGTATAGCCCTCAATCCGGTTACCTTGGGGGTGATAGGTCTTCATTGAAACATCACAATTACCGTAGACGTGACTCAGAGAATCGAGTTCTACTAGGAAGCAAATGATTCCACCAGTGTAATGTGTCATCTTAAATATAACGCATACTTCGTCGACGTCAGGTCTCCTCGTAATATGAGTCACAGATGAAGAATGCGATTTGAGATGGATTACACAGGTACACAAGGCTTGTGTTTACCGTTCGACTTCTTTGTCATGATAAAGAATCTGACTGGCGACAGTACGGTCATGTTCACCCTGCTTGTCATACCTACGCGTTTTTCCTGTCGAAACCCGATCACATGACAAGTTCAGCTAATGGCATAACTATATCATAAGAAGACTCACTGTACAATGCACGCGATATCTCACCTAAAGCGGTGTGCCATAGCTGATAATGATGGTTAAGTGTCTAGCAGTAATCGCTCCTTTCTTATCATGTATAATATTTCGTGAAGTTGTTAGCCGGTTTGCCTCGGTTTACAGACCCTCTGCATCTGAACATGGCGCGCTTGTAGGCCCTTCCCCAGAATATTGTTGGTTGTAAGGCGATGATCCTCATTAATTATTCTATCATTCTAAATCTATCATTTCGAGAACGAAAACCCCCCAGTATCTGTGTAGTATCTAAGATTCCCAGGCAACAAATCCAGAAAACAAAACCTGTCAAAATAATACGAACCCTATAGTAAAACCATGACACTTTGGAAAGATATGCAACACTGTAGTGTTCAGCTGCTATTGTCCACTTGGTGAAGTTGGGCTCATGTCCATGGAAGTGGACCGACCAACGCCACCTCTCTGAATATGAGGCTGTCAATAGAGCTTCTCCCATCTCATAAACAACGAAGCGATCAGCATGACGCCGCCGCCGATAGGTACAAGTATGAATGTCAACTGCAACGCGTTCGTGATCGCAGAGACAGCGGCGACGCGCGATCTCTCATCTAGTTCAGCGAAGAGAGAGCTTTGCGCACCAGCTAGCACAGTCATGATGTCCTCTCTGGAGAACCCCTGGCCCGCGAGCGCTGCCGAGAGCTTTCTGATGGCAACGGAGTGGAAGATCTGGCCAGATATGCCCAGCGCGATGACCTGGCCTCCAATCTCTGCCACATTTTGTACGCTGAGCGCAGGACCTACGTTCGCTGGGTCTGTAGTCAGCGGAGCGATAGAATAGCTTTTTTGCATTGAAAGCCCGCAACCGAAGGCAACAAGGACCGTCAATCCGTAGATAAGGCTTGTCTGAGCTTTAGGGGTCAGGTAAACCACCAACAAGCTTCCACCAACTATCAAAAACAGGGAGGACGCGAGGAAAAGTAGCACATAAGCTCTGATGCGGCCGACGAAGTGCCCCGACACTACACTCGTGGTCGCCGTCACGACGATGAAAGGTAATAGGCGTATAGCTGCGGTCAGACTAGTGTCATTCTGGACAAATTGAAAGTACAGCGGAATGTAAAAGATGCTCACGAAGAGTGCGGTAATGAAAGCCGAAGTTCCGATGTACAATAGTACCTGGGTACGCTCTCCCAGAATATTAACTGGAAATGAGCGCTTGGTGGGAGTTGTGAACCAGGAATAGTACTGTTGCAGACCGTACAAGACCAGTACGACACCAAAAACCACAAATGTTGCGATAGTGCGGCCGTCGTTCCACAGCCATTGCCCACCGGCCATTGTAAGTGCCAAGAGGAAAGACACCCACATTCCACTTCCAAGTATGAACCCTACAATGTCAATATCGAGAAGACGTTGTTTGATGCTAACTCCAGGCATGGGGTGAACAGGTGGGAGACTGAATATATAGCCGGGTGTAGCAACTGCTCCGATAACCAAGTTCAAATAGAACGCCCAACGCCAAGTGGCCGAGGAAATAGCAAATGCGCCTCCCACAACAGGTCCCAATATAGCACCGACTCCCCAGAAGAACCCGATCAAGGTTGTGTAGAGCCCACGTTCTTGCGGGGTCGTCAAGGCCGTCATATAGTTCAACGAGCCGAGATAGATGCCTGTGCCCCCGGCTCCAGCAATAACACGGCCAACAATTAACGCCGCCATGCTGGGGGCGGCGCCACATAGGGCCGAACCAATGTCGAATAACGCCACGGTGATGACGAACATCCATTTCATGTTGAAGGCGTTGTACAGATATCCCATCAGGAATATCACTGCTACGGAGCCAAGAGGGAATCCGGCTCCTATCCAGGCCAATTGCTCAATGTTACCAAAAGACTTGATTACGTCTCCTTGGACAGCCGCCGTGATGGTTGTATCGAGGCCATAGAGGAAGGTGGTGACGAAGAGGGAAGCGCAGATAAAGAACCAGCGAATCCCATGAAACTTCCTCTGCTCTGTACTAGATTTCTCGCTGGCATTGTCTGTCGAATTGGCCTTCTCGGGATCACTAGCCATCTCTGTCGATCTTTCTGGGGTGTAAATGATGTCTTGCTCCATGGGCACTGAAGAGCGGTTGGGAGTTGACTCGAACATCTGGCCTGCCTACACTATGTTAGTTCCACTATCAAGGACTCATATCTTCTTTTCGTACCTAAAAGATTGCAGAAAGTACGTAGCAAGTTAGGCTGGTCAGTTTTCTTTGCTAAGTTGCTGTATATCTCGTCTGTTCAGACTAGTAGCTTCGGGTTGTGGTTGATTCTCCAAAAGTAAGGCTGAAGACTCATGTTTAAATATATATATGTACATCACAATGGTATCATTATGATTATTAATAAGAATTATAACGGCATGGCGAAAAAATATCTTTTTTTTTCCTATCCCATATTGCTTATAGAACCCGTTGGCTTCTCGATGTGGGTATTAGGTCGAAGATCAGCCTAACTTCTGAATAAGCAGCTGCCTGCCAAGACAGTCAAGCGAACAGAATAGTCATCCTTTTCTTCTTGAAATCACTAGATTTATTAGATACATGGGTTTGCATAGCCGATCCGAGCGCGAAACTAGAGCGTGAAACTCTTGCCTTTGAAGAAACTGAACTGCGTATAGTCTTGATTTGGTCAGCGACTCCACTTCTATCGCTTTCTGCTCATCCAATCGGGTATTTGTGTGTGGGACGCAAGCGAAGATGGGTGTCAGCAGAGCTTCCGCGGAAGGTTGATAAAAGAGTTGGGGGACCCCCTGAGACCCGGGACCATGAGCCGAAAAGTCAAGCTGGGTCCGCAGGCCTTCCGCTGAAGCATTGCACGGAGCTGATCCAAGAAAACTTCTGTCACCCAATAAACAAGCGATAGGGTGAGGTGTATCGTGTATCGTGTATCGTGATGGAGCAGGGTAAACCAGTCAGAAAGGTCGCTAAGTCCGCTATCTCCTTGATCTCTGCGTGACGATGATTTACATACCATCGAATTTCGCCAAGAAATAGGAACTGCTAACGGCAGCCACGTACAGGCTTGTGATCTCTGTTACCGTAGGAGGATCAAATGCGATGGCCAGAAGCCACGGTGCTCCCACTGTGTCATTTACGATTCGGAATGTACTCGCAAAATCGCTGCACGAAAATGGGAGCCAAAAAAAGCGGCACCGAGCAGGCGAGAATCGGCCCTCGAGGCTCGTATCAAGAGCCTAGAGGCCCAGCTATCTACGACGTTAGAGAGACTTGAGGGCCTAGAGGGGGGCCAGTCACCAGCGGCATCTTCCAGTAGATCAGATGTTACCCTTGTACATGCGGCCGAAAGCATCCCTTTCAGCAATCCTAATCCAGAGAATAATGCTATGCCTTTAGACTCGCTTGACGATATCCTACCGGTGGTTGAGTGGTATCTGGCCACGTCCAATTCCTTGACTCCGCTTTTTGACCCATTACATCTTTTGACTGCAGTCAAAGATTGGTACTACAAGCCACATACGAGGAAACCTGCTGTCTGGGCAATGATAAAGTGAGTGACATCTGAAGACACCTCGTCCAGAATAAGACACTATTATACGAGACCCAAGCTCCTTATTTCCGAATCAGTGATATTTCGAGTGCCTTCAAGACCCCTTTGGAGGTTGTCGTCGAGTTATTGCTAAGCTTGAGTATTCGTGCAGTGTCGTACTGGCTCTCGCCTATCACAATGGATACTCTCGAAGACCTCACTCTATCAACGACACTACATATATCAAGAACGCCCAATCAGTTTTGACAGATGCGATAGCCTTCGACACAACTCTCATGCATGTCCAAGTGCTCATCGGTCTCGCCATGCTATTTCGAACTTCTAGTGAACCAACTCCTGCCATGGTACTTATTGCAACAGCCTTGCGGTTAGCTCACAAGATAGGGCTTCATATGAAATCTTTTCAGCAGTACGATACTGAGACGCGCCTGCAGCGCGATCGAGTGTTTTGGATAGCCTACATCTTAGACAGATCAATCAGTGCACAAGCAAGGATAAGCCCGATCCAACTGGATAGCGATATCGAGATCGACGAACCATCACTTGAACCTATGTGCGGGGACCTTGGCGGTTTCGTTATCACAGACGACGGTACTCCAATTTTCAATTTTTTCCGCGCTCAGGTACAAATGGCGAGAATTCAGGGATTGGTCCATAAGTATGTCTATTCAGGATCAGCGCAAAAGTACAGTGCTGCGGAGAGGGCCCGCAACATTGCGTTCGTCCATCAAGAGCTAGATGCCGTATGTTATTCTTGAAGTCGATTTCTTTTATCCTAGGCGCACATGGAGGTCATGATCGCCTGTTAGGGCCACAAGCATGTCTCGGAAGTATACATAACTTCCGAAACCTGCTCCAATTCTGACTGAGAGAGTAATTACTGACTTCAGCGAACTGTAGTGGAGCGCCCAGATACCGCCCGAGTTTCACCCCTCTGCCTTGTTCCAACCAACAAACAGCGAGCTCCCCAGGCAACTCTGCATGCTCTTCGCTGCGCGACTATCATGTCGAGCTATGATCAGCTACGGCAGTCAACGTGACAGTTTCCACTACTCATGGTGGGTAGAAAGCCTACGAGACTACGGCGAAAGAATCGCGGATGGCGATTCTTTGGGGCTCCTAGAGAACCAACCTGGTTGGAGTACTCTTATCAAAGAATCACGAGAGTACCTCGAGTTTTTTATGAAGTTTAGGTGCAAAGATGCCATTTTTACAATGTAAGTAATTGCTAGTTCTATAAGGAAACATATCATGAGATCAGTGGCTTACGTAGAGTTTTGGACCAGGACGACCTTGTGTGCACATACCACTAGTCTAATCTGCCTAACCGCAGAGAGCATGTCTAACGCCCACCGAGGACTGCGCCAGTTGGATGAGCCATTGATCGATTCCGCCATAGGGCCTCTTGGAGAGATCGTCAAGCAAACTGGAAGTCTACGAGGCACGTATGACGCAATTCAGAAGCTGAGGGCGGATTCAAAAGTTGTGTGTCCGTACCAGGACTCACGGGTATCAAACGATTTCTCAATAGAGCCCACGTGGCCAATATCTTCTGAAACAACAGACTCTGAAATTCTTCAATATCTGTTTACGCTACCTGAAGGAGAATATCTCTGGAACATGGAAAACTCAAACTCAGACATGCAAGATACTGTCCCACATAATCATGAATAGAGAAAGGAGGCCGAGGTTATGATAAAAATGGCGTTAGTCGACTTGCGTACTCGATATATGGCATTTCAGCAATGCGGAGTTATGAGATTTCTTTTGTTTCAGTTCCTCGATTCTCTCTCCTGTTTCCAATTTCTTTGGCATTTGTTCCCTCTAGTAACGTGGTAGGAGTTGAGAGATCAAGGCGGGTTGGGTCGGGAGAATGAACTTACCTGGAAAGTGGGATAATTAAAGCTTCTATCTAGATCGTAACAAGTGTAAAAGTCTTTTCACTGATTGTTGTGCTCAGCGTTCTCTTACCAAGCTTTCAATTTCGTTGTATATAGCATACAAAATGGGCCACCCCTGTCCTACATTCGCTCAATAGAACATCGAGCTTTAAATAACATATGATGTATATAAAAGTGCATCCTCGTGTCTGGATATTCTATGTCTTACCCCTCTCTACTTCTCTTCTAGCCTTGCGTCTCTTTGTCAAATCCCATATTGTACCGTGATGGCTCCATGTTGAATCTAGTACACCCCTTCATCCGAAGTCCATTATCCCCCACGCTCAATCGCAATACTTATTAAACAACTCTGACACTCGGGCATTTCGCATCGGTATCCGAATAACGCATACATATTTGCTTGTGTAGTAGACCAGAATGAATGTATGAAATACATAAGCCTTTCACTAACCCGTAAATGTTCATTCTCCATAGTATGGCACTGACCTTTAGTCAAACTAATATGGCGAATTACAAGGAAGGACATATAGACCTATCATTGTGCTCACTACCAACAGCTCAGCTGGGTTGAACTGTAGCTAGGTGAACAGAGATCAATTAGGACTCTTTCCCGCGTTGTTCTCACCGGCCATCAAAAGGCAGGATTTCGTGCCTCAGGTACACCGCTGGCACCCCCCAATGATAAGACACGAACCAGAGAAGCCGGCGTGCTTGATATCTAGATCTTAAACGCCCGTCCCATATAGTAGGTAGAGTAGAGCCAGCTTGTGTAACTGACTATGAAAAGAAAATAAGCTGCTCGCATCGCAAGGGTAAACCGGGCTAGTGGTCTTTCCGTAAACTTGCGCCCCCAATCATCTTCGACATACGCTTTCGCTCTTCATCGTTTGGTTCTCGCCACCATTCTGAAAATTTCTTCTTTTCGAAACCCTTCTGCTGCCACTCGCGTGCACGCCCAGAATCGATCTGATGCCAAGGGACGTTAAGGTCCTTCGCGATGTGATCCTTGACGTAATCCATAACGCTTGTCGAGCCTGGCTCATCGCCCTGCACGAAGAATATTTCGTACGTTGCTCGCTTTTCGTGCTCTCCTCTCTCAATAGACCTCTCCATGCCGCGTACTATTCGCGACTTGTTGTAGGGTTTTGGCTTCATCCATTCGTCTACTTTTCTGTAATCCAGTTGGAAGCCCGCCGAATCATAAACAGGTGTCCCATGAGGACCCTTCTTGTGGCAGACGTAAAGGTCGTGGAAGACGTCAGTAGGATCTAGTAAGCTCTGTTCTCTGTGCAACTGGTCCTTCTGATAGGCGTTGAGTCTACCTTTGGGCCGCTCTGCTTGTGGAATGAAGAATTGTTGTTTGAATTCCTCAGTCACTTCCGAGCCCCGGGGCCGCGGTCGCCGCACTCGTCCGGGTGTTTGCCGAGGATCCCGCAGTTGGCTTCGATCGTAGTCAAATTCAAGATCGGGCGTTGTGAGCCTTGGTCGTTGCTCCTCTTTGGAAACTTCCTGTTCTTTGGATGTGATATCTGATACTCTGGCTCTCTTCCCATTGGCTACTTTGGGAGCGCTGTCATGATCCGTGGACTGCCTCTTGGCTCCTCTTTTGGGCGTTGGCTCACCTTCCTTGGCCGAGGAAGTTGACGCGTCTGCTGGCGCTTTTCTAGGCATGGTAATTACCAGTCAACCGCGACTACGACGACTAGGAAAACATAGATGGAAAATACACTGATTCCAAGCTTTTGAGAACGCGTCCCGTTTTATAGTATTGGGTTACTTGCTGCTCCCCAAGAACTGAATGCGCGAACACTCGTTAATGCAATACTGGGGTACCTATTTTAGAAAATTCCAGGCGATGCGAGACCGATCTAAGGGTAGTTAAAGTAAGCGCTAACTCGTCTGGCTCTTAATCCCCAAACTCCGCTAATCACTGGACAGGGGCTGCTTGTTGATGTTAATGCAGCGTCGGCTGTACTTAGAGTCCATTAAATCATACGTCGAGATGTACCCATGAACAAAATCAATAGCTGCCGGGGGGCGTATCGTAGAGGACTACAATTGGCCTTCAGTAGATGACTTTGAAGCGAAGACACAACGGATTACCTAGCTGCCTTACTGCCTAAAGCGATCAGGGAGGTAAAGGGTAGCACAGGGGTCGATCTCACGAGAATCTGAAGAAGCAAGTGGTTTTCACACAAAATCGCGGACTGTGATCGCATGATTCGAAAGATGAAAGATTACGCTGCTCCATACCCTGTACCCTGGCTTTCCTATTCAATTGATGTCACCCCACCTCATACTCATAGTCATTCTTGTGATTTGTAAGCGTTGTGTTACGTGTTGGGCTTCAATATATTACTTAGTACGAGCTTTCCTCCTATTAGTGAACTAGACAGAAAAAAAATAAGTATTTGGATCTAGTTTGTGCCTATCTTGGCATGTCTCAAGTCCCCCCATGGCTATATCAAAATGGCGCCAGAAAGCAAGCTATTTCTTCACGATCACCCCATATCGTCCTATGCACAGAAAGTGCGAATTGCGCTACGATGGAAGCACATCGCCTTTGAACACGCAATCCCCCGCGGAATGGGGTCCGGCCAACAAGAGATGAAGGATTTCCCTACTTCTCTACATCCCCGCCAAGAAGTCCCTGCACTGATCGATGGAGACACGCGCATCTTTGACTCAACTATTATTCTGGAGTACCTGGAGGACAAATTCCCCGAGCCGGCGCTGCTCCCACCGCGCAGCGACCCGGCGGCGCGGGCACGTGCTCGCATGATCGAAGACTTATGCGACACACATTATGAGGCGATCAATTGGGGATATGCCGAGGTGACTCGGTATGAGCGCGGGGTCGCAGAGGGAGTCGCGGAGAAGCTAAAGACACAGGCGGGAATTCACACGCGCGACATCCTAGCGTGGCTAGAAGCGCAGCTGGGCGCGGGCCCGTTCTTCAACGGCGCGACGTTCGGCTGGGCGGACTGTGCCGTCGCGCCGTTTCTCAACCGCAGCGTCGCTATCGGCCTGGGCCCAGCTGAAGGAAGCCCGCTGCAGCAGTGGCACGCGAGAATTAGCGAGCTGCCTTGTGTCCGAGAGACCTTTGCCGAGTACGAGGCGGGCACGAAGGCGCTGGCCGCGATGGTTGGCAATCCGTTCCAGAGCGGCAGTGGGGCGAAGCGCGAATATCGTGACCACCGTGTGGAATGGATTCTGAAAGCTGGCGGCATAAGCATCATTGAATCTGGCTTACGCGACCGCAACATTCGCTTTTCCTGGCCGGGGCCAGATCCACCCGAGTGAGGTATTTGCCTTGATTTGGACAACGAAAGTGTAACCTAGGCCTTTCCAAGTTTATATTTTCAGACATCGTGATGAATGACTTCGTAGTTCATTTAAATTAGCACGCGATGCACATCGCATCGTTATTGACACTAAATAGGATATATGTCGGCTGAACTTCAACATTCTCTATAGCCGTATCACAGACCACTGACCCGGCTTTACCTTTGTCGCCGTCATTCGTTTGGATCTCGATGAAGTTGCCAGTTTCATGCTAGAACCTACCTACTTCCATAAGTTTCTCGTAAAGCTATATGTTCGTTATCACACGGCCAAAACCTCAGAACCGAAGATAACCGATGCTACCCCTAGAGGAAAGTAAGGCTATAAGTAATTGGATAAGGATAATCTGTTAGCTGCAAAAAGACCAACAATCAAAGTATAAATGCCTAATAGACAAAAGGGAGTCACAGATTGTATAAGGCCTAAATAAGCATAAATAGCTGCAAAATCTCCCATTTTAGAATAGGAAAAAGAGAAAGATTAAAGCCCTAAAGAACCCTAATAGATTATTAATAAATATAACTAAGTTTTAAGCCCTTTATAAGAGCCCTTATTATAAATAATCTATTATTCCCCTTTAGAATATTTTAATATAGCTTAAGCTTCTATTTAATAGATAAACTTTAATAAATCCCCTATATATATATAATGTTATTTTAAGCCTAAGTCCTTATAAATATAGGATTACTTTAATAAAATATTTCCCTTACTTTTATTAAGTAAAGGTATTTTAAAAAAGTTTATACTTTATATTTAATAATTTAAATGTTATATATTATAATTTTAATATTCCTATTTAAAGAATAAGAAGTAGCTAATAACTTTATTAATTTAAAGCTTTAAACTTTTTTAAAATTATAAATATACCTTAATTATAAAACTTTAATTTTAATTCCTATTATTTTAATAAGGATAGTTTAAACTTTAATTCTTTAAGATTTCCTTTATTATATAAAAACTATTTTAAAAATAAATAATAGTTAAGTTACCTGCCTTTACTACCTTATTGGACCTTAAAGCTTAAGATTAAGGATATTCCGCCCCTTAATAACTTATAAATAAAATTAGGATATATAGAAGTATTAAGTAAATATTCCGTTAACTTTAATTAAAGTTTAACCTTTACCCTTAAATAAGCTATACCTTTTTTATTATTGCCTATTATACTTAAACCTATTTATTTTAGTTAAATTATATTCCCTTTTTTTAAAGGATTACCTTTTTTAAAAAACCTATTTAAATTTATTAATTAATTAACTTTATAATAAAATCCTTTTATTATAGCTTTTAAATTAATATTTAAAGCTATAAAATTTACCTTTTATAACTTAACTATTTATAAAAATATTAAAGATATAAAAATAAAATATATAAATATAGTAATTTAAAACTTCCTATAATAAGTTATAAATATTTATAATTATATAGGTAAAACCTTTTAAATAGCTTAATCCTTATAAAAATATAAATAAAAAATACTCTTTAAATAAAGGGAAATATTTTAAAATATATATATTATTATTTATAATATATATAATACTTTAATTAATTTATATAAAATGAATATATAAATAACTTAAAAATAAATAAAATGCTTTTAGTAAAAAATTATATAAGGAAGTATTACCTTCTTTTAAAATATATAAGGAACTATTATATATATTATATAAAATGCTTATTTTTAAACTAATATTATTAATTAATTTAAAAAGGTAATGGATTATTATTATTAAGCCTTTTAGACTTTTTAAAGTAAGCTTATTAAATAAAAAGCTAATTATTAAAAAACTTAAAGAATTATAAATAATTAAGCTATTATAATTAAAGGATAAATTAATTAATTTATAAATTACCTTATTATAAACTTTAATTAAATTAATAAGCTATAAATTTATATTTAAATAGTAATTTAAAAAATTTAAAAATAATTAAATAAATAAATTATACTTAATGTAAATTAAATTATTAATAAGTTAAAAAAGTATAGTATTATAATTAGCTTTATTAATTACCTTATTATAAAGTATTTATTATTAAAAGCTATTTTATAATAATAAATTAATAATAAAGTATTATAGGTAGTAAAGGCTTAATTAATTATTTAGGCCTTTTAAGCTTAATATATAGCAATAAGAATTTCCCTGGGAGTTTTTACTAAAGTTACCCCATTGCCGGGAGGTAACCTAGGAGGAAACCTTAATAGCTTTAACGATAATAATAACCCCTTTAAAGGATAACCTTCCTATAGTCCGCTTAAAGGACTACCCTAAAGATTACTTTAAAACCTTAATGGAGGACTTAAAGGAAATTTAAATAATAATAATCCCCTTAGCTCTTTTATTAATAAATTAATATATACCTTTTTAATAGCATTTGGGAATATTAGTTTTATAATTATAATATTTAATCCTATTTAATTTAATAAACCTTATATTTATAATAGAAAAGATACTTTTAAATTTTTTTTATAATAAGTTAAAGTTAAAAATTATATATTTATATATATAGAAAGTTTTTCCTTTAATAAGTATTATATTAATTAAATTAGCTTTTTTATAATAGATAAAGCTTTATAATAGTATTAATCTTATTAAAAGTAAATCTATTATATTAATATTATTAATATTTAAATAATTTATTAAATAGCTTTAAAAGCTTAATTTAAAAACCTATTAATAATATATTAAAATATTAATACTTTTATAAAGGTAAAGTACTTTAATAATATTATTTAATTCTTTATTAAGATTTTTAACTATAATAATTTAATAAAGTAGTTTAATTTAATATTTTAAACCTTTATTATTAAATGTTTATTATTTAAATTTATAAAAATAGTTTATTATAATTAGGGCTATATTTTTAAGGATAATAGTAAATTCCTTAATATAATTTAAAAAGTTAATATTATTTATAAAAATATATTAATATACTTTAAGCTATTTTTAAAAGGTATGTTTAATTTAATAAAGGAGTAATTAAAATTAGGCTATTAAAATTAAGGTAAAGAGAATTACTTTAATTTAAGCTTAAACTAATCTTTAAAAAAGGATAAGGAAAGGAAACCTATTAATAAAAAGTTAAATAAACTTAAAGTTAATTTTAAAAATAATTATTAGCTTAATATTATAGCTATATTAAAAAGGATTAATTAAGCTACTATTAATAAATAAAAGTAAAATAAAATTAACTATTAATAATATAATAGAAATAATTACTATATCCTTACCTATTATATTAAAAAGGATATTAATAGGAAGGAGCTTTTTTTAACTTTTAAAAAAACCTCTTTTATTAAAAAAAGGCTTAATAATAATATAAAACTATTATTTATAACTAAATAAACTAAGATTAATACTATTACTATAAAGGTAGTTAATCCTATATAATATATAAAAATAGAAAAATTAAATTTAAATTTTTAATTAAGCTCTATAAAGCATTATATAGGAATTTAAGCCTTTAAAAAGGTAACTTTTTTTATATTAATATAATTAAATAAATAAAAAATAAACTTTTTAAACTAGCTTAAAAGAAGGCTAATTTAAAGTTTAAAATAAATTATAGGCTTATTATCCTTATAATTTTACTATATAATAATTAAAAATATCTAATTAAAATACTTTTAAATATAGGTAGCATTATTTTTATAATATCCTTTTTAAAGGTTAAATAATAAAAATTACCCCTTATTAAAAAAGTATACCTTAAACTTATATTAACCTTTAATATAATATATATATAAAAAGTAAAACAATATTATATAAAATAAATTATTCTTTAATATTAAAAGAATTACTTTATAAAGCTTAGCTTTAAATTAAATAACCTTAATAAGGATTATAATATTATCCTACCCTAATAATAAATAAAGGAATATTAACTTATTTATTTCTTTAAAGATATAGGAAAAATTATATTTATATTTAAGTATTGCTATAAAAATTATATTAGTTAAGCTATTTTTAACTTAGGGATTATTAAGGTTATAATAATTATATTTTAAATAACTATTAAGGTAATAATAAAATAAATCCTTAAAAAATTTAAAGAATTCCTTTTAATTATAATTAAAGCAATAGTATAATAGTTATTTAATTATTAACTTTAAAATTATATAATTAATCTTATAAATAGGAAAACTTCCTTTTAAGAACCCCTTTATACTATAAATAATTATAAATTAAATATATTTAAACTATAATTAAATAAAATGCTTAAAATTAATTATATTTATAAATTTATTATATTATATAAGGTACCCCTTATATTTATAGAAAAAAAAGATTTAAATAATTTATTATACCCTATTATAAATTATTAAAGCTTTAATATTATTATAATACTAATAAAATATCCTATTTCCCTTATTATAAAACTTTAAGCTAAATTTTAAAAGGTTAAATGGTTTATTAAAATTAACTTAAAATTTAAATTCTACTTAATTAAAATTATAAAGGGTTATAAATAAAAGATAATATTCCGCTATAAATATAAATTCTTTAAATATATAATAATGCTTATAAAATTTATTAATATCCTTATAATATTTTAATTTATAATAAACTATATCTTCCGGGACTTTATTAATATAAAGCTACTTATATACCTTAATAACCTCTTAATCTATATAGAAATAAAGGAGGAATATAATAAAATAGTTAAAGAAGTATTATAATGCTTTAATAAGTATAATTTAATAATAATACCTTAAAAATATAAATAATATATATATAAAGTTAAATTTTTTAAATATATTATTAATATTAATAATATTTTAATAGTTTAAAATAAAATTAATTATATTATTAAATAGGAAGTATTAATTACTTTATATAAATTATAGTAATTTATTAAATTTATAAACTTTTATTAAAAATTTATTAAAAAGTTCTTATTAATTATAAAACTATTAATAAATATAAATAAAATAAATTAATAATAATAGAAATAAATAGAAGTTATAAATAAAGTTTTCTTTAAGCTTAAGTATTATTTTATTATAACCTTTATATTTATCCATTTTAACCTTTTTAAAATAGTTTACGTTAAAATTAATGCTTTTAACTTTACCTTTAAAGCTATACTATTATAAAAAGATAATAATAGCAAACTTTACCCTATTGCTTTTTACTTTTAAAAGTTAATATTAATAGAAATAAATTATAAAATATATAATAAAGAATTACTTATAATAGTAAACGGATTTAACTAGTAGTACTAATACTTAAAAGGTGTTTAATATTAAATTAAAATCTACTTTAATTATTAAAACCTGTTATATTTTATAATAGCTAAAGTTTTAAATAGATAATAGGCCTATTAGGTATAGTAATTATTAACGTATTAGTTTATAATAAATTATTAACCTAGTAAATTAAATAAAAAGGTTAATATTATATTAAAACTAGTTTAATATTGCTTTAAAAAAAGGGGAAGTAAAAACTAACCGGTTAAATTAGTTTTATAAAATAAATATTTTTTATATTTTAAAGGATTAATATTTAACTTAGCAATATTTATATTATTAACCTTTAAATAACTTTATAGCCTTTTTATACTTAAATAGCTATTAAAGTTTATTAAATTTATTAAAGAAGTAATAAAAGATAATTTAAAATACTATTTATAAAAGAATAAACCTTTTAAAGATATAAAACTTATAAATAACTTATTATATAAAAAGGGATATTTATAGGTATTTATAGCTATATAATAAAAAGTAATAAGGATAAAGTATAATATATAAATAATAGAATATATAAAAATAGATAAAATATTGGAATTTATTATAAAGAACTTTTAATAGCTTAATATTAAAGCAATTATAAAGGATTTTATATAAAGCTATTATATCTATTAATAAAATAAAGCCTTATAATATACCCCTTATAAATTGCTTTAACCTATAAAGTTATATTATATTTTATAATAATTAGTTATAATGGACTTTATTATTAACCTACCTTTATTTAATAGTTATAACTTTATTTAAATAATAATAAATCCTTTTATAAAAATGGAATACTTTATACCCTTAAAAGTTAAAAAAAAGAAAATTAAAGATTTTATTAAAATCTTTACTAAATATTATTAAAAATTATATAATATACCCCTTAATATAATTTTTAATAAAAATTTTAAATTTATAAGCTATTTATAAAAGGACTTTTTAAAGTTTATTAATATTAAACCTTATATAAATATAACCTTCTACCTTTAAATTAATAAATAAATAAAATAATTTAACTAAATCCTTAAAATTTATTTATAAATATTTATTAATTATAAAATATTTAATTAGGAAGACCTTTTATTAATTATTAAATTTATATATAATAATACTATATTAGCTTTAATATATATATCCCCTTTTTATACAAATTATAATTATTATTTAGCTATATATAATCCCTTTATAGTATAACCCTATAACCTATCTAATAGGCTATATACCTATTAAATAATATAGGTATATAAAGAAGTTAAGGAATAGTTAAAAAAGGCCTAATAATATATAAAGGGATAAGCAAATAAAAAATAAAAGGCTTTACCTTAATATATTAAAAACTAATTAATAATATTAAATATAAAAAATATTAAAATAAAAAGACTTATTAAAAAGCTAAATAAAAAGATATTCAACTTTTTTAAAATTTATAAAGTAATCTTATCTATTACTATTAAACTTATATTACTTAAAAGTTAAAAAATCTATAATTTATTTTATATTTTATTTATTAAGCTTTATTACGCTAATAATTAAATATTGCTTAACCTTAACTAGGTTTTATAAAAAACACCTTTAATAAAATTTAAAGACTATTAAATAAAAGAAATTAAAGACTTTTTAAAAATCTAAAGGAATATAAAGTATTTAATTAAATAAAAAGATTAGCTAACTAAAAGGTATTAAATTTAAAAGCTATATAAATATATAAATAGCATTAATATAAAGGCTTTTATTAAATAATTCCATTAATAAAACTTAGGTAAACTAACGGACCTTCGAACTATTATAACCTTAAATTTACAATCTACCTAAAGAATTAAATTATACTTAAAGTTAAGCATTAAAAAAAAGGGAAATAGTATTATACAGCTAAAACTTTAAAACCAAAGATAACTAATACTACCCCTAAAGGAAAGTAAAGCTATAAATAATTAAATAAGAACAATTTATTAACTGTAAAAAGATTAACAATTAAAGCATAAATACCCAATAGACAAAAGGGAGTTACAAATTATATAAGGCCTAAATAAGCATAAATAGCTACAGAATCTCCCACTCCAAAATAGAAAAGAAAGAAAGATCAAGGCCCTAAAGAACCCTAATAAATTATTAATAAATATAACTAAGTTCCAAGCCCTCTACAAGAGCCCTTGTCACATTCGTCGTCAGTAAATCATAGGGGGTTTGCCGGTTGCCGAATTAGCTTACGCTTTTCTGGGATTGAGGGTATATTCCTTAAGAGTTTTCATCAGTTGAGTTGCAATTTGTTCTCAGGATTCGAAGATATTCAAGTGCTGATCTTCTTAGCTCGTATCAAAGGAGTCGTATTGGAATCGTAACTGTGAGGTCTCATGGATTGCTAACATTAACAAGAATTTAAAATGCGTCTGAAGAGCTGCAAGGCTGCTACAAAGCTTTACTGCTGTTAAAGTTACAACAGTAACTACTACACATCTTATAATTGTAACAGACCGGTTCTAGGAATAGTGCGGCGCAGTTGCTATATTTACACATAGACCCATGAGGACTTTTTGTAGAAGCATAGTATGTTATGATGTAATTTTTGGTGTAGACCAGTGTTATTGAAAGAAATGTAGAGGTTTTCGCCCCGGTTGTGGAGCATATTTACTTGTCGTTGGTTACCTTGCAGACATGTCCACATTGTAAACATCGAATTGAACGCTCCGCCACTTAGACCTCAAACGCCCAGGCGGCGCAGAAAGTGCCAAGAGATGTGAGAACCGGCACAAGACGAAGCAAAGATCCTTATTGTAGAGTTACACTATATCGAGGTGATCGATCAACATTGTGACTCAGCAGTATACGTCACTTTCGAATAAAGCCAACACGGCGAGCTACATATGACCTCATTCTAGGTTACTCTCAAAATATAGGTATATTACAACGTGACCCAGGTTATGCTGCGAACAATAATATGAGCCGTATAATGTTCACTGCAGTGACTTTGACATCTGCGTTGCTTTGATTAGTGCTGATACCATTTCTGGAGATGGAATAACTTAGTGGAGGATTGTGGTATAGTTAGCAGTGACTTCGGAACTTTGAGGTCATGAACTGTATTCATATGCTTTGTGATGTCTTCACTTACATGGGAGAGAGCGAGAAACAAGATAGCAAGTTGCAGCAATCAAATCAGTTAAATTCTCTATACCTTAGACTTCCCAACGGACATAGTTATCCTTCGTTTAATACTGTGAATACATCCAGTACCAGGCGCAAGGATTGCTCATGGATTTTGAGAGATGGTGCTGTCGCATTACTTCGGTCTTTCTTCTTCTTTCCTCAGGTCGCGTATTAGTAGAGTAGATGGACACAACCAAGAGTCAGCTTCTCTGAGCTGACCCCAACACCTGAAGGGTGTTTATATCGCATTTCCCCACATCAACTAGAATCTCAACTTTGGTTCTACGTAATAAATAGCTATGAAAACTTCTACGTTCGTTTGGTTATACACCAGTGCGCTCGCTATTAAACACCTCTGCCTTCTTTAAATCGCGGATCCTGTGTTGTTCCCTTCCTCCGGAATTGTGTGTCGTACCTCTCTTTAGGTAAATGAAACTTGATGCGATCCTTCTTGGTCGCCACTATTGTCTTCCATTTCTCCAAGCGATCTATCGGCTTAGTGCGAAGTCTGGCCAGCCCGGTCAGCTTTTTATTCTTCTCCACGACATACTCCGCCTCGGCAGGGCTAGGTTCGCCCAAATTTAGGTTCTCGATCCCCCATTCTTCCGTCAAATCCATGCCGTCTACTACTTGAATTAATTCAGGCCAGCGTTGGGTGGTAATCAGACTTTGTGCGAAGACCTCCAGTTGTGGGTAGGGTACATTATTCAAGCTTCGCTCAATCATAGACTCGTCGAGGTCATTGACAAAGTACTCGGACGCCGGCATGATGTAGAAACAGAATCCGACACCCTGCAGTTTGAAGTGCGGGTATGTGTGTAGCAGCGACCGGAGCTGTGGGAGTATCTCACGCCATTGCATGTACTTGTCGTCCAATTCCGTGATGGCAGCAGTAGCTGCAGCAAACTGGTCATTTGGTACACAGATATGCCAGTCCTATGTGAAAGATTAGATCGTATGTAGCGTCGCATGGGTGAGGGTCTCACTGTCGGGACACGCGGCACCCCGTAATACCGTAGGGCCCTTCCACCCACGATACAGCAGCATCTGATACCAGCCTCCTTGAGTGTTTCGATGACTTGCAGTACTTCGTCAATACCGTGGCCCGCACGACGGTCGCCGGGCAAAGCTATCTGAAACATTGTCTCTTTCTGCACAGGCAATGCATGCGAAATGTTGTAGAATCTGCGGGTTTAATGATTTGTGTTTGTTGATGTGGACGATGGGAGAGTTAATTAACAGGAAATTCTGTGGCATCTGCTTGTTACTTACTTGTTTACTTACTTGCTTACTTAGGTATTCATGCTATGATAGCAACAGAGTCACAATAGTACGATTTCTACGCTGTCTAGCAGTGACGTCACGTACCCCACCAAATGCGACTCTGCAGCTAACATACATGAGAAAATGGAGTTGGGAATCATGGACTTGCTAAACACAGGCAACTAAGAGATCCTCAAGATCTGCAACCCTGACCAACCAGATAAGTTGATAAAAATAACAATTTTGCTAAAAGTGTTGTTGGTTCTCGAGAGGATCTCTGAGTGAAGGATTGTGGTCGAAAGAACGAACAAGTGATCTTCAGCTGGCTTAAGGTCAGTTGGTTTCACTGCTCACAGCCCGCAGCCCGCCAAGATAACGCGTAAAACTCCATCGGGCGAAAGATCGTAGAATGTGGTCCAAATGATGTTATTATCGAAATGAAGGCCTGCAGATACACAAAGTGCTATGCAAGTTACACTCTCTAGTAACCAACATTGTTGCCAAATTCATCATGGCATCTGCCTACCAAGTTGCCTTCAATCGCCACTATGACCCAGAAAATGGACAAACTTAATAACCTATGGGTTTATCACGCCTCCTTTAGTCCTAGAGCCGAATCCATTCGACTACTGGGGTGATTCGAGACTGATGAACATCGTCACTACATAGTTGGTTGCGATCATAGCTCGTGGCCCCAGCGGTAATGACCTCAAGTTACCTTCGACAGGACTCCCCTCAGACTAAACATAGAAACTCATGATGTAAAGTGTGATAGACAAGCTAGACGGCATCGCAGATAAATAGGGCTGCAATTCCAAGACATGAAGATGAATGAATTCGCTATCATCATCCTCTACATGACAATTACAACAACTTCAATTATATAAACACCTAAGATTGTATTACCAATAAAATACATTTACCACTTACTCAATATGCATTTCACGCAACTCTTCCTTGGAATTGGTATTACCCAAGCCGCACTTAGTGCAGCAACCCCTATTGCCAACGGAAGCCGAGCAGTACCTCATGGCATCGAGAGACGTGGCGATGAATACACGATGGACCAGCTCGATGATCTGGAGGAAGCAGCCGAAACGGCCGAGCTAGACCAGATCTACGAGGGTGTAGACTACTTGGTCAACATATGGAACGAGCAAGGCGTCGAGTATGGTCTCATGGGTGGCATCGCGATGAACCTATACGGGTTTAAAGATCGTGAGACGCACGACTCGGACATAGTCGTGAGTGTGAATTCCAGAGATCTGCTTAGCATGGTTGCGGATGATGTTAGGTATGTGAAAATTGATGTTGTTCTATCCACGTAAACTATACCAACTAACCCTCCGATGCCTAGTATATCCCGTCCGCCTCCCTTGATGGCTGCTTCTGGCGTTGTTCGGCTCTTCGTGAACATTGATGATCAGGAGAGAGCCGCCGACGTTTTCGTCCAAGGCGGCGATCAGTCGCCTCCACTCGATACAACAGAAGTGGACGGCTATAACGTACTCAAGATCGCACCCCTGATTTCCTCCAAGTTGGGGCGGGGCGAGGAGAAAGACAACAACGACATTTTGTGGCTGATCGACAACTTGTCTGATGATGTCAAAGATGCGGCTGATGATATCGACAAACAGAAGAGGATTGACTTTGCCATCGAGTACGAAGATGACGATGACACATTTGAGAAGATTCTTGAGGCTTTTGACCTAGATGAGGATGACGTTGAAGACGAGGATTAAGATGACGACTAAATTGAGGAGGAGGAGGAGGAGGAGGATGATGATGATGAAAAGGAGAGACTTTGAGGGGCTGGGTGTATTGACCTGAGTATCTCAGTGCCGTGACTAAAGCTAGTCAAATGACTGAATTCCCCTTGAAATTATCCCTGAAATTTTGAGATTTTCCCCTCCACACTCACTGCTTGCGCATAGAAGCGTTATTTCGAATTAGATAGTGCATTCCATTCCATCATTACAACCATCGCTAGAAAATAATTAACTGTTTTTCTTGAATTAAACCAAATATCACTTTATACGTGGAATTACCCTAGCAATGTGTCTTGTTTGGTCATGTGGAAGTGTAACAACGCTAGTTAAGTGCTCTGTGCTTACTCAGATCCATGTCGCTGGGTTTGGGGGTCAGTCTGCAATTCATAATTCATTCAGTTTGGATGCGTCGATGATTTAGTTAACCAGGGGTGAGATTATCAGCTAGGTCCAAACTCTAGCAATTGCCATAGCTATATGCTATCTCTGTTGTGCTGCACGCAGAGGTCCGTCGGACTTGACACTTGAAGCCCTTTATACTTTATAACATAACCTTGGGATTGCTACGCCAGAGGTGTAACTCCAAGGAGTCCTAGAGATTCGAGGTGTTGTAAAGTACCTAGTGGATGGTTCATTTGCGCCTTTCCCTACCTCATTAGGCAACTAGGCTTTTCGGAACGCGTGCCGATTCGGTGAACTTGCAGGGTGTACCATGCAATAGAAAACCACAAAGAGAAAGCTCTACACACCTTGGCTGCTCAGCTGTCAAGCATGAGAAGAATTCATTTATAGACGTTACCAAACAGTTGTTGGTGCTAGATGCACTTCAGCTGAAGGATTGGCTGGCTCCCTTACCGAGCACTCCGGTAGACTTGCTACGCCGCGACAGCAGCCGCGGGGTTCGCCAGAGCGCTGTAACAACTCTGTTAACGGACTTGTTGATTGTACAACAAGACAACCATCAACCACACATGATAGAGGCCAACAAAATTGACGATTTCCAGCTGCGCGGAAAGGCGGCAGTTAACCGCAGCTCGTATTTGGCTCGACTACATGCCGTCAGTCGCCTCGCTTGCCACCTCGCTTACATGATTTCTGTTTACATAAGCTTCTATCGTCAGATTGCGGCTGAGGCTGACATATCGAAATCACGTTACCTGGCATGGCAAACGACTGGCTACCACATTCAAGTCGGCCCGGATACGAGAATGTTGGCAGCTCTGTACATGGGTTATCGCATCCGATGAATCTCAAGTCAGCATCATTACGAGTTATCTAGCGTGAAATAGGACTCATTAGTCTAACTGATATATATATAGAATAGGTATAGACATGTTTTCTTAGTGGTCGCAATGGTTGCTGACGGGCTTATCCGTTCAGTCAGGTCTCTAGACGTCATCACCAGTTCGTGACAAAGAGAAGCTCTGATTCAGCCTCACTCATGTCAGATCTCGCGACCAATCATTGACCGCTTCTCTGAACCCGCGAGGCAAGCATGCTTTGCGATAGAGGCCGCTAGGTAGGTCACACTGGGCTAGCTGAATATTTTCTCGGGGTATATAAACCCTATCGCTGTGACGCTCCTTCTTGCGATGATGACTTGACAACGTAGCTACGCCTGTGTTTTAAGATTCGTCCCAAGCTACGTCAACAATCCTCTAGCCTCAAATTTTAGGTACACAAACAATCATTTTTTATCACAATGCACGCCATCAGCAGCTTGACGTCCATTATCACCCTCCTCCCCATCGCTCTAGCGATGCCTCACGGGCGGCAAGTAGTTCACGAATTTGATCTGACCGAGCTACATGGCACCTTCCCATCCGATGGGCCCTACGGCACAGGTCCAATCAACTCCTCTCTCAGCATAAAAGTCACATACCCGGACCCGTCATCCACAGACGGCGCCAACCTCACGACGACTTGCAGCTACGCTTGGCCCGCCAGTGTTAGCCCAGGCCCCATAGATTGGACTGCATGCGAGGATCCATCGGTGGCATGGCGCCTCAATAATTGGACAAGCTCTGGGAACTACCGCGTTGAGCTTTATCAAACGCTGACGGCAGACGGGTAAGATGAAGCTACCTGCTATGATGCTTGCCTTCATATACAACAGCCTTATTCAGAGGAACGCTCGCTAACACGGCTCCACAGCGCGGGTCTAGATGCCTCACACCAGCTCACCGTCGCCCCAGGCATGCCCAGCAACCCCAACGCGTATCTGAGCTGTCTCCAGATGGGCAAATTCACGCCTACAGTCTGCCAGATTAACGGCCCGCTAAGCGCTCTGCCCGGCCCTGTTGTGATGTATGCGAGCGAGGAGGCCGTGAGGCCGAACTAGGTTCCCCGGGATTTTAGCATGAAATTCTCAGCGCTCAAAGAAGATATCTCCAAGTAATCCTGCTGGTTAGAATCGGCAGTCTAGCCGGGGGGAGGGGCATCAGGATTTGTCTAGGCCGGCAAGCAAGAGGAGCCAGTTTCATGTCATTGGATTCATGAGTCTTATGAAGTAGATAAATTTCAAATAAAAGTATCATTACTCACTAGATTGAAGCAATGGAATTATTCCCTGGTCTCGCTTAGGGGGACGACTTGGTCTGTAATGATACTTTAAAGAGCAGGTTTTTATCTTCCATGCCTACTAATCATTATCGGTTTACAATATCTTTGTCGCTAACTGGTTTTTCATACATAATTATACCACTATTTCTTAGCTAGACCTCGGGAGAGAGATTTAAGAAGGTTTAATGTCTCAAACCCTACATCATGGCAAGGGAGATCACGTAGAGTTGTGATGGTAGGCATTATGGGTGTAATTCATTATGGTACACAGTATATACAAACAACGCTGATGGTGCTACACAATGCGCCGCTAACTAGTTTTGGACTGAAGGAATGGTAGTCAAATGATTTTTCAACCTATTGTTGATAGCCTCAGCGTTGATATCAGCTACCTCGTCCTCCACCTCATCCAGGCTGTTTCTCCGGCTGGGGTTCCGGGACACGTTCCGTGATGCAATCCGGCTTTGGCGGCGGGATGATGCGTGATGACTAGCTTCATATGAGCTACGTCGTGACTCGGGGCCGAACCTAGGACGGTTTGGACCCCTCGTTGCCGGCGAGATTGCGGCAGTGTGTTCGACATCTGGTTCAGTGGCAGCGCCGGCGGCGGTCGGTGGGACACTAGGGTGACCAGCTGTGCTAGAGCGACGCGTTGCATTGCTCACGCGGCGACCCAGAACCTCAGCCGTACCTTCTGCTAGACTCTGCGCGAAGGGGGATCGCTTGCGGAGAACGGGGCCCTTCCAGTACACCCAATAGACGGCTGCAACTAGAATGACTGAAATAGCAAACAGGATAAGAGAGGGATATTCGAAATTCTTATGCTGAGCCCGTCCGATATTTGTGTAAAATGGAGTGGCAGGTACAGTGAGGACACCGGCCAAAAAGTCACGAGCCCAACCATTGCCGCCGGTAGCCGAAGCTGAATAAGGACCGTAAGCGCAAATCATGTAGTCGATGGTAGCCATGTAGATAGCGTAGTTGGCAATGCCGATGATTGCTGTAGCAATTATAGGACCAATCCAGTGAAGCGGTGGTCCGGCACTGACGAAGGCGAAGATGAGCAGACCAATAGGCAGCATTGGAGCCAGCCATAGCAAGAGATACATCCTTGATTCGTATTGAGCGTGCTCGTCTTCGGGATGCTTCTCTCTTCGCTTCCTGTTTCGGCTGAAAGATGGAATGAAGATAAGCCATGCTAGCAGGTAACCCACGCCGAAGCCAACAAAGGCGAGGCCGATTTGCCAGCTATTGAAGTCCCATTGTTTGAAAACGAGGCCAAGAGATTGAATCTGGACGAAGATAAGGGCATCAGAGAAACCAGAGAGTAGCGATAAGGAGAGTACAATCGGCTCAGTTAGAAACATGCGGAACGGTCGCAGCCAAGTGTATATAAGCTCCTTGACCGTGAATCGATGCCAGAAGGACTCGATCTCATCAGGACCATATACTTCCTCGCCAGCCTTTCTACGTTTCTTGGCAATTTGATTCATCATGACAGTTGTACGCGTCTCGGGAACTGTAAAGAGGTGAAGAACCTGAACGAAGGCACCGAAGATAAGCTGAATCCAGATACACCATTTCCAGGCTTGACCAGGTGCCAGTATCTCAACAAAACCTCCGACGATCGGCCCGAGCACTGAGCCACCGACAGATGAGAACACACTGTGAGGGAAAGGTGTCAGAAGTGAAAGACGAGCTGGTATATGACGAGCAACTCACATGTATGCAACAGCGTATTGTTGTCGGTCAGCTTCGTACAGATCAGCGATCATACCTAGGGTTACACTACCACCGGCGGTGGATAGACCACCTAGTGCTCGGCCGACGAGGAGTGACCCAAAGTTGGGAGCTAAGACAACAGGCAAGTTGAATATATTGGTAAAGAGCATGGAGAGCTGTAGGATGGGCTTTCTACCGAATTCCTCGGACCATGGAGCCCACAGCTCACATCCGAAGGCATAGGTGATGAGGTAGATGGCAGCTCCGACACGAGCGGCCTGTTCGCTGACACTGAACCTCTCTGAGATACCCACTAAGCCGTTGGAGTAGAGCGATGTGTTGAAATTCATCGAGGTCTGGACGAGGAAAATGACTGTCAATATCCACCATTTTTTCTTGCTAGAGAAGGCGAAGCCCAGCTCGTCTTCACAGTCTTCCTCTTTGAGCTCCCTCTTGCCGGTCTGCTCTTTGGCGTGTTCTTTCTCGACTTTATGCGCGCCGAGGTTGTTGGCTACATTGTGGCCCGAAGAAGCAGAGCTATCTGCGCTCGGGGTTAAGGCGCCCGGCAACCCTCGCTTTTCCTGGTCGGACGCCATTTTGCCAGGCTTGGTGGCGCTGCGAACTCTATGATAAGTGAAGAAACTCTAATGTTGAGGGATAAGAAGCGGCGAGAAGCGAGAAGCTTTCACCAACGCATCAGTAATGCTGTGGGATGATATCCAACCGGGCGGACACGTGTGTGGAGAGGGTCTGGGGGAACAGACCTGGGGAACAAGGGGAATAATCTGGGAAATTTTGGGGATGGTGATGAGGGGGGAATGGGCTATTAATACGATGACGAGGCAGTGGTGTGGGTTCGTAGCCAATTTCCACCGCAAAGTCCTGCAGTTCGGCTGCAAAGTATGTTAATAGTGGTTGTTGGTCTGGTCTCCATGGGGTATGCAGAAGGGGTGGATGAGTTTAATGGGTACTCGGCCTTATATAACAGGCGATGATATGCGCAAAGGTGGATGGAGGAATCTACTTGTCGTTCCACAGCTGTCGCTATGGCCGAAAATGTAAGCACCGGGTCTGACCGGGCGAAGAGCCAGAGAGATCTTCGAGTCGTAGTTGGCCACACCGAGCCCACGCTCACGACACAGCACGACCACGGTCCGACGACGTTTCGACGGCGCACACGTGCTGGTAATGGACCAACAGAACGGGCCCGAGCCTAGCATGCTCAGATGAGCCTACCAAATGTGTCGATCGATCTGACCATTTCCGAAATTTCTGTTCAAGGATGGTTCAAGGATAGTTCTAGGATGGGCAGAACGGGCAAGGGTGCTATGAAAAGAAGCCTTTGCAAGTTCCCACCTGCCCCGCTTGGTGGCACTCCCAGGTTCTCCGTGAGCAGCTACGTCATGGCAGTGCTCCTGGATTGGTTTTTTCTTACTTTCAAGGTAGGTACTAGAATGTCATTGTCTCGATTGTCACGCCAATAAACACCATTTCTACATATGTATGTCCGTATGTATGTACGTACGTAAGTATACATGTAGATACGCATGCAGCTTATGTCTTAGTTTTTTGGACAATGGTTCTGCGTCAAGGATCTTCCATCGTGCAAGCGTAAAGCCCTCTCTCTACCTATGCAAACCAACGTCATCTAGAAGCAATTGATTAGAAATTCGGGGCAGGGTTGGTGTTCCTACATTCCTACATAGCGTGCGTAGTGCGTATCGCCATATTAGTCCCCTGTTACTCCCTTGTCTCTCCCTGGTCTCTCCCTGCCAGCAAGGAAAAGTTGTGGATCAGTCTAGAGGCTTAACAAAGATTGTCTGCCGACGGAAGTTGGTCACTTGGACAAACTAGTCTAGGTAGAATAGTAAGAAAATGTTCGGGGCCTGCCAAGCGACTTGGCTACGTCATTGATCCTTGCCGAACCTTGTGCCGATCCCGGCTCCCGCTAGTTACCAGTACCTATTGGGTATGCCGTGTTGCTCGGCAAAGTTCAAGTACCGAGACAGACACAATCATCTTACATAATAATCTCTTACTAGGATGTAGGTGTCTGCAGCAGTCTTTTCATTATCTGCAAGCAACAAACAGGCCCAAGTGAAAAGGTCTTGTATGCCGCAAATGACCTTAAAAGTTGACGATAGCTCACAGCCCGTATTGAAAAGGCGGCTACAGTAACTCCTAAAGTATCACCCACTTCATTTCAAGTTGTAGAAGCAGGTACTCACATAAGTAAGTATATGTCGCTGCTCACCGTCCTACACGATGGCAATATGCACCATTTCTAAAATCTGGTACCTAGGCTGGTGCCTTTACTAAGTAAGACTGCATAGTTCTTTTTTTTTTTTTTCCTTCACAAAATCAACTCAAGCCTCTTTACCACCGTTCCCAATCTGTAACTCGACTAAATTAGTGTAACCATTCATAGTAGCGCGCGCTTGAGTAGATGGACCTCCCTACTGATTCAATCATACGAATTATTCGAGATCATGCACTAATTAGTATACTCCTCTTCTACATACATAGTACAGGCCAGAAGGATGCTGATTGTTAGCGCAACCCTAAATTTTGTACAGGCCAGGGGCCTTGGCAGGATATCTGTATGAATATACCTTGTAGGCAGGGGTTTTGGAGCAGCAAGACTCCTACCAGCAACTGTATAACAGCCTTGTGAGCAACAGTACTTTCACTCTCTCAGAAAATAGCGTTGCTCTAACAATTACCATCTTTGTGACCGGTGTTAGAACCCAGACACCCATCTTCAGATTCTTCCAAACTATCCCCCTGTCTCCAGCGACGATTGGATACCAGCATAACGTGAGTGGAATTGTATAGATCTAGACTAGGTACTGTACCTTGCTATCGAGGCATACCACTGTAGTGCTTTGCAGACGCGACCCTTCTATCCGACTGAGTGGAGGATCGGCCACCATACATGTAGGGTCCACAGGTGGCCCCCTCTGTTGTACAAGCACCGTTCTTTTGTTATGGTAGAGTTGTAAAGGCGTACTGGCTGGATTTGATGATTACTGATTTTTAGTATTTGCGCGTGGTACTTTAAATTTACCCCTTGGGCAGTACTCGCATCTTTAGTCATGCGCCTTGTGTGACAAGGGCTCTACTGTGTGGACTACAGAGCTTAAAACTTGATTATATTCAGTATAATTCTCTCGAAGTCTCGAGGGCCTTGGTTTCTCATCCTGAAAATGGGAGAAAACTTAGGCTATTCAGGCCCGTGATATTCACGCCATCTAAGACTCCTTTTCTCAATGACCTTTCCCGGTCTTGATTGTAGGTTCTGTCTACATATGACAATCTAACTTTGTGGCCCTCTGTACCTGTTCAAGCGCCTATCTCCCGTAAACTCTGATGGGAGTGGTCTTCTATAAGTAAGTAAAATGTTACGAGAACCTTACGACTACTTATTGTCCGGAGCTGAAGGAGTGTGAGCAATTAAGCCGAGTTGTAATTATCCGCCAGTCTCATGAGAAACGGTTCTATTGGACTCCCCAATTACTGTCGGCACTGAGCTGACCGAGCACAGTCTGACTACCTACTTGGCTAGCGGCTATTTGGCCCGGGCTAGCATGAGTCTGGCGGCGCCGTTACCGCTGGCCTGGTAGTAAGGGTACGGGACTCCATACCTCTGTGGCAGTGGGCCTCGGTGCTAATGCATCATACAATTGGCACGGCTTTTGCCGTTCTTTGCTAATCCTCAAGTTCCAAGGGTGTTTCATGCCAGCTCAGGTCTGTAAGCCTGATATCTTCATATAATGGGTCTTTTTTAAGGTATGTGTCCTTAAACAGTAGGATATCAACATGTTCAGCAGTAACTAGGTAGGTGCTTGAGACACTCATATTACTTCTGGAAAATCTCCTAGTGGACTTATCATTCCAACAATGACCGCGCTCTAAAGTATGTGTCATTTAGTAATGCCATAACAGATAAGGAAAGAAAGATCTTCACTAGCCATGTTCCGTTTATTACCCGGTTTCCCATGTATTAACTTTCTCATGTCACAACTTGTATGTCCGTATACAGTTATAACTTTAATGCCTGCTCAAGAGATCCTTTGACGTGTCTTAGCTCAGCTCTACTGGCTGCCAATGCCCATGTAACTCCGCAGCGGCTGCACGCCCATTCATCTCCTGTATTCCCATCTGCTCTTCTAGCTCATATCTTGGAGTTTGTGCTCTTGGCTTTTCGGTAGCACTAACAACATCTAATGGTTGAGTCGATCTCTTCTTGCGTTTTCGAATACAATAAAGTGTAACTGCCGCTGCCGCTAATATAAGTAGCGCGCCTAGTACGGCTCCGACGATAGCCCCTATTGTGGTGTTGCGTGTTTGAGTAGTAGAGCTGTCTATAGGGGGGTCGAGGGCATTGGTAGAGGCAGGTGTACTAGATGCTGGATCTCCAGACGCATCACTCGTTTTTGGGAGTGGTATCGACTCCTGAGTCGTGATCTCGCTACTTGTTGAGACCGTCCCGATCTGCGTAGTCGCGCTGTCCAGACTCGTCGACAATATACTCCACTGAGGGTCGGTCGCAGCTCTTCGCACCGGCACACCGATAGCATAGATGGTTTCACCTGCCCCAATCAATGCTGTCGTTGTTCCGATTACTTCAGCGACTCCGTTAGGATACGATATCACGTCGCCGATGTACGAACTGTCTGACTCGAGGACCGATTGACACGCTGCGTTGTCATTTGCTTCTCGAGTTGCTCGACAAGTATAACCACTGCAAGTGCACAACGTCGTCTTGTTTGTTAGCCTCATATAGTAGAGTCTGGCTTCTTGAATCTTTTCCATCAGTTCATCTTCATACACATTTTCATCCAGGCAATGTGATCCATCTGAGCTCTAGAAAAATGCACTTCCAAGTCAATCGACGCACCTAGGACAACATGTAGCAGAGGTCTGGCGGGAGCCTGATCCAAAGATACAGGCATACGTGTAGCTATCCTGGCAGATCCCGGGCGAGTAATAATATCCATCGAGTGGCGTGAAATTAGACGGAAAACAACCTTCAGACGTATCACCTCGTTCTAACCAAACCCCTTCAGAATCCGTCGCTAGGTATATAGAGCTGCATCTTGCGCTGCTAGTAGGCTTGTAGTTGGTAGTAAGCGGTCCCAGGTTTGTCATGTCGAGATGTTCTAAAAGTGCTGGATAGGTGATCACATGGAGTCAGGTGGAGTTGACTGTGAGAATGATTGCCACTGAAATTCTACCGCGCACGCTTGCGCATTTAAAGAAGATGCATAGTCTTGAGCTTGCTAGGGAGATGACACACCGTAACACCATCATGACACGAAGGATCTATTATGCCATCGAGTTTTCTGAATCCCTACGAAACACCAATCAAAAGATGCTTACCTATCCAATGTGACCTTTTGAAGTTGTACAGCATTTGATCCTGCCTAGGGGTGTAAGCCTAACTAAGTAAATGAACCGTAGCTTACAATGAAGTGACCCCAAACACAGATCTGGTATGAGAACCGAGTGTAACAGTTGTAGTAGCTATCTTACGTCAGCATGCCTAATGCATGGTACTATTTATTTTGCTTCCATCATATTCAGCTTTCAAGAAAAAGTCAATTATTATATAGATATATTTCTGCTTTAGAGCAGATCAAAGCTGAGCTGGCTTTTTATTAGCTCAAAGCACACAATTATTACGCTCTGCACGCTCAGTATACTATCGCATAAATACAGACGCGAGAACTATACCTTGTGACATCTATTGGGTGTATACTATTAAAAGGATCAGTATGCTTGATCCCCAAGAAGCCTTGGGTAGTACCAGTGGCATATATATAACACTGAAGTAGAGTGTGGTGCCGCTATGCTATGTCCCCAGCGAATCACCCCCATCGCATCTCCTTGGCGAAAATCCTTCAGAATGGAAACAGGGGCTATGTAGATACATATGTCGCCATGCGCCGGGATATTGAGTATGATGCCGGTTTTCCCGGAATTGTGTACTCCGTCCTCAGCGCTTCCTCTTGCGTGAATCCGTTTCCTCGCCCTGCGAGTCCGCACGCCTTAAAAAGTTATAAAGCCCTTTGTTACAAGCCTCCCTGATCTTATTATCATTCTCTCTGTCTTGTAGCTCTACTATCCAGGTATTCAAATAATCGTATTCTTTGTCGGTAAGCTCGCGATACGAGAGGGGGGTGTTGTACAGGACAGGTCCCTTTTCCTTCTCATGTGTCGACCGAAGGTCTTGTAAGGTTGCCTGATAGGCCTGATTACTCTTGAGGTGGGCTTTGACGATGCTTGCAAGGCTCATAATACCTCCTGTCTCTCCGATTGTGATTAGGCAGAAATTAGGACGTCTTTGTTCCGTGTCCCCCGATGTGTTTTCCTGGTGGCCTTCAACAAAAATAGGTTTAATATCGGTAGAAGGGTGTTCTTTAATGGGCTGCCACGTTGCCCACTGGCTTTTTCCTAGCAACTGAATCTCGTGGTATCGTTGCATCTGTCGCAAGACCACGGTTCATGGTCCTTTTCTGATTCCTGAAGAATAATCTTATCTGACTCCCTCCGAAAAGAACGATTAGCCATGCGATGGCGATATTCAGACAGCCATCGGTCCTTCGATGTGTTACCACCCTCATTTCTAGTCTTTCTATACAATGCATGTCGTGGCAGCTCTCCTGGTAGCTTTTTCTCAGCCAGGCAAGAATATTTCCTGATTATGTGGGATATTTGAGATTGGTTGCAGGTATGGAACTTCAAGACCTGAACGAGTGAGGTGGAAGTGTCTTTGCTTCGAGGATCAGGCCCTAGGCGTATTGAAAGCATTGTATCCGTGATAGCAGATTGAATAACTTGTAAAAATGAGTCCGACTGAAGGCAAGTAATTGCTTCAGAGATCGCCGTGCTAGGGCAGATGCGCGGTGTGTTTGATAGTTCTTTAGCTTGGTAGCTTCCGTTTGAGGCAGCCTTCATTAGTATTACCAGCGCGGGCTTTGATATTGATAAACAGGCAAGCTGACTCGTAATATTCCAGAATTGGTCAAAAAAAGCAGCGGTACTCGAGGACGGCATAAACTTCGATCTCGGTCGCTGAACCAAGTTTGGATTCTGACGTACTTCTTTCACCGGTCCACATATACTCCATTTCATCTAATGCGAATTGTGTTGTAAGGATTAACTCGCTGTGTTGCTGTAGGCTCTCGAGGAGACGACGCGCATCCTCTGTGCTGCGACTGATACTGAAATCTGGCTCTTTGCTCAAGACCAAGAGGCTGTCTACATTTTCTTCGGTAATGAATAGGCCGCGGAAATGATACTGAATCGAACGAGTAGACCGAATTGAACCAAGTTTCATTTTTAGTGATTTGTTAGGAAACAAGTTTTGATGCGGTGGCGGAGTATGGTTGGCATCCGAGTGCTGTCGGGCATGCTCTGTAGCTGGCCCCTTTCCTCCTACACGATCACGAATGGTTCCATGCCTGGGATTGATGTCACTCCCGAAGACGCGGATCCCATCACGGCTTTGGCGATTTTTTAAAATCTTCTTCAATTCTCTTTCGACCATAGATTGTAAGTCTCCTGCTCGAACATGGTCGTCAAGAATGATCACAGCACGTACAAGCTCTGAGAATAACTTTGCGAGGTACAATGACAAGACTTTCGGCGCTTCCTGCGGTCCTCTGATTGTTGATCGGTCTCCGATCTCCAGAGCAGCCCCTGGCAACGAAGGCTATTGAATTCATTGACTCGACTTACACGCATTTAAAATTGTGTTGTAGACACCTACCACGCTTCTTCCTTCGTGGCCCGGGGAAATACCAGGGTTTCGAGCTGCATGCGCCACCTGCTCTTGTTAGGCTGGGTGTATATTGCCAGCTCGTTGGCTCGATCGAATAGACCATTAACCCGGCCGATTAGGTCCTGTCTCCAGGATTCCGGTTTCGATCGTATGTCGTCGTTCTTGAGCAATGCGTCGAACTTGCTGTACCCACGCACTTGAATATCTCAAAAAGGTTTTTCATGAACAGTGGGCCAGGGACTATCTTGAGCCTTGAGGACGATATCATCGCTCAGATGTACAAGCTGGGTCACTGTCGTCATAATGTCATAGGGAAGGTAATGAAATGAAGAGTGTTGCTATGACATTCTTGGATGTTGAATGATAAATCGCCGCTACCAAAGGGCGATATTTAAGCAGGTATATGGCCATCGTGAACGGCTTGGACAAACATAGAGGCTGGCAAAGTGATGTTGGTTCCAATGTGCAGCTTAGGATCTTAACTAGCCTAGGTCGGCGTGCTTTTCACCAATACGATAATAGCAGGCACTCAAAAAGGAATGGAACTTGTCAGGGCTTGGGTTGAGCTTCATAACTTTGTCGCGTTACCAGGCAGATGGCGACATCGTGTTGGTGCTGACAATGTTACGTCCCTACCAGAAGTCAGCTGGATAAGCAAGGTACCTAGACGAGCACTGCCGTTGTATGCAATGGCAAGTACCTACCTCAATAGGCAGCACAGTCTCGTATACCTGTTGATCACCTACCTAGATCAACAGATTCCACGGGACAGTCTGCACATCACACGTACGCAGGAAACAGTTTATGGCACAAAGGGTACACGTGGGATGTTCCACCTCCAGGGCGAGTAACAGTACTATACGCAAAAGATCCTGCTTTCCCCTTGGAGCTGCCTTTAGCACACGAAATATCATCTAGGTACTAACCCTCAGATTTGGCTCACCAAACTTAGCGTATAGACAAGTCCGATCGAGGAGTGAAAGCAGGAAACTATGCCATGAAGGCACCGTTGGAAGATGATATGTGGTTGCTAGTAACTGATATTCACGAACAACACACCACGCTTGTTTAGTTTCATAATTATTCTATAGAGATATCAATACATATTTCTAGTCTTATCCATTCGTGATCAAACCAATCCCTACACGTGCCAAAGACAATATACGTTCGACCAGAATAAAAATACGTAAGCTAATCCGAAGTTAGGCCACAGTTAAGTGAAATGCTACAACACAGGCTTGCATGTTGGTTAAACGCGGGAAGGACTCCCACACGCGTAATCACTTGTAAAATGTTGAATAAAAGCTCTATACACTAGTACAAGGGCGTGGGGTCAAGCTGTAAAACATCCGCACGCCATGATGACAGCTATCATCACGATCAGTTTTAGCTCGACTAAACCAAGCATGTCTTCTACGGGGTTTGACATGCTCGGCTTCTTATCGTGCATAAAATCCGCATGTAACCCAGGCGACCGCTTCAGGATACCCTAGTATTCCAAGCACATGTTATTTTGTGTGCGAGTGGCGCAGCTATTAATGTACAATATAGGCAATAGTTTAGTTGGCATCAGGTTGGCTCAAAATGTATTCAACAGCCTGGTTTACTGTTGAGAATGTTCCGTTAGTGGCATGAAACTTGTTAAAAGGTGGGATGTCAAAGACATCCCCACAAAGGTGAGGGTTTACGTACCACTGTGGATGGCATCGGCGTCCTTGTCGGGAATCTCGATGCTGAACTCCTGTATTTTTTGTTAGCCACCGAGTAAATGTCCGAGGCCGTTGGCAAGGAGATGTTCCAAAACAGTCAAACTCGCCCCGTCCTAAAAATAAATTCCATACCTCTTCTATCGCCATAACAACCTCTACTGTATCCAAGCTGTCCAAGGCAAGGTCGTTTGAAAAGTGCGCATTAGGCTTGATCTGTTTTGCATCAGTGGACCGCGAAATAAGTTGGACGGATGGCATCAAGCCGCTCGGAATTTCATACGTTGTTAGGGTCGTTGACCTAGATTACATTTGAGTTAGCGTTGTCTTCTCCTAGGCAGTATGACGATTGACACCACTCCATATGCGCTGATGAATGCGCTGCACAGAACCAGTGCCGTCTCCCATCCATCTCGGACTGAGATAAGATCATGACATGAACAGGGAGTCCGCGCAAAACAGCCGGAAGATCGTCGCAGTGTTGATTTTAGAAATGGGGTCGCCTCACCTTGTCGAAGCCGCTCAAGATGCTCATGATTCGGCCTTCGACCTCTTCTTTCTTCAGACCACCACCAGCAGAGTACATCCGTACAGCGGGAACGGCGGCGATCCTTGATGTTTGTGCAACGGCTTTGGGCATGACGAAGGCAGAGCGAGCGGCAACAGGTCGCGCAATGCGAGAGGCCGTGACGGCAGATCGGAGGATAGCTGTTCGGAACATATCGGCGGTAGACACAGGCTCAATTGAATGTGGCGAGATTGTAGAGAGTGCGTGCAAGGACCGGACACGGTTGTGCGGTTGTGGGCAGCGGTGTTGACGATGGCTGGTCGGATGAGGGCCGGTATCACAGGAGAGCTACTACTAAGTGACGAAGCAGGTCATGATAAATTTCTCGTCTAAGACTGGATATCCGAGCTTAGGCCTGCGGAGCTAGCAGTACCAGTTGGGGGGTAGCTTCACGTGATATGTACTACACGGTAGACCGGCTCTGACTGGCCGTTGACGGCTTACTATGTAGTCTTTATTGCCAGTTGCTTGCACCTGGCCCCTACCTGGCCATTGTTGATTACGTCTTCGAACTTTATGTACCTCGTCATAGCCCATTTTTGCCTTGTAGGTATCAATGGAAATTGATGGACCCATCGCTAGGGAAATGAATCACGGCGCAGTTGCCAGGTAGCATATAATGAGAAATATTTAAAGATGCTTTGAAACGCAGCCATACGCCACAAACGGAAAAAGCTTATCAGTAGTCTTAGGTGATATGTACAGTTCTTACTATTTTGTCTCGGACGAATATAGGTGCAGTGGCACTTTTATCTGTAAGGAGCATCAGCTCTGATGTTTGCCGCCAGCTCAGGCTCCCATTTGTCTCCATTAGCCAAAAGCTTCTCCTTGTTGTACAGCAGCTCCTCGCGTGTCTCGGTCGCATACTCAGCATTGGGTGATTCGACGATGGCGTCAACGGGACACGACTCCTGGCAGAAGCCACAGTAGATGCACTTTGTCATATCGATATCATAGCGAGTTGTTCTCCTCGAGCCATCTGCTCGCTCCTCTGCTTCAATTGTGATAGCTTGCGCCGGGCAAACCTGTAACAAGTGTCAGCATTCCACGCATGCATAAAGTGATAACAGTAACATATAGCTTGACCGTCACGGGCGGATCAACATTAGACAACAGAAACTTAAGGGGTAAACCCACAGCTTCACATAACTTGCAGGCGATACAGCGCTCCTCTCCTGAAGGGTATCGTCTCAATGCATGTTCACCACGGAAGCGCGGAGAGATAGGCCCCTGTATAATACCAGTATTAACATATATCGCCATGTAACTATATCGCATGCTTATGCTCATTGCTCATATGCCGCGGACCAGGCAGTGTAGCCCATCATTGGCACTCATTCGTTCCTCGTAATAGAAATCAAAGTTGATCTATATTGCCACGGACCTTTTCAAAAGGATAGTAGATGGTGTATCTAACATGGTAAATAGATCAGCATTGAGTCTTCAAATCCCAGCTTCAACCGAGGCAGACTCACGGTGGCCTGAAGTATTGCTCCATCGCGACATACATGCCGCGGAACATCTCAGTCAGGAGGAAAAATCGGCCTGCTCGATCGAGGGTGGACTCAGATTCATCGTCCCATCGCTTCGACCTAGGCAATCGGAAGCCCGCTGGCGGGGGACCGGACGGGGTGGCGTAGGTGCGCTGCGCGACTATTCGGGCCATGGTGGCAGTGGGCAGGGGTTGCCGGCGCACAAGCTGTCGAGACAGCATTGTGGCAGTCGTCGATGTGGTGAGCCCTTGCATGATGGAGTGCAATTGGGCGATGAAGCTGGAGGGAGAGGTGGAGGGGAGAGGGTCGATGGCCGAGCGCAATTGCTAGGGACGAGGCAGAGAGGCGAACATTATTCAATCCGAGCTAGCTTGGAGGTCATGTTCAAGTTTGGGGACGTTTTGGTGGAGTCCACCACTGTCTATTACAAAAGAGAAGCTGTGATTGGTTGGTGGTGCAGATACTGGGAGAGCTCCCACTGAGCGTCTTGTCAAGCCACCCTTACTTAGCTCACTGTGGCGCCTTTCTCTGGTTCCAACTCCAACCTGTCTGGTGGTCCTGCCTACCTAAGGTTCTGTGTCTATGTGTGGCTTGAACCAAATACAGAGTCTACCTAAGTATCAAAGGAAACCTATGAAATGCGGCAAAGAGGTAGCAAATTGAGATACAATGGGTTGCGGTGATAGTTCTACTATTTTTGTATTTGCCAAGTCAGCTACCTACTTTGTAACCTTACCATAACAGCGAACAGCAATCCAATAACAGGATCAGATTGATTCGCACGCTACGGCTTTGAAGAATATTTCCTCACAGAACTTAGAGCGTTTCACATACTGGCCTAATGCAGGTGAGAACTGAGGGGTGAAAGAGAAAGAAAATGTGAGTTGTTTTGGCCTCCATGGCAATCGACTCATGATGCTATCGTAGATAACGGCTTCTGGGCCAGGTGAGTAACGTATGGCGTTTTGGTGGAGTTTCAACGGAAATAGACTAAGCTACAATGCCTAAACACATCAAAGGACGACAATAGTAGCTGGGTCACGTACACGCGTTGGATAAGATGACGGTAACTTGTTGTGATACCTTGCCATCGCATATTGTGTTCAATCCATATTTTGTATTCAATTAATCACTCTTCACAGTATCCATAACTCCCCTCAGTAGGCCTGTCACGATGGGATACTGGTAAGTCATCGTAATTTATCAAGGTATCATAACAGACCAAATAATCCATATTCCTTACGGCTGCCTTGCGTCAAGATCGAAACGCCTTTAATTATTTTCTGGGCGCATCTGTCAAAGGCACATACCGCACCCCATATAGTCTCTTTTTCTCAATGTTTCCGTCCACATCTTTATCCACCACCCAGATATACTGCATACCACCCTCATCCTCAACAGGGATGAACATACGACCTGGTTTCCGCAGCTGTTTCACAAGGTCTTCATGTAGCTCAGCGGCCGCTGCACCAACATGAATGGCATCCCAGCCCTGTGCATCACTCTCATCCGCCGCGCCCCCCACATTCCTTCCATGCGCGTCCTTCCCGTCCACAGCCTTACCAGCCTCAATAGCTTCAGCGGCAGATGGGGACATTGAGGATGTACTCAGCGTCTCGGGCTCGACCCACCCCTTCCGTCCATCGCCCACACGGAACCGGACCCGTCCACTGGCCAGCAACTCCCTCCCCTCAGGCGACTTCCGCATATTCGACTCTCCGAGATCCCGCAATGCAGCGATGTGTTCCACGCCGACGACGACGGCATTGCCACCGGCGAGTTCTGCGAATATGTGTGTCAGATACCCGCTTCCGCTGCCGATGTCTAGAACACGGCGCGGTCGTCTAGTAGCGCTTTTAGACGGAAGAAGATAAGGAAGTAAAGACTCCGCGGCATTGGCGTGCATGTGCGGCGCGCTGATCGTCGCCCTGTGTCCAATTCCCTGCGGCGAGTCCTCGTATGGTGATGACGGCGCGTAGTGCGCGCGATCCACTGCTAGGAAGGCATCTTTTACCGGATCCGATTTGATCATCCCGTTAGTCCACAAGTTCTCAACTAGAGACTTGTTACATCTACCCGAGCTACGCCAAGCCATTATAGAAAACGTTGAAAACGATGGTACTCTATACAGCTTGGGTGGGAGATGACGGAAGATTGGTTGGGACTTTAAACTTTGTAAGACCTGCAATGCGATCGGACTGCGACGGTCGTGATGTATATGAACCCGCTAAACGTCCAGAGAGGGTCCGCCGATGCGGGGGTGATCGAATCCGGGGTAATTGAAGCTGGTTAGTTCTGCGAATTTTAGGTGCCAAAGTAAAAGACAATTTGTGCAATAGGCAGAGTATTTGTAGCTAACTCATTCGCATTTCATTGATGATTCATAGGTAAAAACACAGAAGGATTATCATTGACGAGCTACGGGGGATTAGGTGAATTAGAGGTAAATGAGAGCTTACCTCCGTACCTCTAGATAGTTACCTAAGGTACTCGCATACTGCGGCAGTGGCGGGATTGGTAAGCTGTTGGGGAACGACCCTAAGCTTTCGTCATAGGCACTTCATACTTAAGTAGAGATTACCTGTTAGATGACTATCTTTTATCTTCTCTAACTATTTCAATTTGATCTCCTTATTCCTCATTTTAGTTACAATGCGATGTAACAAAGTTCACTTGTCCAATCTAGTTTGCCTGTCAATTGGCATCACCAGTGAAATAGACTGTTAACCGTCTATCAAGTCTTTCATTTTTACCAATTCTGAAAATTATGATAGAAAGCTACATTAAAACAAGTCCAACTTGGTCATATGCTGAAAACCTTCAATCTGTTCCAAGGATTGATTCCAGCACCACATTGGGTCCGGCGTCTTGGGGACAAACGTAAAAGTTTTGTCATCTAGCCTAAGGATGATGGATATCACCGTGATGAGCTGACGATCCACAACGTCCCGGACGCAACCTTGCTCATACATCTGCTCTGCCATGTATATGCTGTTCTTCTTGCACTGATCCCAGGTCATTGTACCTTTCCATTCAAAAGGTTTCGCCTTTCTGAAGACAATGTCGAGGTCTTCTGGGATGTCGTAAGTCAGGGCTTCTTTTTCTCTGCCAAAGCCATTATTATAGGCGCTAGGTTGTGTTTTTGAGCGGATTTTTCACAGAGAGGCGAGCGAGAAGATCAATTAAGAAGGCAACGTACAACTTGGATCGAACTAAAATCTCGTCCTCCATCGTCACCTGCGTAGCGCCGATCCCTTTGTCCCGATACGCCTCGACGACGGCGTGGAGATAGTGCAAGATGTACTTTGTGCGATGACTCTTGAGGTCCTCTTCAAGGTATTCCAGCTGGAGTTTCTGGCACAGCGACAGATCGACCAACGACTCATCATGGTAGTACTGCGCATGCGTGTAAATTATTTTAGTGACGTCTTTGCGCCATTGGTGTTTCATTATGCTTTTGACCGTATCAAAGGGGAGTTCTCCTAGGACCTTGAGGGAAGACTCGTGATCCCGGAGCGGGAGCCTGCATATTGCGCAGTCCATTGAATTCATTGCTGAAGGATGAGCTTCCATGGCGTTGGGTTTAGGATTTGTTAGTGTAACGCCTACTGGAGCTGATGTAAACAGGTGGAAGGCTCTGCCGAAAAGATACGGAAGTATTGATTCTGCCCTATCTAAAAACCGTCATGCACCGGTATCAATAACCAAGGTAGGAGCTTTGATATTCGTCTTCAAGATTTGGTCACGATGCAAGAAAAAGGAGAAAGACCCCAGAGTCATATATGGGCAGATATGGGGTCCATTATGGGAGTGTTAGTTTGCGGATGGATAGGCAAGTGTGATTGTTTATTGTACTGAACGTTAGCATGCGACGAGGAAGGCGCGAGACATCTCTTGCATAACTAAGTACCTATACTGAGATTGAAGAGCTACATGTTCACAGTACAAATCAAATCAGGAGGCAGTACGACTTGGTCTGTTAGAATGCATCCGAGATGACAAGGCATGGTATTCTGGGTGATCTTCGTGGGATGGTAATGCAGGGATGAGGTAATCAGATCTCCATACGCTAAAGCTCCGTGGTGTATTGCAATTAATACCCAGATTTTAATGTAAGCAGAATGTTGGTCGCTGGCAGGCTATTTCGGCTGCATACATATAGAAATAATCTACCATCCCGTTGCTCTGAAATTCGCCCAACCAGCTACCCAGGTAGCAGAGTGCGTGTAAATAGCGGCGATGACATAAGGCTGAAAGCTAGCAGAATAGGCGCGGCCAGACAAATAGGTACCTTGGTACTTCCACATTCTCGGCAATCTACAACATCAGCTCCGTTCCCGGAGAGCGAAGTTCCAGTAGCAAGCTCTGCGCTTGTATCACCGTCGACCGTCGCAACTGGCAATCATAAGCCAACACTCAGCAGCCGTGCCCATGGATCAGAAGTGAATCGTCACTGAAGAGACCGCTCAGACTGGGGAGTACAAGGACTCCAGCGTCTTAGTGCCAATTAGTGACTCAAGCTTTAGAACCCCTAGAGTCAGCAGACTCACATGACAGCACGATCATATTGATATATTTTCGTAACGACTCACGTGGAAGCGTCGTGGAGTCTACTTGGATAGCCTTGACCTAAATAAATACAGGCGGGAAGGCCAGGGAGGGAAAAGAAGGCCTCAGGACAACATGTCACAACCACAACGTGAAAAGCCAAGCCCCTTGCGGTCAATTATCGCGGGCGCGACGGCGGGCGCCATCGAGATCACCATCACCTACCCGGCAGAATTCGCGAAGACACGCACACAGCTGAATCGGAATTTGGCCTCGGGTGCCAAGCTGCCGTGGCCACCGTTCGGCGCCCAGTGGTACGCAGGCTGCACAACGCTCATTATCGGCAATTCAGCCAAGGCAGCGATACGCTTCGTCTCCTTTGAGCAGTACAAGCGCCTCCTAGCTGACGAGAACGGCCGCGTTTCGGGGCCGCGCAACGTTCTCGCCGGGTTTGGTGCCGGTGTCACTGAGTCCCTGCTCGCTGTCACTCCCACCGAATCTATCAAGACAACCCTGATCGACGACCGCAAGTCCGCGAACCCACGCCTTAGGGGTTTCATTCACGCCGTGCCCGTCATTGCCCGCGAGCGCGGGATCCGTGGCTTCTTCCAGGGTTTGGTACCAACTGCCGCCAGACAGAGCGCCAATAGCGCCGTCCGCTTCGGCAGTTACACCTCGCTGAAGCAGCTCGCCGAATCGTACACGGCGCCCGGCGAAAAGCTCGGTTCAGTCGCCACCTTTGGGATAGGTAGCGTTGCTGGTGCCATCACGGTAGCTGTCACGCAGCCGCTTGACACTATCAAGACGCGCATGCAGAGTATCGAGGCGCGCTCGGTGTATGGGAACAGCTTTCGCTGCGCCGCGCTCATCTTCAAGCACGAGGGCGTGCTGACGTTCTGGAGTGGTGCGTTACCTAGACTTGCCAGGCTTGTGCTGAGTGGTGGCATTGTTTTCTCCATGTATGAGAAGAGCATGGAGCTTATGAATCGCTTGGACCCTGAGAAGAAATATATATAGGGGAAGAAGCCATGCAGAAAGGCATGGAAGGCAGGGGCGAAGAAAAACAGGGCGTGCATCTAGATACCCAGCAAAGAGGCGCCAGTGTCGTGGTCTGTATATATATGCTAGACGGATAAATGAATACATCACGGTATCATTAGACTGTATACTTGATATAGACGATTCTACAGCTGTCCAACTATACTATAAGTGGATCGGGAGATTGTGTTTCGAATTCATACAAGAGCTGGAGATTACGGGTATCTAGTTCTTCCATTTCCCATTTTGTCGCCTTGGTAGCGCTGTCTAGAGTAATAGTAACAGCCGGTCATTCTCCGATAATTCCCTCTTCCAAAATATTGCGCCATATGTCATTTCATACAGATATCATACACAAAGTCGTTATCCAGTTCAAGTCTTTAGTTTTGATCATTACTGTAACCGTACAAGCCCCTTCACCCTCAGCAAAAGTCTCTCGAAGTATGACCGGGTTGGCGCTTCTTCGAGCTCCTTCAGCAGATCGGTAAAATACGTTGGGTTGCTCTTGGGTTGAAGTAACGAGCCGGTAATGGGATACTGGAAGGGTACAGAATCTTGTCAGCGGTGTCCCTTTTTCAAAGAAAATATGCTGTCCGCCGGTTACATAGCCTGACAGAAATGTCTACCTCCCAACACCAAAACCTACCTTCTTTTTATACCTGTTGTCGAGGAGCGAGTAGAGGGCATTCGCTTGCCTCAACTGCTCCTCCTCAGAGAGCGCTAGCTTGGGTTGGTCGAAGCGCTTTTGTAGGACAGTCTGGAATTGTATTTCGGGACGAATGGTATCCTTGGGCCATTGAGAGAGGGCTCGCAGGATATGGTGCTGGCCGCGCTATCAAATGTGCATGTCAGCGACGCCGAAATACATCTCACTATACTTGGAGGCGCTCACGACGTTTGCAACTTACGAGGGCTTGACGAGACATTGTAGATTGTATTAGGCGTTTTGTGTACTCTTTCGCCTAGAGAGTCCGCTCACGTAGTTTGCGTAAAGGTACGCATCAGCAACCCGAATAATGATGCCAGCTAGCTACGCAGATTGTCTCTTCGTAGGCGCATTAACATGAATTAAAGGCCGGACGACGTCAGTAATGCCGCGCTGGATAAAATAATCATCATGACGCCTATCTAGGAAGGCGGCTCACTAACCAAAAGCCGCTAGCCTGCTATCTAGTCCCCTGTGCTTTTCCCTGCATTTGCCATATCCAATCAGACTCTGCACCGTTCCTTTGCGCGCTTGGTACAGTAATGGCTGCCTGTCAGCTGGCGGCCGAGAGTCAGCTAGAAGGTACTAACGAGGTACTTGTCCCGTGTCTGATAGAATTACAGAGTGGCTCCCTTTCGCTGCTATTCGCTGCTATTCGCTGCTATTCGCTGCTATTCGCTGCTATTCGCTGCTATTCGCTGCTATTCAATGCTATTCAATGCTATTCAATGCTTGTTCCACCGTCCACACACCCCCAAGTAGATTCCTATCTAAGCGACTCATTTAGTGCATGCTCGGTGTGCCAAGCCCCCACTATCGCGAACTCGACCCCCTAAGGAGCCCACTGTGCTTTAAGTACCAGCTAAGTATCTCTCCGTCGACCCCGTGCCTGCCGATGGCCGAAGTGTCATCCCCATTCGTGTGCCTGATTAGATCGAGCAGTGCCACACTCGGTGCGATCCCCCAAATCCGCCCCCTACCATACCAACGCATGCGAAACACCATCTCCCGTCGCTGTCGTTCTTCACGAACCTTCTCAATTCTCCCGATGATCCTCTTCCTTTTGTAGCTTACTTCTCCTATAACTGATCTTTGATTGATTTCGTTCTTTACTGTCGACATTTTCGCTTCTTTCAACACCTTGTTAAACTTCGTCCTCGCAGGCAAGTACGCCTGTTTAATACTCCGTTATCCGCTTCGCCACGCCATCTCTCATTGTCAGCCAGCACTTCATTGAGCCTCGTTCGAAATCCCCACGCGCTACCTCCATCGTCGCGTATCCATCGCCACACTTCACCATCGATTGACCTTTGTGCCTTCTGCCTCAGCGTACACAGAGCACCACCATGGCGGGCCGTTACGAGCGGGTCAATACTCAAGATGATGATGCGGAAACGCCTACCACCCCCTCTTCACTCCGACCACAGAGGATACCCAGCTCGCCACCTCCTTCGTTTCACTCACGCTCATCGTCGACCGACAGAAGAAGACAAAATGTCAACTCGGATCTCGCGGATGCTTTCGATGCCGATGCCGACGACAGCGATGATGAACCTGATGACAGACAACGCTTAGTGCGTGGTAACTCCTTCCCGGTATCCCAAACTAGCGCCGCTACTTCTTCCGCCCAAAGTGCTCCACGAGAGAACGAGACACAGCAATCCCGACCGAATCAGTCGCAACCGCAGCCACACGGTGCCATCAATACTGGCGCGCAATCAACGACCAATTCGAGAGTCTATGGTGGTGGTATTCAGTCGGACGGTGTGTTTTCCAATATGACAGCGAGGCCCGAAAGGGGTGAGAAGATTGTAGAGGAAGCGCCTCCCGTATGTACACCTTACTGCTTTACTGTTCACAATTAGAACAATTCTGCTAACATTGATTCTCTCTCAGACATACGAGCAGGCTGCTGCTGATGCCGCGCCTCCTTATTGGGAGACCACGATACTTGCCCCTGGGTTTGGCGGCCCGGATGATGTTTACATTGACGGTATGCCTGTCGGCTCTGTCTTCAGCTTTTTATGGAACGGCATGATTAGTACCTTATTCCAACCATTTGTCGGTTTCCTTCTTACGTACCTTCTACACTCGACACACGCCGCCAAGAATGGCTCGCTTGCCGGACTCGGCATTACCATTATTCAATATGGCTTCGCTTGGTCAGGCTCCGATGATGGTAGCATGGGCGGAGGCTCTGGAGATGGATACGCCCAGCCTCCCGATCCCAACAGCCATGACTTTGATCCTAATGCTGTGGGCAAGGGCGGTGATGGTGATGGATCGGGATGGGCTGGTATTGATAGCAGCGAATGGATAGCCTATCTGATGATGATTGTGGGGTGGTTCATCCTCATTCGATCCATTAGCGACTACATTAGAGCGCGGAGGCACGAGCAACTCGTCTTACAGAGTCCTGATAGAGGACTGGGGATTCCTGTCATTGCCGAAGGAGAGCGACCTGAGACGGTTGTATAGGCATGTCCGTAATGACGACCACTGTTACTTCTATGCTATTGTTACTACTACATGAGCGTGTTATTTCCTAAGGGGAGCCAACCAAAATGTTCCCTTTCACTCCTGTTGTCAACGGTATTTTTTACCTGGGTTCATGGTCCCATAATCTGGCTTTTGTAGCTTGGCGTTGGGGTGGGAATATTGCAGCAGTAGATATATTAACTCGTTGAACTCATTGCTTGCTATACGTCGAGGGTCCTGTGTATGTTTGTTGCTCCTGCGCATGTTTTGTTTGTCATGGTACCCCTGCGCGAGCCTCCCAGCAACTAGGGACAAGATATCTTCAATTTAGTATTGCTTCTTTGTTGGTGCGAAGCCTAGGAGTCCATTGCATCGTTTGCTATGTAAGGAGTCCAATATGCTCGACTTCATCGATTGCGCTTCATTTATAGTGCGACACGCATCGGCCAGCATGAGATGTAGCAAGTCTTCTAAGTTCATCTACTCACATCGGCTGCTTCCTCCCAGTTAGTCTTGCATTACCTCTAATGCGTATAGTATATACTTGTCATATCTCATGTCATACTTTCACACTCGATTGGATATATTTTCCTTTCCTTCGCCCCTTACATGAGCACTACAGGAGGTGTCAGCCGCAATGCTCAGAGTTGCGGGAGACGCTCCCTACCGCGTAAATATGCTATATATGCCAACAATGGGCAAACAAACCACCCTGCTGCGTAAGAATTCACCAATCAAAAACACAACTCATTCACTAAGGTTCGAACTATATACTCCTTGAAACGCCAATCAAGTCAGGGAGGGACTGTACGTTCTTAGCCTGAGCGACCGATTTCGCGCCCTCCGAGGAAGCTACCGATGCGATGTGAGGGATGTCAATATATAAAATGGTATCAGAAGCCCCTTGAATGTCTTCTTCTTCCTACGATTCATCTCCTAGGAAATTCGTTCAGACTTTGGCTTAGCGAACGCACTGCATTTTGAGATAGCACCTGTCTTTGAGTGATCCAGATCGAGGTATATATATAATGTGCACCTGTCTATCTTTTCCCCTCTCATTCCCAACCCCCAACTCCCGTATCTTCCTTATCGCTCGTGTCTCTGGTACAATACTAATGACTATTAAACGATAGATTGTTTGAGTGATCATCATGGCTTTACGACACTCGCAGCACCCTAACCCTGTTCCCAATGAAGACGATTCAGTTGGCCAGCCTTCCTCATCTGCAAGGCCCTCACAACTCGACACTATCAAGAAGAACTTCCACGGACTATTTAACGGTATTCACCAGGGCCGCGAATATGACAAGAGAGCAGGTCCCCGTGACAGCGTTGGAGGGTCAGCAAACAGCTTTAACAAACCCACCAATGACGATGCCAACCCCCCTGAGAATATTATCCAACTCCTGAACAACAATGAAGGCAACGTCAAAGATGACATCTACAAGTCCCCTGAATTTCAAGCCATGGAAGCCTATTACAAGGAACTGGACCAGTCCTGGGAATCGGGCCAGCACGAAGCGGAGCGGCATCGTCAGTTAATGGACATGCGGCTTCCTATCCCCGAGACCATCAAGTCTGGGGACTTTCCGGATTTCCCTGCGACGCCTTGTCATATTTTAATTATGCCATGTAAGACTAATGATTCGACAAATTACCACCTTGATCGCCGCTAACATATGAATCAATAGTAGAGAAAGTTAACAAGTTGCTGAAACTCCTGGAACAGCCGACGCGTGAAGATGTTGAAATGGCTCGTAAGCAGCTCGCTTTTACTCTCGGTAGTCACGACGCTCTCGAAGCTCTTAATAGTTACGATCAGTTCGACGTTCTCAAGGCCCGGCTCCGAAGCATCGAAGACGCCGGTAAGAATCCTGTGTAAGGACAGAACTATGACCAATAGGACCTGTTGAGCGGCCTGTAGCAAACCACATGTAGATCTAGCAGCCCTTGAACAGGAACGCCTGTTAAGAAACTGCAACGACGGGGTACTATATTGATACGTGTTGTTACACGAGGGTCTCTGAGAAGCATTTATGCCTACCTATGTAGGCTAGGGCTATACACAGCGAATTTCTTTGTAGCCCGACTTTTGTTGTTGTTGGGGGTTTACATCTTCCCGCAGACTGGTTTTTAGAGCGAAGCTACGTTATATATGGAACAATATAGAGGCGCTCGAGAGGTTAGATAGGGATAATGAGTAGCCAGCTGTTTAATATTATTTGCACTCTAAATTCGTGCTCCGTGCTAGTGGTAGATTCTACTACTTTACATATTGATTTCACAATCGAACTTGGACAAGATCAATGATTAAGGCCATTATCGCAGCACACACTGTATTGCTGAGATAATTGAAGCAGTATTCTTATTATATGCTAGGAGAGATCTTATTAACATTAATGTCCCCTATACACAATCTCTTTAAGATGCAGAAAAGTAAGCATAATCCGAGTCGTCACTATTTATATAAATATATGTACCGTCTAATATTCTACCAACAAAATGCTACCTCAACCCCGTCGGGCGTATCTGACAGCACTAAACAAGACAAGCGCTGTTTTACTTTTCTTAGGATTAGTTTCTCCTTGCGACGGAAACATTTGGAGCCAATTAAAACCAACCATCAACTACATCCCCATTATCATCAATCCGGGACTGGATAGAGCTATTTGCATCTGGAATCGTAGTTACTTCATCATACAAATACTAGATATATTGGTCGTAGGTGATGACTGTGACGATCCACCCCAGTTGTAGTATACGTCCTGAGCGCTCGGGATCTCTGCCCAGCTGGACATACGGAGTGGGATCATGACATTCACCAGGACCCGAAAGGGGACAAGAAATATCTGTCCGTCGAGGAGGGATACCTCAGCGAGACCTATGCGGGAAGCACCTGGGAATAGGGGCCAATATCCAGCACACAAGATTCAAGCTTGTTCCCACGGCTGAATTAAGGGGCTAATCCCGTAGCCTTCTAGGCATACTTCTCTAAATACAGTGTGACTTAGAATTAGAGAAAATGCAATCACGAGCTAACTTATTAATTTATATGAACACTGATCTTAACCAAGGAGGTGCCATCCTCTCATGGCCGTGTACCAATATGATAATGGGACGATATTACAACCTGGGATTCAAGTCTTGACTTACCTAGTGATGTTACTTTCAGCTGGTCTTAAGGACGGCAGAGTTTACATAAGTTTTTTCGAGCGGTTGCCTCGAGAGCTGTTGGGTCATATGAAGAAAATAAGAGTCCTTTTCTTGAATTGAGACTGGATTGAAGAACTAACTATCTGAAGTTGGGATTTAATCAGTATATATACACAATATGGCCTCTAGGCAGCATCCTCCTGCCTATTCCGCCCGCCACGCAAAAGTGGTGATCATCCTTAGTATTGACAGGGTGATGGTTCTGACAATAATCCTTTTGTCTCCGGGTCTGGTTTGTTGCGAACTGTGGGGTATCATCTCATCTACAATGAACCCAGTCAGATTTGTTTTACTCGCTCGCGCTTCTTTAACCCAGGAGCAAGAACGCGTTCTGTCTTCTAGTGTTATTTCCGTGATCTGCAATATAAGGTAGCATATTAGAGGGGCTAAAGCCATCATTCGGGGCCAACTTTATAACTTTTAACCTTCTACCGTAGCCGGCTGCTTCTCCGCGTACCCACGTTTGGGGGAGGTTTTTTGTCTCGCTTCGGCCGTCGCTTCTCGACGCGACCTTGTCAAATAGATTGCACGCTGTCTCGGGGGGGAGTCTTCGGGTGGTTGCGTTTTCAGGGGAAAGGTCTGCGGAGAGGGGGGACTTGATGCTTGTCCGTCTTCTTGGGAAGACTGTTCGGTCGCTGGAGCGCTAAGCTGTGCTGTGGGTTGGCGGGGAGTTGTCAACTCAGGCACGGCCGGCGTGGGGAGGATCATTTCACCTGGAATTCAGGACGCAAAGTGCGCCAGAATGGAGTCAAAAGAGAAGTTGCGGGCCAGGTCGCTAAACGATACCCCTACCTCATCAAGATTTGCTTGACTGCACGCGAAACGGCGTCTTCCGACGAACTTTACCGCCGTTGTTCGGGCTCAAACCACGTGCAATTCCTGGTATCGATCGTCTCGTCGCTGACGAAGAGCATTATGAAACTCTCCCTGGGAGGAGCACTTGCGGGCTAGCTCGTAGACGTCGGTATAGTATATGTTAGGATCATGAATGGCGATCTGGATGGTGTTGAACTCGGCGTGGAGCGAGATGAAGAGAGGCTCGGGCCCGTCGAACCCGACTTCGGAGAATAACCAGTCCCAGCCACGCTCAAGATACCAATCGACCCAAGGTATATGCTTATCTCGATGGTTCTCAAGGGTCGACTTAGAAGCAGTCTATCTCAAACCCGGTGAAAAGGAGAAAAGAAAAAACGAAATAAACGCTAGACGAATAGCAGTGTATAGATAGCCACTGCACTGATGACTGAGTGAAGAACCAGTGCCATTTCTTCCCGAAACTTTTGCGCAATCTTTTTCAGTCCTCAGAAGCAACATATTTGTCTGTCAACTTCTTGATGATATCCATCGCCGAGTCCATGTATGCTCCTCCTCGGAACATAAGGTAATGATTAAGATAATGATATCTAAGGACGGCGATTAGTGCAATGCTCTATAACGATAAACAATCCGCGCAGGAGGCCATTGTGTCAAGATACTTACAGCTGGTAAAGGGCAATGCGATCTTCGTATTCATGCTTCGGCTCAGTTTTGGGAAGTAATTGATGATACTCGTGGTAGAAGGTGGCGGAGAAGCCACCGAAACATCGCATGATGCCGATCTCATATTCGGAGTGACAGTAGCATGAGCTCGGATCGAACAGAACCCACTCTGGGTTCTCCCAAGCCGGGTTGGCGCCGTATGCCTTATTCCCGTGCCAGAGATCCCCGTGAATCAGTACCGGCTGGATCCCACGCCTGCCGCCTAGATGACCGTTTCTCAGTAAGCGGGGCACAACTATGTCGGTAATCGGCTCCATTGCAGCTCCGAGTTCCTCGTTAGATCCGTGTCTGTCCTCTATTTGACGCAAGACCGTAAGGAGCCTGTTCTCTCTATAGAACTTGTCCCAGGAGGCGCGAAAAGCGTTGTTCTGTTTGGTCATTCCGCAGTAGGTGGAACGGTGCCAGCCGAATTGGGGATCACGATAGCCGGGCGGTGTGCGGGCCGGAGTGCTGTGAAGCTTGGCCAATTTCTGTGGTAGTGAAAGTGCGGGACTATCCTGTGCTGTGGTGGCATTACTGCCAAGCATTTCCAACCACTCCATCAACAGGAAGTATCTTGAGTCATTGTTGGTATATTTGCCAAAACCGAGACTGTAGGGCGTAAGATTCGGCACAGTCTCACCAAGCTCGCGTAGAGCCTCATGCTCGGCTGTGGTTGCGAAGACAACTTATTAGCAAGGAAGGTTTTGGAAGGTAATTAGCTGTAACTATCATACTCACATGCGAACATGTCTTCATTTGGCCCTGACTTGACGAAATAGTGAATGGCTTTGCCATTGACAAGAGCAGTGACCTTTGACGGTCTCGAAAACCCTTCGTTTCCGTGAAGCTCTTCATACCCGCACTCGGGAGAAATCTTTAATAATTCACACAGGGCTGGGTCCAGTGGATCACGCTGCGAGGTGCGAATCGGAATGTCCAGGTCTTGTCCGCCACCAATAACCTCTCGATTCTTGAGATAGGTTGCTAGGGCAATATGATTATTTTCCAGAGCAAGTGCTGATGGAGTATGATCATCCATGTCAACGGCGTTCGGATCTGCTCCGTATTGGAGGAGGAGCTTTGCAGCGATCTGATGGCCATTCGATGCCGCCTGGTGTAGTGGTGTCCACATCATGCTGGTTTGAGCATTGGGGTCTGCACCAGCTTCGAGCAGAAGTTGGCATATGGTGGCATTGCCAAGCCACGCTACCTGCTGCAAAGGTGTTTCGTCTGTATCGGAACCGACTTCAGGATCGGCACCGGCATCTAGAAGAGAGTTGACAATGGCGACTCGGCCATTTAGTGTCGCAATTGACAAGGCCGTGTGGCCTTCTCTCGTCTTTGCCTCGATGTTTACCCCGTTCTTGATCAAATGAACAGCTGCTCTGTTATTACCGAATGAAGCTGCATGCATTAGAGGAGTCCATGATTGACGATCTTGCGTCTCAAGGTCGCTTGAGTTGTTGAGCCAAAAGTCTAGCATATCCAATTGGTTGCTTCGAACAGCGAGGTGGAGTAGCGTGCGACCTTCCTTATCTTGGACTTTGGAATCTGCGTTGTGCTCAAGCAATACTTTGACAACAGAGACCTCACCGCTGTATGATGCCCTTTGGAGTGGTGTTCGACTTGAGTAGATAGCCTCAATGTCGGCTCCAGCGTCGAGGAGGATACCCAGTGTCTTCGGGTGTCCATTGACTGCCGCATAGTGAGCCGGCGTGCAGTCCGACTGGTCACGAATGTTGACTTGTCCTCCTTCACGAACGAGCTTCTCCAACGATCGATAGTTGCCGTTGATTGAAGCCAAAAACACTGCTGTTAAGCCACTGGAATTCCGGATCTTCTGGTCTGCTTCCAAGCTAAGAAGCTGTTCTACAGCGTCCGGGAAGCCGTTTCTTGCTGCCCACATAAGTGGAGTATATCCGGTGGAGTCTTTTGCATTTATATCATCACCACGTTCCACCAGCTGTCGTATCAAGCTGCTGATACCTTCATAGGCGGCAAAGTGGAGGGGAGTGAAATCTTCCGGCCGTATCAGCCAGTCGGCATTGACGGGGTTCCAGTAGATGTCGAGCCATTGTTTCTGGGCTGATGAACTTGATCTCAAGAAAGGGGTGGACAGGTATTGAGACCAGTCTAGCAAAGATCCAGCTTGTCTTGCATGATCAACCCAGAAGAGGCGTGGGTAATCCAAGATGGACTTCGCTTCGTCTACCCTAAATTTTCCTTCGTCCACTCCGTCCCCTGAAGAGCTGGGCTCAAGAAACAGCTTCAGGAAAAGTCTTGCAAGTTGCGCCTGATACTCACCAAAGGGAAGGGGGAACAGGTCGTCAATTGACAGAAGATACTCCTTTACCGATTCGTGGACGAAATGCACCGTGTTTTGTCGTACAGTGATGAAGGAGCCACCAAGAGCGGTATACTCAAGGAGAATATTCTCATCAGAATGATGGTCCTCCGGAAGTTGCGCCAGCGACGCGAGCTCTTGTAGGCTCAAAGGGCGCAGAGCAAGAGCCATCGTTCTGAGGATCCTTGTAGCGTACTGCACATGGTTTTTCGGTCCTGTGCGAGTCTGCTGCAGGATCCGGTCGTACAGAGGGCCCAAGCCTTTTGGTAGTGTTTGCAACACCTGATCGGTGTCAAAGAGGCGAACATTGGGTCTGGCTAGTGCACCGCAGGCCATTGAGACGTAAAGGAAAGCGCCTTCAGACATTTCCTTCAGTGTGTTTGAAACCAGACTCGCAAGGCTTGTGTTGTAACCCTTTTCCTCCTTCAGGTCGTCCACCCGCGCGTCGATGAAGTCCGATACTGCATTTCGTACTTGTTTCGCATTCTCTTCCAGGCTGACGCTGAGCGTTTGCTCCAGGGTTTCAGTAATGGCGGGGATATTTCGGCTGGAAAGGAACCATTTGACCTCAGATCTCGGCTGATCCTTCGCACCAAGCTGCTCGGAATCGAGATAAGGATCCAAATACTTCAAGAGCTCACCAATAGACTCTTCGTCCAACTCATCAAGACCGTCAATAATGATGTAGACTCGATGTACACTGGGATTGGCGAATAAGTCTCTCAGAATGCGCCACAGTGAAGGCAGAGCAGTAGGTGACCTGAGTAACTGCTCTCCCTCGCTGTTCAACAAACCCTTGAAGTAAGCGGACAGGTCTGGACGGCTCTGAAGAAGCTGGTACACTAAGCTGCGTAGGACAGCGACCAAGTTGTTGCGTTCGTTACTCTTGTTGTCGCAGAAAAACTGGGCTACGAGAACACTAGGGCCCGAGCCACTGGCCTTGATTTCTTCAGTGATGTCCTTAAGAACCGAAAGTGAGAGCATTGTCTTCCCTTTTCCATGGTTCCCGTGGAGCCAGAACACACGGCCCTTCTTGCAAGTAAGCCATTCATTGAAGTTTGGGTCGGCCTGCAGCCAGGTACCGGATCCTTGCAGCAGTGGACCTTTGTTGTGCTCGATCATGTCTACATCATCTGCAGGATCTGTCGCTAATAGAGCCTTGAGGGATGCATTTATCTTTTCGGAAGAGACTAACGAGGGCAGATCAGTCACTTAGGTACATATAATAGCAGCACAGGTCACGCTCACAGTCCTTGCGTCTGGCCAAACAATCGGCACTTCCCTGCACGAAGGCAATAAGTTCGTCCCGTACCAACTTGTAGTTGTAATCGTCGGGTTCTGCATACTTGCAGAGATGGAGGTGATCTGTAGTGAGAGCTGTGTTCTTGAAGCCGGGAATTGTACTGAATTGCTCATCCACCAAAGCTTTACCTTCTGCAGGTTGTTCGAAAAAACAGCACACTGGGATATGGTGAACGATTGCAACACGAGCAAAGTCCCAGGATAAGGTGGTAAACGAGGAGGGTTCTTTCTGTACTACTGATCGTGGGTCATCAAGAGAAGTGTCAAGACTGACGGCTTCCAAGGATTTCAATGATGTAGCTCTATGGGGAGTTCCAAACAAAGCAATGCCAACAAGCGACTTCCTCAGTAGCTGGTACTCGTCATGGGGAAGTTCAGAAAGCAGAGCAGCCTGAGTGACTCGTCAGTTGTTGTTTCTGGATGTAGGGCCCGTCATAGATTCGCGAGGCCCTTAAAAACACGAGTCGAACCCACCTGTTTGACAATGAGCCCACCTAGAGAATGCCCAATGAAGATGAGGGGTCGCTTGGGACATGTGCGGCGCTTGGCCGTAGAGGCTCGCACAAGCTCTCTTGCCAACAGAGGGAGCAAGTGTTGGATTGGTCTGTCTTGACCGAAACCTTCCCAATCGTAAGAAGCATGCATGATACGAGCATTGGGAAGCCAATAACGCAGCATCGTGTCATCCTTGAGCCAGTTAACTTCGCCATCACGCCATGGGTCCTTGGCCGCAAGTCCGATTCCCGGAACAGCTACGATACTGTAAATATTATAATCAGAAATGATTTAGGGTATAGCAGCATGCACCGAGCTCACTCGATTTGTTCGGTCGGATTCTCTTCATTGTTAAGGCCAGATGTCGCGTCGCAGAGTATCTCTAGTTGGAGGTCTACCTGAAACTGCGTTGAGGACTTTGAGTAGGGTTGTCAGCTTCTTAGTACTTATATGTATTCCATAGCGAATAGGAGGCTTAGGGTTTTTATGTGCTTACCATCGTGACAGCCTTGATAGTCGTTTGGTCTTCTCTTGAAGCTCAAGGCAGCGGGTACGTCAAGGGTTTGAGCCGCACGGATCGGGTCTTGGTAGCAGGCTGACTCCATGAGACCCGCGATATCCTGAATTCGACCTGCTTGTACATCTTCAGGGCGTCCAATTTCGGGCTGGTAATAGAAAGCGGGGTAAAACAGCACAAACTTGGGGGGCGTCTTAAACACGCGGCTGCCGACAAGGGTTCGAAAGCCACTGACATAGGTATTCTCATATTGGTCCATGCATTTGTTCTGAGTGATTCTGGTCTTGGCGCGAATACGAATTGGATGTCAAGGTAGGCTGCAGCCAATACTTAAAATAACCTGGGCATGTTACGCTCTCTTCTTCTTTCCTTTGTCGCACACTATATTTTGCTGACTGATTTGAACGATATGTCGTTGACCGAGGAAACAGTGAGGCCTGGCAATTGATTGCTTTTTTTCCTGACTATGTCTGAACATCCAAAGGCGAAGCGCATAGTCATCATAGGTACGTCGATGACACAGCCGAGCAGCAGCCTGATCACATTATCGTTTGACTAATGGTTCCTATATCTAGGTGGAGGGGCTGTTGGATGTGCCACTGCTTACTTCTTGACCCGGCATGCCCTCTACGATAGTAGCAGAGACCAGGTCACTCTTGTCGAAGCTACCGAAATTGCGGGTGGCGCCTCTGGTAAAGCTCATGCCAGTGTTGCAGATTGGGCCGCTCCTCCTTGTCTCGCTACGTTGAGCTGGCAATTGCACACAGAGCTAGCTACTGAGCACAACGGCGCTGATCGCTACGGATTTCGCAGAGTTCGCTCAGTATACTGCGAGATCGACCTTGACGATGCTCCTGGCAGAGATCCACCAGCAACTATAACGCCATCATCCAAGACTCAAGCGCAAACGACAGAGCCAGTGCCTAAGCTCATAGACGCGGGCCGCGTGACAGCATGTAATCTGCGAGGGAACGGCCCAGAAGGCTCTGCTCAGCTTCATCCCTATTGGTACACCAAGACATTGGCTCAAGAAGCGGAAGCTAAGGGCGCAACGATCATCTTTGGCTCTGTTACCAAGATTAACTACTCTGATGATGGGAAAGCCGTCCAGTCCGTTCTCTACACAGCGAAGGGCTCCGAAATTGTCAATGAGTTACTCGCAGACTATGTCATTGTGGCGGCAGGTCCATGGTCGAAGACTGTTCTCCCCAAGCTTCCCATAGGGGGTGCGAGAAACAATACACTGCTTCTCGAAGTTCCGAGCACCGAGACGCTTCCCGAGCTAGTATCCTTCAACAATAAGATTCCGGGCTCTTGGTTCCCCAGAGTCAAGATCTACCCACGACCTGACAACACCGTTTACATCACCGCTGGCACGGACGCTGAAGCGCCTCCCCTCCCGGCGTCTTCCGACCAAGTCGAGGTCGATAAGGAGGTTTGCGCGCGGATTCGGCGCGCCGCCGAATATGTGTCTAGCCTTCTGCATAACCGCAAGCTCATAGCTGTGCAGGCTGCTTATAGACCTGTTGTGACAATTGAGGGAAGAGACCGTGCCGTAGGGCCGCTCCTGGGTGCTACCACAGTCGCAGGTCTTATCGTAGCTACTGGTCACGATAACTGGGGAATACAAAACTCGCCATCAACTGGGAAGATTGTAAGTGAGATAATTTTCGACGGGGCCGTTAAAAGTGCGGATATCTCGAGTCTGGCTCCCGGGGATGTGGTCTAGTCGTTCACTTGGAGAAAACAAGGGTTTCCCGATTGGTTACTCGGTCTGGAACTTTGAAGAGATTTTCATGATATAGCAGTACTGATCTACAACATATGCCCATCTTATTGTGTCGCTTTCTAGATACAATATCAATTTTGACTCTGCTAAAAGTGTTTTTCTTTTTTTAAAGACGATAAACTTACTATATATAGCGTTAAGTAAATCACAATGGTCTTAAGCCACCAGATTAAGCCACTTAGTTTATTTTAATTAATATTTAATAAAAACTAGTTATAATAATTATAGTTAAAATATTTAATACTATTATTTAAAAAGTAGACTTTAAGATTACTTTGATTTTTATTAATTAATTAATATTTTACTTAAGTTAGTTAACTTTATCTAGTTTCTATAAAGTTGTATGGGATCGGGCTGGCTGATTGATGGGGTGGCTCGTGTCAGAATATAGCCCTTAATAAGGGGGCACCTACAACTACCTTTTGGCGCAGTGGTTATTTCTAACAGCTCGTTGGTGGGTGGGTGGGCTTACCTCAGCTCACAAGACGCGCTTTGTTACCCTCTTTTTTTTTGATTCGCCAACGTGATCCAGGATCCCAATCCTGCAGAAGAGTATGCAGTTGGTGCATTCACAGCTAAGTACGAAGGATGAGCCCATAAGTATCCATCACTCAATATAAGATGGGTACAGTATGAGCTGATGGATACTTTTGGACTCATCCTGCCTTTGGATTGGAACTTTTGATTCACGACCGGGCTCAGTTGAGCAGCCCAATGTAACACGATCAGCCCTGGGACGTCTCATCATGCGCTCGTATTCCAGCCACCGTATTGTACCAATGATACGTGATTGATTTGCCCGTGTCATGGTACCTTTATTTATTGGGCAACTGTTTATGTGAATACACGATCCCAAAGCCCAAGATCCGATTGGATTTCACAATGCGCTTCCTTCATTCCGTCGACCTTACTTTTAATACCTTTGTTGATGATAGGGATATGCCCAAATATGCCATTCTCTCTCACACTTGGGGGCAGGACGAGGTAACTTATAAAGAGATGAAGAAGCGTCCTGATGATGCTGCTAAGAAGCAGGGTTATCAGAAGATCAAAGCGTCCGCTCAGAGAGCACGCGAAGATGGCCTCGAGTATTTTTGGGTTGACACTTGTTGTATCGATAAATCCAGCAGCGCGGAGCTTTCAGAAGCGATTAATTCCATGTATCTGTTATATCAGAACTCTCAGGTCTGCTACGCTTTCTTAAGCGACGTGTCAACACCGTCGACTCACACGAGCGATCGCACATGGAAAGCTGAATTCCAATCTTCGCGATGGTTTACCCGCGGCTGGACGCTTCAGGAGCTAATTGCTCCTAAGTCATTGAAATTCTATTCTCGCAGCTGGTCCTATATTGGAACGAAAGTGGAGCTGGCCGTGGCCATTACGGAGAAAACTGCCATCCCGCAAGGTGTCATCATATCCGGAGACTGTTCCAACTCATCTGTTGCACAGCGAATGAGCTGGGCCGCGGGTCGACAGACATCCAGAAGAGAGGATGAAGCATACTGTCTGATGGGAATCTTTGACGTTAACATGTAGTGTTCAAAGCCGATTAATGCTTATCACTTCACACTACTAATAGCGTCATTAGGCCAATGCTTTATGGTGAAGGGAGGCGTGCGTTTCTGCGCCTACAAGAAGAGATCCTCACGAAATCTGACGATCTGTCTATCTTTTCATGGGTGAGCCCCAGGATGGTGTTTTCAAGTTATCGAGGCCTCCTAGCCCGCGAGGTGTCTGAATTTGCAGAGTGTAGTGACATTGGGTGGGTAAGAGGCACGAACAACGACCCGTATCAAATCACGAACAAAGGGATACACAACTCCCTACCACTCACTGCAAGAGAAGGGAGACCTGGTGAGTTTATAGCCCTTTTAAGAGGGGTTTACAAGAAGCCAGACATGAAAATAGGGATATTTCTCCAGAGCGTGGGAAAAGAACAATACGGGCGCATCGAATCGGACCAATTGGCATTGCCACAGTTCCATCTGCCCGAGGAGAAAACATCTCTGATTAAACTGTTTGTCCGTCAGAACGTTGTGATGGAAGATGCAAGCCACAATCGAGTCGCAGGCGTGTCACTCATCTTCGATGGCTCCGTTATGGAGCTGCTGAAGCCACCGCCAACAGCCTCCTGGAATGAGGAGGCGAAATTTTTCGCATTCGAAGGGCCGATACAGTCCAAAAAGCCACCCGTCTTCATGTGCACACTCCGCAGTATTGGGACGCAGGGCGATGGAATCACGATCACTGTTGATGCCAGCAACCAATGGGGCTCAGTATTGGGAATTGAAAAGGGATGGAATAAAGCGCCTGCTCTAACACCATTTATTCATAAGTTTCATTGTCGGAGGCCGAGGCACCCTGTTTTGGAAGTCAATCTCGAGAGAGGAATCTTTGACGGAGAAGCTCAACTGAAACTTACGGTCAAGAGCTTAACAGTTGGGAATGGTCCCGGTACCCATGCTATAAGACCCAGGGTACCGGCAGGATCGTCTCGCTCTTGGCCTCACTGAGAGACTCCAGTTTCAAAACGGCAAGTAACCAGATAAGCAAATCACAAGAGTCTCGGGCCATTAAGCCTGTGGCTGTACAGGGCCTCATGACGGCTCTGATCAGGAGGTGGCCATAGGCAACCACGGCGACGAGGAGCCCATCGCATCGCACAGCATTGCAGGCGATGGCATAGAGCGACGAATACGAAGCATACCAGTGCCACTCATGTTCTATGGTTCGATGGTTTCGTTTCCCTTAAAAGGGTGCACCGGTAAGGCTAACACCCTGATGGCAAAACGGAGGCCCGGCGGCTACAAGGTGAGCCGCCGCAACACCACGACCGAGCATGATGAGTCAGCACAGGCTTTCGGACCGTGTTCCTCATCTTGCCTTCTTTGGTGTACTCCTCTGCGGATCTAGTAAGAAGTATAGGGTGATGAAGGGGAAAGCCAGCAACAGCAATGGTGATTGGTTGTTTGAAAAATTTTAAGACGCAGAAGGCTAAGCTAATCCAGTGGATCTTCACTAAAGTAACCTGTTGATGAATTTTCGTGATGCTGCTAAGACTAATGTCAACAAGTTTATAATTAAATTCGCTTCTTAGAAATCCCTATATGTTGGTGGTGGTTCTGCTTCACCCCGAATTACTGACTCCTCAGCCAAATAATCTACTTGTTCCACAGATTACAAACGCATGTTAGGCATACCCGGGATATGGTCCAACCCTATATAATCGTCAGCAACGCTTACTGAATGGATATCAAATGATGTATGAGAAGAGTACTTACACCCATCTACATCCTCGACAGCTGTTTGCGAGTTGACACAGCGCATTGCCTCCTCAGAGGTCTGAGTCTTCAGTTCTTTGCAGATGCCATTATTACAGCGCGCATCTAGCGCTCGCTGAAGCGAATCCCCCTTCCACCCGAACAGATAGTCTCCGTGCTGCGAGTATCCCTTCCTAAAAGTGTAGGTGGCAGTATTAGTGATCTATTATGGTAGGTGTCTCTGTGGGGGACCTAGACATAGGGGCAACAACTTACCCGTCGCCAGTACTCCACACGAAAGGTTGAGACCCATCTTCCGGCCAGAGATCTGGGTCGTTGAAGGGTTTAGTCTATAAACTTCAGTTAGCAGGCTGATACTTTGGTTCCTCTTCGCCTGTCGCCAGGGGTAAATGGGTTGATAGGCTAAATAGTGTCGGTACGCTCGCCGAGTATCAATAGACTTACATCCCACATTACCTCATACATCAGTTGAGGGAGCTTAACAGGGTGGGTTGACGGACACTCGCCTACCGACTCAAAAGTACCTGTCTTCGGATATGCGACATGACTTTTGTGGTCGGGGCTGTCCACATTCTTGCCGTCCCAGCACGTCGGAAATGTAATCGTCGTCCGAATTCCTCCAGGACACGGCTTGGCCGGAAAGCTTTGCGTGTCAGCTCCCGTGCAGGGTGCACCGCCGGAGATGCCAGCCACTCCGGCGTTATCAGGCGTCGTATAACACCGATGGCAAAGCTGGCGTTGCATCCCCTTAGACGTCTCGAGCGTGGCATCACCAACCAACATACGGAACCCTTCCTTAAACGCTGTCACGCTGGTCTTGCCATCGTACGGCGGTATATAGTATACCGTGATACCACCCACAGCTCGCAGCCCAACGTTGGCGAACTGAGGCACCCGTTTATATGTGCCGTTCCTTGCCCGGAAGTACATCACTGCGGTCCAATAGTTCGAGAAATCCTCCGAGAAAGTGCATGATGTGCACGTCGAATTAGAGACAAGGTCGTGTGTCCCGGGTTTCATGGCTGCCTGGAATGAGTTGCCCCCTACGACTTGGTGGACGTGAGGCGACATCACCACGCCCGGGTTGACGAGTGGATCCAAACGTTCTATTGTCAGCTGAGAGCAGCTAAAGCGAATCATCTGCTGAGCTACCGCGCCTAGGGCGAGGAGCCCGATGGCAAGCTCTTTCCATTGCATCGTGACCGGATGTTTAACTGAATTTCCACTTGAGTGATTCGAGGGGCGACATGATAGTAAGGTTAAGATAAGTTGCGATCACATAATAGTGATCATCCCTATAATATACCTAAGACTACGAGCCAACCCACTGCAGTGAGCGAGCCGCGATGAGCGAGCTGGCATATGATTGAGTCCTTCACAAATATATTATTTTGGACTGCCGACAGAGGATCTCGCTAGGTTGAGTGGCTAACGTAGATCTATCTATCCGGCTATTTAATATACCAATCGTTGTGTGGTTTCGTACATCTACGCGAGGACGTGAATGCAGGCAATTTAGGCGGGAGCTTGGCGCTTAAGTGCCAGCTTCGCTATATGAGGAAATCTAAAGCGTCGCAATCAGAACGAGGAGAAGGTAAAGATAGGAAAAGCTCCTCGTCGGAGAAGTTGTTGGGGGGATGGTTTTCTAGTATGCGACCCATCCGAATGGCTCACTAATTATCTTGGAAGCGACCAAACCTACATCTAGATGATGGGCTATTGACTAACAAGCCAAGACCCTCATATGTTAGCTTCACCACTTCTTGCTGGTGAGTAATCAAATAGGATAAGAAACCGGATACCCGAAAGCTACAGCTTCTTATTGAACACCCAAGACCGTAACCACAAATTGAAAGCTGTTGGTTATGGCAGATATAGGGCCTGTTTAAAATTCTTATATATGAACCGTAGCTCGCCGTCCTAATCGTCCAAGACTACGTTGAAGTTTCATAGCACCTATCACCATGGGGAAAGGATTGATAAAAGCCGCGCTCATTGGAGCAGCTGCGCTCTTTTGCGAACCAGCAGGAGCTGATCGAGCCTGTAGCCCGAATTCTTCTTCACCCTATGGATGGCGCGTCAGTGACGCGCGATTTGACGGTGCAGATCCGAGCACCACGGACGCAAAGGCAGTCGTAGCTGTTAGCAGTGAGTTCATTCCAGCCCCATTCAACTCATCATATTTCAACAGAGCAAGGCAACCCATAGGCTTGGCCTGCTCTGCGTACCGGAAGAACTGACTGACAAGGTCGAAGTCATTCCAGATACTACCAACACCTTCTTCGAATGTGTCGCAGAGTGGCCAGAGTCTTGGGCGGGATGGACAAAGGACGGTGACATAATCTGGAGTGACTGTATCTGGTCGGCTGCAGGACCGACGCTCGACACATCAGTCGCCTTCGCGCTTGATTGGAAAACTCGCACCATGTATATTTCACACACCTTTGCGTGCTCAGATAAGAATGGGTTAGTGTTCGTATCTCCTTCTCCTATCCGGTAGCCGCAATAGTAGGCGGTCATATTGCGTATAATTTGCTAATTGGAAAATGGCATCTAGCTCGGATTCTATGGCGACAGGTTCCTTCAACCTCGATTTGGACTGTGAGAACGCCGATGACGAAAGCACGCATTGTGCCCTGAAGACCAAGACTACGAGCCCAGGTCTACAGTTCAAGACAGTCGCCAGTGCGCCTCGCCTGGGGGCTAACGCAACGTGTGGAGAGAACGCAAAAGTGTACCAATCTTGGCAGCTTCAGAATTGGCAGCGGCAGTACATGCTTACCCCTGGTGAACCCGCTATACCTCCGGCTATGGACTCTGGACCATCGTTCAAGCTGCGCAATATGGCCAATGGCGGAGTTTTCGATTGCATGCCTGGGAACAAGACGACGGACAATGTTTTTGATGGCGCTTGCACTCCAGCCGCTGGCGCGACACCAAACTCGAAAGTCTCCTTCCGCTTCGACCCTGTATTGGATATGCTCTCCGTTACTCAACGCTGGCAATGCGGTGCAGAGTAAGTCATTTTAAAGAAGGATGATAATTTCAGCTGTCCTTGTTGTATCAGCTCGCTAACAGTTTACCGAGTAGGTCCTCTTTCGATGTGTCGGGGGTGGGATTCGTGCAAGCTACTTGCAACCGACTAGGTAACATGCTTACCTGTACCGCACTACCATTTTGGATTGGCACAAAAACAGTTTAGCATGAAAAGCGTGTTTTAAATCTGAGCGAACCTGTTAAGCGCAGATCAAAATTACTTATTTCGTTATGTAGATTGTCCGAATAACTAAAAACTTAATTTCTGTGAAATGCGCGGCATTTAGGATGTAGAAGTATCTCGTCGCCATAAGAATGCTGATGTTCTTTCAGCTGCGGCTGGATGCCTGACCTAGCTAGATCAAGTCTTAGCACGCTGCCAAGATCAGTCTTCAGAGAACTTCCCAGCACGGGCTGAGATGAGGAGGGAGTCGTCAGACATTTGTGTTTCGTAGATAACGTGCCGTTCTCAAATGTCGAGAACCAGTTCAAGATTGCAATTAGTCAATTAGTCACTGGGCTAGTATGGCATGGTTAGCCCCCTTTCAGCCACTCAAGCCATATGAATACCCAGATCTCCGCTTTAAACCAGGGGTATTTCGCGTCATCAAGCTTCTTCCGCCTACTAGATCCTGGTTTCCGCCTTTCAGAGAGACATTAAATATTGAGATCCTCGAAGTCAACGTCGACGATGCAACCGACCAATATGATACTCTCTCCTACTCCTGGGGCGACAGTCCTATAAACAGGACAGTGGTTATCTCACACTTTGACCACAGCGGGGCAAAGGCAAAGTATGCTACCATACGTATATCTGCCTCTCTTGAGTCGGCATTGCTCAGTCTGGCTCGCAACTGCGATACCGAGGACTGTCGCCCTATATTTGCTGACCAGATCTGCATCAACCAGGCTAGCAATGTCGAGAAAATTGTGCAGGTAAGGCTTATGGGCCTCATCTATTCTAGGAGCATAAGGACGATAGTATGGCTCGGTGAAGGGACGACGGAGACTCGTCGTTGTTTCGATTTCTCGTCTGAGATCAACGGCAAGGGGGTCTTGAGTAGGGTGATGGGGCCGAATGTAGCACACTACATGAACGTTTTTGACGCAATCATGGAACCCAGCCTAGAGCTTAAAACAAACGCCGAGCGAGAAGATCGCGACGACCTCATAGATCTTATTACACGTTATGGCACCCTTTTCCCTCTTCGTGGTTTAACAGAGATACTTCATCATACATGGTTCAACCGCCTGTGGACAGTACAGGAGGGATGTCTTCCCACTGGATTGGTATTTAGATGCGGTGATAGATCACAGTGCTATGACTGCATCCGAGGCCTTTTGCTCTTTTACTCGATGTGGAACACCTATTGGCTGGGAATGCCGAAAGGACCTGTCGCCAAAGAGGAACTCCGCCTGCGGAATGAAATATTCACACTCAACAAACCCCTACTTCAACTAGTCAAGGAACGAAAAGCGATACATACAACTCGGTCGACTCGAAGGGCTCTCAATGATATTGTTATTCAGTATAATGTCAACGATAGGGTGCCTAAAATAGGTGCATCGAGAGCTGAGGATCGTATTTACGCGCTCCTAGGTCTGGCAAGAAACGACGAAATGACGAGGGAGATCACGGAGAGTATGGAGGTCAATAACGTAAAGGGCAGCTTCACTAAATTTGCGGCTTCTGTTATCAAGCGTAATGTCGATGTGCTCCTCTTCTCGCAATGGCCTAAGTCCATAGAACATGGACATCAATTACCCTCTTGGGTGCCTGATTGGGCGATGGATCCTTTGAGGACACCTCATGGATACTCGGATCTGGCGACGCCCGTCTATTGCGCGGGAGGGCGTGGAAACAGTCATGACATAGTAACTGATGTGTCAACGGGGGTTCTACGACTTAATGCTTTCTCTGTTGGACGCGTTATACGGGTGGGCGTATGCAGTATTGAGCAGGACAAGGATGTTGCTGTTGAGAGTATCGAATATATGTCTGTGAGGGCCTTTTTCGACGAAATTGACAACTTCGTCGAACTTGCTGCAGATATGAATGCTACGCATCCCCTAAGTACTGCAAACGAGGACCACCGACTCGAGCTAGCGGTTCGGCTTTCGGACGGCGGTCTTTCGGCACGACAATTCCCAGCTCAGTTTGACCCATCCACAGCAAACTCGACATTGCAGAAAATACATGTCACCATTTCGCAGTGGGGTAAGAAGCGTACAGATGTTGAAGCTAAAAAACGGTCGATGAGCAGCTTTACTGGCATGATTCGCAGTGCTGGAATCATGCCATGGTATTGGACCCCAGCGAGTGAAGTCGACGTGATTCGCTTATGTGCTACAGATCCTATAGCAGCTGCTAGGCTGTGGATCCAAGGAGTCTTGTGTACGATGTCCGATATGGGATGGGTGATCTGGTATGTCGCGAAGCTGCGACTCCATACAGCCATAATACGAGTCCGTCGGACTCTGACCAAGCAGTATCTTACACGCCCAGACCGCAATCCTGCGCTCGAAAACGTTGGGTTGCCAACCGACCTCGTCTACTCAAAAGAATGGGAGCTGTACACGAGCAATCTATTCAAGAATATGGGTCGGAAACTGTTCCTGACGGATACGGGCTATATCGGTCTCGGACCTGATCATATGAAGCCTGACGATAACATCATTGTGGTACCTGGTAGCACTGTTCCTCACGTACTACGAAGACGGCGTACCTCGAGTTCATTGGATGGCTACTCAAGCAATAATGATGTACTTACATGTTCATATGTAGGAGAAGCGTACTGTGACGGCGTGATGGATGGTGAGTTGATAATGGTGGAAGGGAACAAGACTCAAGTATTTGAGATAGCCTAGTATAACGCCTAGTTTTGGCAAGTTTTCTACACTTGACGCTACACGCCCAGATAGCCAAATCATTCACACTGGCCAAGTAGAAGAATAACTAGAACCGCAAGGTATCAGCGCGACAAAATCCACCAAACCCGAGTATGAAATCCTTAGTGAAGCTCTCTTACTCTATCTTACAGTAATTATCCGACCCTGTCTTATACGGGATTTGAAGCGTTTCACCCTTTAGCACCTGGCGCTCTCTTTTCGGTCGCCGGCATCTTCATCCGCAAGCAATAACCCACTCCTCGAAGTATGAGCCGTCAGAGGCACGTGCATATCGCATCGTTTAGTCAGTGGTAAGGGGAAGTGAGGTATATCATATTAGCTATACAAGTAGGTCTCGACATACGATTGGATATCGCGGCTAGTATCTCAACCGGAAAAGAAATGTATCAACTTATTGTGCTATTTCCGCCGTAGATTGAGTGTTTTGACATCTCTGGGCCCTTTAAGTAGCATCGCGGTGTGGTGAGTCACCGGCATGTCTCACTATCATCTCTCACTTAGTGCTCAAGCCATAGTGATGATTTTCTGGCCTTTCATTGACCATCCTCACCGGCGTTGTTCCAAAGCCCCTAGATCAAGAAAACGTATGTAGGTGCGCATACATCGGGAATGAATGTGTGCATAGTTCCGTTATCTCATCTGCAATGCCTACTTCGGCTCCATCCCGACTTCGGCTTGAAAATGCTCGGCTTGGACGTACCTTCGGCCAACGCGGCTTGGATTAAGCTTTGCCCTCTCGGTAATAATACATAAAAGCACATAAATCTAGGTTCTTTTCGCAAAATTTCACACATTTCATCTTACCTATATACTTGAGGCTGTTTCTCCGATTAGAGTTTATTCTTTGCCAGCGCTAGCTTTGCTTGCTCAACCTTCCTTACATACTAGCTTCTCCTCTACAAAATGACGATCGGGTCGGATATTAAGAAAGACATACAATGCAGTGGCCCTTTGATAGGTCCGGAAAGGACGAGGATGTCTCTTTCTCTAGAAAGAACTGAGCCTCAATCCCTTCAGCGGAGCCGTTATAATTATTTGACAGTTGTTGGCCTGTTTTTTGTCTATCTAACCACGCTCGGCCAGTTAAATTCGTTCAGTGCCTACCAAGACTATTACGAAGAAAGCATGCTATCAACTTATTCTCCGTCAACCATTTCGTGGGTGGGAACGTCGCAGGTCTTCCTCCTAGGCATAGTGGGACTACTCTCGGGTGCTATGTACGACCGGGGATACATCCGCCAGGTTCTCATCCCCGGCTTTGTTTTCGTTGTTCTAGGGTTGCTTCTACTCAGCTTTTCTCGTCAATTTTGGCACGTTCTTCTATCGCAGGGGTTTCTAGTCGGTATAGGTAAGTAAACTGTTCTTTGATGAGGCATCTTATAAGGGGTACTGATATACTGGACTTACAGGGGGCGGCTTGTTGTATGTTCCAGCAATCTCTATTGTGTCACATAATTTCGCAACCCGGTCTGAATTAGCTCTCGCTATTGCAGGCACCGGGGCTTCTGTGGGAGGTATCATCTGGCCCATCTCATTTCGCAGGCTACTGGCTTCTATCGGATTCGCCTGGGCCAACCGCGTCATCGCCTTCATCGTCTTAGTCCTGGCAGTTGGATCGTATTTCGCTCTTATGGTCCATTCTCGACTCAATTGTCGTCACATTTTTGAACTGTTCATACGGCGCCCAAAGACCGAGAAATTGAACGAAGGCAATATCCCCGTCATAGACAATGGGTATCTCGGCATATTACGCACTGCCTTCGAAGGCCAAGGATATCAATTTCTATGCATTGGGATATTTTTTACCTTCTTCGGATATTGGGTTCCCTTGTTCTACATTGTCCCCTATGCCGCACGCTCACTTGACACGTCCCCAACCTACGCCTCTAATCTACTCGCAATCTTAAATGCCGGCAGTTTATTTGGTCGTGTCATTCCAGCTGCTGTGAGCCATAAAGTTGGCGTAGCTAATGTCCTCTTGGCGGGAGTCGCAGCGATGGGCGTCGTGATACTGGCTTGGATTGGCGTCGAGAGCGTGGCAGGGATAACGGTTTGGTCCGTTGTTCTAGGGTGCGTTTGATATCTTATTTGCTTCATGGTATCCTTCTCGATGCCGCCAATCATACTGAATATTGGTCTCCATAGGTTCACAACAGGCAGTATTATCACGATGCCGAATCCGGTGGCAGCAAGACTTTCCCAGGTTTCGAATACTGGCGTGCGCATAGGTATCATGTGGGCAGTAGCAGCTGTTGCGGAGCTAATTGGACCGCCTATAGCAGGCGCATTGCTGACACAACGAGATGGGAAAGTTAGCTATTTGGGCTGTCAAGTCTTTGGTGGAGTTAGTGTTTTGATAGGTGCTGTCTTTCTTACAGTTCCCGCATATCGTACATATAAAGATGGAAGACCTGAGCAGCAATTAGATTAACTAGCATTACAGTTAACTTCTTCATATGCTGGCCTGGGTATGAGAAAACGGTAGCGATAAGAAAACCACCACACATAGTGAGCCGGTGATGGCCAAATGGGCTCATAATTTATCATCTAAATATAGATAACAAATATGCAGTATAATGTAGGGCTTGGTACCTCTAAAAGTAGTATCTCATCTTTTGGGTTGTGTGTTCTCATACTTATTTCTAGATCAGCGACACACTTAAGCAAGGAATATGTCCTGCTTCTGTAATCGACCTTCTTCGACCTCAATCGCGGCCTTCCCATCCATATAGCCATGTATATAGACGGAGTGTACCATACGATATCGTAACTCATTATTCTCATAGAATGGACGTAAAAGGCACGGAACCCTGCCGCCGTCTAGAATTGCAAGGACGTCGTCTTCCTGCGCCTGCCTAGTGGTCATCAGTAACAAACCTGTCTTTGATATGGTGAATAGCCAATTTCCCATTGAACGTGAGAGCATTAACCAAGAAGCGAGGTCGTACTGAATCTGTGGCTCAGGAGTATCGCTTGCAATGAGTTGTCTGAAGATTTTTTCGTCGGCTTCAACCTCTTCTGAAGAGAGCCGCTTCATGGGGTACGACTTGCAGTCCATGACCATCGTTCGCCAGAAGGCACGGTAAAGTGGTTCACCTGTAGCTTGATAGACTTCGGAGTCCTCATCCAGTAGCTCCCTTTGGAAATACAGTTGCATCCATTTGCGGGGGTGGTGTTGTACTTCTTGTTTGAAATCTTCGTGGTGAACTGAAGCCAGCTGGTCGAGTATTACACCCCTGGTCTTAAGCAACCCATCTTGGGATACGTTGCATGGGACAACGCAATTAGGAGAGCCGGCAGAGAAAATGCCCCTTTGTGCGAAGAGCAGCGACTCAAGTCCACTCCTGAAAACAGAGAAACGTCTACGGTTGACGAAATCAACTACCCATGATGGCAGCTTTTCTGACCCTCCCCCCCTCTCTTTAAGAACATCCCAAGGGTTCTGGCAGATGATATCTAGATTGGCTGTACTGTCAATGAAGAACCTGGTGATATCAGTAAAGAGCTCCTGGGCTGGTTTAGCGTAATCAACCTTAAGCGGGTGCTTCTCCGATACGAGCCCTAGCAATCCGTAGACGACATCCCGTTGATCACTCGCATCAGCGTATTGAAACCTGGCCAAGACGTCTATCAACTTGGATACGTATCTACCCTCCTTTACATCGCCCATGATGCGCCGTTGTTGCTGAATCGTCTGTACTTTACCGAAAATGGATACCACTGCCCCATGCAACGAGTAGTGCCCGCCAGTAACGTGGAACGCGTCCGCGTAAGGCTTATTGTCGTCTCTGAGAAACGAGGCAATATCCCCCCAATCGAGCATCTCGTTTCCCGCAACTAAAAGTACTTGGTTTGCACAAGAAAGCTCCTGCATCACCCATATACGGGACCAGAGCGGTGCCGAAGAGAAAAGGTAATGCAGCGCTGTTTGGTCCGAGCAGGATATTACCCAATGCTTGGTGTTTTGTTCTCCCTTCCTTCCTGATCTTGGCTTGTGTTGGTAGGATCTCCAGCGTTCAAGCATGTCATCGAGGCTCTCAGCATCGTGATGATATATTTTACGGAATATGCGCATGCCAGCTTGTAACTGCTCAAGGAGTTCATCGGCCGCTTTGCTGACAATCTCCTCACCAGGCTCCTCCACAGATGACAAATTTCCAAATTTCGACTGAACGCCCCCAGGGTTAGGGCCTAGCCAGGCAAGATCCCGAGCGCATCGTGAATATATCTCCTTCATGAGCGTGACTTGGTAGTTGCGCTCGGCAACATCTGTCTGATTGATGCAGAGGGCATCTACCCAGAGGACGCGGTCCGATGAGGCGTGTCTTAGGTGTCGCAGTGCACACTCGAGGTTTTTCGTTATTTTGAACGGCTTCTCATCGACCAAAATATCCTGCGTGAACCTGAGTGGCCCCCATACATATGAGAGTGCCTCGTACTCAGGCTCGTCTTCTAGATACACAGGGAATAGCGTGCATCGGATTATGTCGTCAAAGGCCTGTGAAGGGTGTAACCGAAGCAAGCGGATTCCCTGTCGATCCAAGCTGAGAGACTGGTATATTGTAGACATTTTGCGCGCGAATTGTTTTCACCTGGTTCCATCATGCGATTTCTAGCCGAATACTGAAGATGGCCAATGCCATCTCTCATGACCTTTGATATTTCCCATTATAAATAACTACCTTCCTAGCTACCTACTTACCTAACCTTAAGTAGGTAAGCACTTACGGAGAAGCTGTGGCTGTGCGTGGCTTGTTCCCTGTCACGTCCACGTCGCGCCAAGTCAATTGCTCAAAATGCATGATATAGTGAATAATGGTAACATTTGCTTACTACGGCATCTAGTATTTATCACAATCCGTGAATCCCTATTTTGAGATATGTCGGATCCTCATCAATGCGTCTTCTGACATCGCCACTTTGTAGTTTCTCTACATCCCACGACGCCCACACGAACCGTCCGTGGAGAAACTGGGCCTCGGAAGACGCGGCCCACACGGCAAAATGGCCCGGTAGGTCGACTGCGTTGCATCGTCAGCGCCAACTGCAGGCTTCTCTCCACGCCTCTATAGCTCGGCCCGCACTTACCATGGTCCCAGGGCACCGAATCCTCAGCGAACCCTTTGGATCGAGCGTTCTCGGTGAAGATGCTACCTGGATGGAAACTGATAATCTGTAACTCTTCAGGTGAACTGTCTTGCGCGATTAGTTGCAGTCCTAGTTGAGCCGAGAGTTTCGTCAATGCGTAAGTTGGATAGTCGTTCCCGATGTTGAAGTCGTGCACCGCAACTGACGACACATAGACGAGGTACTATATATACCGTTGTCAATTGTAACTGCTCGATCTTGATGCGCCTGCGGGCGAACGCTTACTTTCGTTTCGGAACTGTCTTTATTCCCCTGCTTATAGAATCTCTCCGACATCTGCAGCTGTGCCCGCACATTGGCATCGTACACCTCCCATGTTGCGGCAGTGCTAATGTTGCGTAGAGACTTGTTGGGCCCGAATGCAACTGCATTAAGCACAAGAACATCCACTACTATACCGTCTGTTTTGAGCTTGTCCCAGAGAGCTTCGACAGCCGCGTTGCTAGAGATATCGCAGGGGTAGCCATCGATTTTTGTCGCATTAGCTTCTTTTTGCAGATCCTCAACGGCTTGTGATACCACTTCTGGTCGGCGCCCTGTGATAATTACTCTTGCGGCTGAAGCCCTTACGAATCCACGAGCGATGCCGTACCCGATGCCAGTAGTGCCACCTGAGATGAGAATGGTCCTACCAAGTTGAGAGAGTTCAGGTCGCAAGGGAGAAATGGCTTCATATGTGTTGTTGTGCACAGGATCCGTAAGAGTCGCGTATTTGCCGAACATTTTGGCAGCCTGACAGCAAATGTGTCTCGAGTGAAGATTGAAACAGGCTCTGGCAGTCTGCCTTTAGGATTTACTGTTCTCATCTAGATCTTTACTCGCACTTATAAAAGCATAGCTGCCTTTTATCGGCAAATCTTCTAGGGGATGTATCCTTCGGGATTGCCTCAAACGGAAATGCCACACCGTCCCCCAAAAATGTGTGACTTTCCTTTCTCATATATTCAAACTTCGGACACATCTACTGTCCCTCTATGTGGCAATCTCCATCTCATGTTAGCTACATACCGAGGCTGATCTCGAAGTAAGCTCATACACCGAATGCGCGACTTCCGGGGTTTCGCCAATGTACTAGCATCGCACCTCCTACCAGGAGCATACATTATCTTGTTTTCGGAGCATTGATCTCGTTATTAGAACACATTCACTACGAGTACACTCAAGGGCGATCTGTTACTAGCTCGTCACTTACCGAATCCAAAGGACTTTCAATCGCCACAGACATCACGATTAGCCCCGGTGGAGTAGTCCTCCAAATTGAGAAACAAGTATGACACAAACAGCTTCCATTTACTTTGGAGGAAGTAGAACATCAGCCAGTTGAACTTCATAGTTATAGTTTGCATTGGCAATGAACCTCCTACACCTGGTATCCTCGCCAGTAAGCTCAGTCTCCCGCCTGACCTCAATTTCTCTTATTTGGCTCAGTTGATCAGATTGCCAGCCTAAATTGCAAAATTCTCTGTCCATTGAATACCCGAGCTGGATAACCTGTGTCGTGTATTTTACAGACTATCTCAATTCTCAACTAAACACTTCGTTTTTCCTGACTCCACAACGCCAAACCGAATAACCTCAAACTATGCTCTGGTGTTTTACAGTTTTGCTTCAAATTGTGGAATAAAGTCCCACCCGTCAGTCTCCAAAGCCGGCTCCAGCAACCCGCCATGGAGGACTCGTTCGGCTTCAGCTTGCAAGAAACCTGGCACTGAAGTCTTTTCGTATTCCGCGCAATATGTTCCATATACTGGGACTTTTCTGGTCTGCTGCAGGTGAGTCGAAGCGTAGCGGAACCACTCAGCCCAGCTTCCTGGCAATATGTCATCATCTTCGTGGTCAGGGAGTACCCATGTCACGGCTAAAGGCATTGCCCATCCGCTACCCGGCCACCAGTAACCGCCGCTAAACTTCACCGCGAGGCAACTTGAGCTGATATTCGTCAACCAGTCCCGAGCGGCTTGCTGCAGCAATATCTCGTCAGGATCTGGATGAGCAGCTAGCGCTGCCGCCCCTGGTAATTGGCCGAACGCGTCCTCTTCCTCGCTCTCTCGTGTCAGCTCAGGTTTGAAAGGCAGTGACATCAATTTGACATGCATCTCAGTCGGCATGAGCGCAGCGTACTTGAAATACTCACGCTCTGCGTTCAGAAAACACACATGCCTCCGATAATACGCTGGCCCGTCCCAGTTCTCCGCTTCATCTACAACCAGGCGTACACGCTCGAAGCAATAATCTTGGGCGAGATAATCGACCATGATGTGAGCTGAATTACCTTTGGGACCGCCGATACCGATTCTATCAGCGTTGGTGCCATCTATGAGGCCCAGATGCCGTATAAGTGGATGGTAACCTAGTGGATGTGAGCTTCAGTCTAGATGCATATTTGGCGAGCTCCTTTGACAGGAGTTACACCTAGGGACTTACGTAGACCGCTACAATCTGTGCGATTCTTCCACAACTCGAAGAACACTTTGCCCCATCGCCCGATGAAAGGGTTGCCCCTTCTCGCGCCAATGAACCCATTGAGGATCTGCCCCTCGTAGCGTCGGTAGTGGAAATTGATTACGAACATTTCATACGGGCACTCAGGGCTCTCGAGCAAGTACCAAAATGCGTCATCAAAGCTTCGGAGCAGCACAGTGCCACTGTCCATCCACACGCCTGCTTCACAGTTAGTATTAGGCAGTCAAGTCTAGGGCCTAGGGAGCAACATGCCACCATGCTTAGACGATGTTAGTCTCTTGATTTTTATGCTTGGATCATGTGTATCAACTCACAAGGTACACCAGAGGGAGCCGAATCATATCACTTGCATGCTGTGCGGGCGTCTTCCCAGTCATCTTCTTCCCAAGAAAGCAGTCCGGTAAATACTCAGCACCAACGTAGTTCAACGCGTGATTCGGTGAGCCTTCAACCATATCAGTGACGCGCACGTCCCATTCAGGACCTAGGCGTCTGACCCAGCCGATAACGTTTCGCCTGCACCATCGTGGCATGTTCTTGAAGCTATGTAAGGATAGAGGTCTCAGCATCATAAGCCACAGCAGCCTCGTCTGGAGAGAAGAGCACGCCTTGCGGTACGTCACTTACCCTGAATGCCAAAATGTCCAGCAATTCTTCTCGTGCCTTACCGGTCGGTAGGTATCTACGAGCCTCTCTATCTCAGCATCTGTTCGGTTGTCGACCTCGTCCTCTGATAGGTGTCTCAGAGCCGGGGTCAATGTAGGCATCTTTTCAGGAAGCATCTTGCCCTAAAGATGCCAGAAATAAAATGAACAAGGAGTTATACTTAGGGGCAGGGTACTTGACGGGAGCGTTGCTATTCGTACCGCAGATACTAATTGAAACGCGAAAGGCGGAAATTAAAAAATTATTAACTAAAAAAAACCATGCTTTATACTACGATATTGACTCTATAACAAGATTTCCCAATATAGAAGTTATATGCCTCAAGCGACCTCCAATCCGCCTCCAAATCGCCTCAGGATGAAGCTTGCTTCATCGTCCTGCATGGGGGACAAAGCGGGGAGGCCAGATCTTCAGCACATCCATTGAAACCGTTCATTGCGGCGACTCTAGCGAGAGGCGATGAATCGCATGCGATCGCACTGACATATCTGCAATCATCAGGGGTCGACGATATTGATTACCTACACGTAGCTCGTGAAGACGGTAGCATCGTGGCGCTTCGGTGTCTGCTATTGCAGCGCACTATAACATAGACAGTAGCTTAATGCCGATGCATGTGCATGCATGAAGTTTGGAGACACCAGCCCCGATAAAGTGTGAAAGCTGGATAAACGTCTGACCAATCGCTAACATTCGAGAAGCTCTATCTAGGGCGACCCTGCGTCCATATGCCTGATCCTGGAGGCCACGAGCGCCCAAATAGTTTATGACTGACTGAGCCGTGTTCGATGGCCCCGATGCCACTATTCATACCCAATCATGCTGTCAACAAAATTGCGCGACGACTTCCCGGCCGCGCCAAGGTAGCTAAGTATATACACAAGCTGACATCCCTCTATTCTGTTTGGTGCCTGTGTTCTTCTCCCCCACCGCATCGTAGGCTGGGTTTCACATAGGCTACTCACGGGGCTGCGCCAAGGGGCCCATGTGCTCTTGGCAATGGGCTTGAGCCATTCAATCATATCCCGCCTGAACCATGAATCTTAAACGGTCTGGGCCGATCTGTTTATCAACAGTTGCTCTAGAGGCTTCAGTGCTGCGTCGATGCTCACGCTTGGATCTGTTGTTAGTACAGATGCCTTGGTCGTCATATGGTATCTCTCAGGTGCTGATTGTTTTAGGTAGGGCATTGCCCGACTCCTATGCGCAGCACGATACCGCTTCGCAACTCAGTCAGTTTGGTTACAGCGAGCTCATGGCTTAAGAACAGAATTGCCTACCTTCAATTGAGCGACAAGAGTCTCGAATTCCGCCTTCAGTGCCTGGTCCTTCGTTCCCTTCAAATGCGGGCGGGGTGAATTATCCTTGATGGACTTGCAAAAGCTTCGCTGGGCCGCTGGCATATACCTCTTCAGGTCGGCGTCAGGGTGGTATGTCTCCATTCCCAGTAGAGCATCGAGAGCTTGGAATACCAATATCTGATTACCAGAGACACCGTCGAACCGAACCCATTCTCCATCAATCATCCTACCCAAACCCCAGGCGTGCATGCTCTGCACATAGTTCAACCAGACCTTACGGGAGACGTTCTCTTCTCTCATCTTCTGGTTGAAGTGTACGAATAGCCCACGAAGGCCAGCATTGACACTTCGCATAGCGTCCACAGAGGCGCTCGTCTTGCCGTCTTTGTACGAAGTTATGGCAAGAATGATATCGTGAAAGATGTCAAAAGACTGCAGACAGAGGTCAGCTTACTGCACTCAAATTTGAATAGATCTTGGCTAACCATGACGTCGACCTCATATAGCAGCCTGAAGAACCCCTCCTCCGATGCCTGTATAGCTGGAGAAAGCGAATTGTTGAACCTGAATATCCTTTCGCTTCTAGGATTGAAGTTGTTGAGGACATTGGATGTGTGATTGCCACCATCTGAGTGACAACCATAGTATCGCTGCAGATATGACCAAGGTATGGACAGCTCTGGAGGAAAGTCTAGTTCCTTCTCAAGCTGAGCTACCTTGACAACAGGTAGCGTGGCCCATCTGCAACCTTGGTCAGAACTAATACACATGAGATATGAGAAGGGGGCTTCTACCTATACGCATGACGACTAAGAGCAACGCAACAGTAGAAGCCGTTGAAAGTGTCTCTGGATATGGAACTCCAATTGTCTGCCTCAACCTCTTCAAGCATCGTGGTCACTTCATCTAGGGCGATCCTGTCCCGGAGCAGGCTTCGCACCGCAACGCGATACCTCTCACGCCGTTCAATATTCACGTTGTCATCCATTGACGGTGTGTCCGTATATAGCATTGGGAGAAGTTCCATGTATATGGACCTGTACGGGAAAATGGCTGCTGGCCATGATTCATAGTTCGCCCTGGGTGGCCACTTCGCGAGGTAGTGTTAGAGCCCAGCATTGGCAAGACAGTCTTGTTAACAATGACATAGGAAAAGGTTAACATACATCACCGGCCCCGTCTTTATCTATCATGGCGACTAGAGATGCAGCTACTTTATGTTGAGCTGCGAGGGTTCTCGTGTGTTGCATCCTGTTGGCTTTTCCCGTTATCACACTGGCGGTACGACGGCTCTTCACCATCCTCCATAGCGCCAGCCCTATGAGGGCTGCTGCACAGAAAAAGAATGATACAACAAGCATAATTATGTGCTTCCCTTGGAAATTTACTCTTTCTTTATCGGCTCGAAGTACTTTTGGTGGCAAATTTTCAACAGAACTCGAGTATTAACAGCCATAGTGCCGATAGCAGTGCGAAGTTTACAGCAAATATATATATCCATAGAGCAGCAGCTCTCGAACCTCTCAGTTACGCAAATATTGTCGTTAGACATACTCAGTTACCCTCGTCGTCGTCCTTGTCGGGGAGTTGGGGATTGGAGACTTTGAGCTTTGACCGACAACGGAGTGCAGGGTTTAAGACAATTTTGCCCCGTATGTAGGGTTAAAATACCGAGCGTCTTACCACTATGACACGAGAATGCTGTGATAATTTTCCTTCTTTTGGGAGCTGAGACCATACACGTAGACCGTTCTGAAAAAAATGGTATGATTTACCAACAGTGAAATAAGCATGTACATGTAATGAAACATCAAAATGGCCTTCTTTTCTTTCGATTTTCTCCGTAATGGGGACTCATGACTGGCAAGTGAGGCCTATAATGCTACGCTTGAGCCGCCTTGGCGGGCCTAAACAGGTATCTTCTGATGGGGAAATGAAAATCGCACACCACAATTTTAGATTGAAGGGCCTCTCCGCGACCAATGCCACCCTTGTCATGCTGGGGAACGCATGATACGCGCTTGACAGAGAAAACGCGGTGAAGACTATATACTGCTATGTTAGCAATCGAGGGGTTGAAGGGAAAACGAATAAAGCTTTTAGGGTCACGTTTCCCTGAAAACTGCGCCATCTTTATCACTACGTGCCATCAATGGTTGGGCCAGATATCGGGCAGTAATTGGAGTGTGTCGCCGTGTGGGATCTTTTTGAAGGATGATTCGCTGGTATCCCCGGGCTGGATCAAGGACGCCGAAGACACTCACGCCATTCTGATAACTTGCTCATGATTGCATAATCCATTGTTACTATATCCTGCTGCGCATACGGAAAAAGAGTCTACCAAAACAAAAGAGAAACCACACGATAACCCTACGCGACCGGAGCGTAGAAACTGAACCGATACTTGGGGTCATACTTTCGCTTCAACTCTCTCAGGCGGTCCTGCCGCCACGGCTCATGCCCGTACCAGCCTTTTGAATTCTCGTCACCATAGGCGTAATTGACGTAGGCATGGAGCTCCTCACGACCGCTACCCTGGCGGAGGATGTTGCGAAGCTTGTTGCCGATGCGTTTGGCCTCATCCTCACGTTCCTTACCAGCAGGCGCATAGGTCAACAGCGGTGCGGCTAAGAGGCTGTCGTCGCGGAAGGCGAAGGCGGTAGTTTCCCTATCAACAGCTCGCACACCTTGCTGCGGGTATGCCTCGAACATGAAGAGAGAAGCGCTGAAAGGCGAGTCTCCCCCAACCTCGGCCGCGAAGATATCATACACCTCCCTTTGCGCCGCCACGTTGTACTGCCGCAAATACATCGGAAAGCGCGGGTTGGCCAGCCCGGCTTTCTGGCAAGGTGGCGAATCAACGGCAATCCCCGTCCAGGTTGCCAGATCGCGGTATGTGCCGGACTTGGCCTCGCACGAAAGAGGGCCGATGTCGCGGAAGGGTTTGGTGTACATCGGGTCAACTTCCGTCACTCCCTCCTGAATAATATAAAAGAGGATGACAGGCTATACACTCGGTAAGGAAATAATTCAACAATTTCTTCAGACTCTGCTTTACTTACTCTGTCAGGGTCTACCTCCGGCATGTTCAACCAGTATGACCAGTTGATTACACTGGGATCCAAATCCGAAAAGTGCTTGTTGGCTGTTTCATAGACAGCTTCGACCGAGTCACCACTGAAGATGAGTGTCTCAATAGCCCAGTCGGTGTGCTCAATGTCATAGGCTTTCACTGTGACAGACGTTACAATACCGAAATTCTGTCCGGCACCCTTCACAGCCCACCACAGGTCCGAGGAGGAATTAATCGTCCTCAGCTCACCGCTAGCTAACACGACGTTCATAGAGGTAAACTGATCGGCAACAAGCCCGTGGTGTCCCTGGAGCCAGCCATGACCACCTCCCAGAGCAGGCCCGAGATAGCTGACACATTCACATGTCCCGGTCACTACATATGCGGTCAGCACCAGGTCATTCTCCCGATGCTATACTATCCTCACGCACCTGTCTGCTTTCCTGCCTCCCAGAGAGTATCTGTAACGAATTTGGACGCGGTACCGCCTCCAATCGTAGCCGTCTTCCCATCTTCAGCTACTTCTACACTTGATAGTTGTCTTAGCGAAATGGCAACCCCTCGCTTCATGCCCCCGAGCGTAGTGATAGACCCGTGTACGCCATTAAAGGCTAGTACGGGGAAACCATACTCATGCGCTTGACGAACCTAAGCCATTCATTATTATAAGTGTCACTAGTTGTAAGGGTCGAGATCGGGGGCGTGGGGCAATAGACTTGTGCACTGACGCACCGCAGACGCACTGGCGCACTGACACGTTGATGCGTTGGCGTACTGATGTGGCGACCTGTGTGGCGCGGGGGCATGACTTCAACAGATAACCGACTCAGCTGACTCACCGTTTTAGCCACATCGTCCTCAGTGGCGGGAACTATTAAGACATCTGCCATAGGGCTCTCCAGCTCGGACCATCGTTTCGTTGCCGTCTGGAAGCCTTCCGATCCGGGATAGAAGACGGCGGCGTCGGGCGAGAGGGAGGCTTCCAGAGCCCGGAAGAGACTGGCGGTTGAGTTGCAATGAATGGGGAATTGAACGGGGACGGGGAAGTCTGCGCTTTGGGCAGCGCCCAGCACGAGGCGGCTACACGCCGATAGGAGGGCGATCGGAAATCGACGCATTTCACAGGACAGGGGTGGTTTCGCGGGCGTATAAGGGTCTCTTCTCTACATCGAACGTGCGAAGAACTGCTGCAGCTCGATTAATGACATTGTGAGAGCATCAAGTAGTGCGGTTGGCAGGTCGTGCTTATAGGGGATGCATCCTACCATTATCACCTCGGTATTACATTCCTTCATGAGACGCTTATACGGTAATTATGAGGACGCAATGCGTAACTGCTGGCTGACCCCTGCTAAGCAGATGGCCAGGATATACAGTAAACAAAGATATGGAATTCAGGCGGCCCTGGTCACGATGCAATGCCTTTCACGTTGGGTGCCGCTCGCATGAGTCCTGGCCTCCAATCATTTAAACCAGCTCCGGTTATCCGAGCGTTCGCCTTATCTAGTATACCAAGCCGAAGGGTTACAGTCCAGCGTATCTCCGAGCAGAGGCGATAAGTAGGTGTCATGTTTAGCGCTCACGAACGTAGACATGCACACATGCAGGTAGTGAATAGCGCAGGTGGATATCCATGGTTCTTCCATGGAAGATGACCCTGGCACGCTTGGTCCACTCTCCACACACGCCCCGAGATTCGATACAGATGCGCAGGGAATATATCTGAAAAAGCCCCGTGCTTGGCGATCGCGGGCCAGCTCCTCCTACGGCGACCTATCCGAATACCAGAAAGCCCTTGGTATAGCTTCGCGAGGGGCCCGCAGCGTGAAATCGACATCTACCGGCTGGGGTAAACGTGCATCGCGGCCGCGCACGGATGGTCTCAATAAAACCGGAATAGGACATGACAAGTATCACCACTGTTGTATATAGCTGTTTCAGTAGCAAGATGCCAGGTTCTAGTCTGAAAAGCAAGAGTCTCGGCTTCAAACAACCTTAAACCGTGACAAGCGTCTTGATGCCTCTCAGTGTGCCTAATGTTCTTTTTACAAACTTGAAATCCGCCCTTCCTTGTTGATCTGTTCGTCCGCATCTTTTCCTAAACAATCAAATGTCTGCCAACAACTCTCCTGATCCTGCGGCTGCTGCCGCCGCTGCCTCGGCGGCAGCAGCGGCTCGCTCGTTTGACATCGAACTGTGGACTCTTTACGCCCTTGGTGTGCTCGTGACTGCGCTCAGGACATACGCTCGAATCAAGGCCGTTAGCTTGAGAGAGATGCACGCGGACGACATCCTTGTCTGGGTGGCTATTGTACGTACGCTCAAGGATTTTGTTACAAAAAGCTCTCGTGATTGACTCATGTGTAGCTGTTCTACACTGCCCAAATAGCCTTGGGATATAGTGTGGGAAACCTCGCTCACGGACTCGCCAATAACGGTATGACTGACGCTGAACGAATGGCGTTGTCCCCCGACGATCCAGAATTTCAGATGAGGTCAGTGACTTATCGTGAAGATCGTTCGATTTGTTACTGATTCTCTTGGGGATAGGGTAATTGGATCAAAGATTCAGCTGGCCGGCTGGTCTATCTATTCGTCTTTGATGTGTTTTCTTAAGCTGTCCGTGTTGGTCTTCTATACCCGACTCACAGTGCGTGCGCCTTCTACCCACATCGTGTAGTAGTAGCTAATGAATCCCGCAGCAAGGACTAGGGCGGCGATATCGACTTCAGATTTGGGCGGGCTTTGGTCTTGTTATTGGGACGTTCATTGCGTCGTTGGCGGTTGTTCTCTTTTCCTGCTTGCCAATCGAGAAAAACTGGCAGATTTACCCAGATCCCGGCAGTATGTCCTTCACGTGCACTCGAACAACCATCATAGACTAACATCTAACAGATCACTGCCAACCTGCCATATCTAAAACTATTGTCTGGACTACATTTGCTACAAGCGCGTCGACTGACATATACCTGATACTCGTACCGCTTCCCATGCTTTGGGGCTCTACCTTAAAACTCATCAAGAAGATCGCGTCAAGCATTGTACTCGGCGCCGGCATATTCGTCCTCGTGAGCGCTACAGTAAAGACCATTTTTGTTATAGTGGTGAGTGGCTCTACCTTTTAACCTGGTCGGGACTCTGCTAATTACACATGAAGGATCCTATCAACGGAGCTCAACTTGCTGGACAATGGGGTACACGTGAGGCCTTCGTCGCCGTCTTCACGACCAATCTACCCCTGATATTTCCTCTCATCAAAACATGGCTCGCCCCCATATTCGGCAGTGCGATCCGATCCACTCAGAAGTCGTACATGTTGCATGAGGGCAGTAACACTATCGGCGCGACTGGCAGCAGGGGTGGCAAGCGTAACCCGAAACAGACTGCGGGGTTTACCTCCAAGTTGTCGGCTACTGATAGTCGGGAAATGATTGTGCAGGAGATTCCATTACAGAACGTCAGAGTATCGGGGGAGCCTTCCACGCACTCGTCCTACTCGCCGAATGTAGTGTACATCTCGACCGAAGTGGACATTGTACACGAATCCGCCAGCGGGCACAGCGATGACGATAAGAGACACGGCATTCATGAAAACTGGTAGCCATGAGTGTTGACCCTAGTCGGGAATTATTTCCAGCGTTAATGCTAAAAGCGAAAAGCAACTAAAAAGCAACCTAAAAGTAACTGGCTCTAGAATTGGGATAATGTGGTACGCGATGTATGCTACGGAATGAAGCATCGGTTTACAAATACGGGAGAAATCGGACGAATGCTTTGGGGTTCGAATCAGCTGCCTTTGAATCACCTATTACTTGGGAAACACATATTGACGGCCTCGCTGGGTCCCGGGGTCGGTCTTTAGATTTAGTTTTATTGTCTTATTAACCGAAGCTTGTAAGATATTATGAAAAGATTCTAGCACCTTAAAAAGACCATTAATACTTAGAGTAGATTCGCCAAGCCTAGTTTCAGTTCTTATCGTGCATGAATGCTTACTATATAGTTTACAACATGTTAAGTGTCTTGTGCATAAACATTGAATCGTTGGCGCCAATATCTCGAGCACTCAAAAATTCCGGCACCCGAAAACGGAGTCTCCTCGCCTAGATCACGTACCCCTTGCAAGAACATCACAGGCATTCAAAACCACTATTCCGTACACGTAAAAACAATCGGCGCTACTCGTGAAGTATCCACAGCGATAACCCCATTGGGACTGTTTCCATACCTCACTGCCCTTCCATCAAGTTCCCTTTTCAAGACTTCCTCCTTCGTCCCATACCGCCACCAGCGAATACTGTCCCATCGCAAGTGTTCATCTTTAGACAGGGAAACCTTGTATTTGTGTCCCGGGACTAAAGGATGAACATTTCCGGACCTTTCATCCATTTCGATGCCCACGGCCTGTATCGGATCGGTAGCATGCAATAGCGCGCTCTGTTGCCTGAAACGAATAAAAAAAGGTGCAGAGATTAGGAGTGGTTGTTTTGGATATAGCGTACACAATTGCGACTCAATTAACGGCACGGAAGTCTTCGATGGCGGAGGTATGCGACAAGGCCTCCGCTTGGTTTGCTCAACAGTGCAATCATTCACTAGATCGGTGACGATCAACGCCGTGCCGTTTCGCAGCATCCATCTAGGAGAGAGGTTGTCAATCAAAGTTGTAACGGGGCCATTATGATAGGATGTCACTTCGAGGTGCAGCGTTGGTGGCTCAGAAGACAGCGAATAAATGCATGGTTCGAGGCGGAGCGTCGCGGACACTGTGGGAATATTATCAGTTGCCATGATGGTTTAAAATTCACGACACGCAGGGGGGATTCATGAAATAGAGCTGGTTATATAAATCTGCAATCAGTAAGCATGGACTATAGAGTATAGAGTCTAAGATGAGGTCTTTACTTGGTGGAGGGGCCGTATAGGTAGAGCATTACATCATCGTATGTTCAGCTGACTTTGACTTTTTTACTTTGACGCTCTTGCTAGCACTTTTTGTGCCACGTTTCTAGACATCAACAGAGTATTTCAGCTAAGCCCAAATTACTACTCAGCATCAAACTATCCTGTCATTGGCTGGTTCAACTACCAGAAGACCATTATCATACTTGTTTCATGTTAGCTGAAGCATTGTCCACCCATTTGATACTTGTCTGAATTATTATATCTATCCAAGTAGTCTTAAAGTGAGCTGCATAGCGAGTATTGAAATAAATAAATAAAAAGACGAGGAAATGGAGAGTTGAGTGACTCTAATTACATCGCATGTTAAATACTTGGAGTTCTCAACCTGGGACGGCTCCCTATCAACACTTCACCCGACTCTGATATTCTTCGCTGTGACGAGATTTCAGCCCTAAGGCAGCTTGAGAGGGGATGACATTATCCAGAAGGTTCTGTCTTGATGAATAGTTGGGATTATCCGAGATGGGGTGGCTGCCCACAGTCATCTCCTTCTGGTGGAGACTTTGAGCGGTTTGCAGATCCATGGCGAGATATATGCTGGCGATGAGCAGTAGCGCTCTCTACTATACCGGCTGTGTTGCCATCATATCAGATGTGCGGAGAGCTTACTAGGTTTGGAAAGGGGTTTACAACATCACAGTAGTGGGAGCATCATCGACAAATCTCTGTAAGTTGAATTGTCTTGTGGTGGGGGTCGCCATGAGCTGTGAATTGATCATTTCGATTACCTCGCCGCAGTCATTAGTTATATTCTACGACATTCTGGCTATAGTCTTAATATGAGTTATTTAGGTGAGGATACCTGAATGTATTTAGAGATATATGGCAAAGACCCTAGTGTTATCGACCCGTCTCGTGCCTCACCTCAAAAAAAAAACTCGTGGAATCGACGATGTTCATCGGAAGATAGCGAAATCTGCAAGCCATTAAATTTTAAGGTGATAGGAGTTACTAGGTATATAAGACTATATTGACCTCAATTGAAGCTACACTGAAGGTGTAAAAATCTTCTTATACAACTCATAATTAAAGCTTCCTGTCACACAGCTAAGACTTCAGAACCGAAGATAACCGATACTACCCCTGGAAAAAAGTGAGGCTATAAGCGATTAGATAAGAACAATCTATTAGCTACAAGAAGACCAACAGTCAAGGCATAAATGCCCAACAGATAAAAGGGAGTTATAAGATTATATAAGGCCTAAATAAGCATAAATAGCTAAAGAATCTCCCACTCCAAGATAAAAGAAAAAGAAAAAAAGATCAAAGCCCTAAAGACCCCTAATAAATTATTAATAAATATAATTAAGTTCTAAGCCCTTTATAAAAGCCCTTATTATAAATAATCTATTATCCCCTTTAGGATATTCTAATATAGTTTAAGCTTCCGCCTAACGAATAAGCTTTAATAAACCCCCTTTATATATATAGTATTATTTTAAGCTTAAATTCCTATAAATATAGGATTACTTTAATAAAATACTTCCCTTACCTTTATTAAATAAAAGGTATTTTAAAAAATTTTATACTTTATATTTAATAATTTAAATATTATATATTATAATCCTAATATTCCTATTTAAAGAATAAAAAGTAACTAATAACCTTATTAACTTAAAGCCTTAAACTTTTTTAAAATCGTAAATATACCCTAACTATAAAACTTTAACTTTAATTCCTATTATTTTAATAAAAATAGCTTAAACTTTAACTCCTTAAAATTTCCTTTATTATATAAAAATTGTTTTAAAAATAAATAATAGTTAAACTATCTACTTCTACTATTTTATTAAACTTAAAAGCTTAAAATTAAGGATATTTTGCCCCTTAATAACTTATAGGCTAAATTAAAATATATAAAAGTATTAAATAAATATTTCGCTAGCCTTAATTAAAGTTTAACCTTTACCCTTAAATAAACTATATCCTTTCCATTATTACTTATTATACTTAAACTTACCTATTTTAATTAAACTATATCCCCTTTTTTTAAAGAACTACCTTCTTTAAAAAACCTACTTAAATCTATTAATCAATTAGCTTTATAATAAAATCCTTCTATTATAACCCTTAAAATAATATTTAAAGCTATAAAACTTACCCTTTATAACTTAACTATTTATAAAAATATTAAAGATATAAATATAAAATATATAAATATAATAATTTAAAACTCCTTATAATAGGTTATAAATATCTATAACTATATAGGTAAAACTTTTTAAATAGTTTAATCCTTATAAAAATATAAGTAAGGAATGCCTTTTAAATAAAGGGAAGTATTTTAAAACGTATATATTATTATTTATAATATATATAATACCTTAATTAACTTATATAAAATAAATATATAAATAATCTAAAAGTAAATAAAACGTTTTTAATAAAAAATTATATAAAAAAATATTACCTTCTTTTAAAATATATAAGGAACTATTATATATATTATATAAAATGCTTAATCTTAAGCTAATATTATTAATTAGTTTAAAAAGGTAATAGATTATTATTATTAAGCCTTCCGGACTTTCTAAAGTAAATTTATTAAATAAAAAGCTAGCTATTAAAAAACTAAAGGAATTATAAATAATTAAACTATTATAATTAAAAAATAAATCAATTAGTTTATAAACCGCCCTATTATAAACCCTAATTAAATTAATAAACTATAAATCTATATTTAAATAACAATTTAAAAGATTTAAAAATAATTAAATAAATAAATTATACCTAATATAAATTAAATTATCGATAAATTAAAAAAGCATAATATTATAACTAATTTTACTAGCTATTCCGCTATAAAATACTTATTATTAAAAGCTATTTTATAATAATAAATTAATAATAAAATATTATAGGTAATAAAAGCCTAATTAATTATCCGGGCCTTTTAAGCTTAATATATAGTAATAAAAATCTTTCCGGGAATCTTCGCTGGAGTTGCCCTATTGCCCAAAAGTAATCCAAAAGGAAACCTTAATAGCTTTAATAATAATAATAACCCTTTTAAGGGACAACCCCCCTATAATCCGCCTAAAGGACCACTTCAAAGGCTACTTTAAAATCTTAATAAAGAACCTAAAAAAGATTTAAATAATAATAATCCCTTTAACCCTTTTATTAATAAATTAATATATACCTTTTTAACTATACTTAAAAATATTAATCTTATAATTATAATATTTAATCCTATTTAATTTAATAAGCCTTATACTTATAATAAAAAGGATACCTTTAAATTCTTTTTATAATAAACTAAAGTTAAGGATTATATATTTATATATATAAAAAGTTTTCCCTTTAATAAATATTATATTAATTAAATTAACTTCCTTATAATAAATAAAGCTTTATAATAATATTAATCTTATTAAAAGTAAATCCGTTATATTAATATTATTAATATTTAAGCAGTTTATTAAATAGTTTTAAAAGCCCGGTTTAAAGATCCTTTAATAATATATTAAAACGTTAATACCTTTATAAAAGTAAAGTATTTTAATAATATTGCCCAATTCTTTATTAAAATCCTTAATTAAAATAATTTAATAAAGTAATCTAGTTTAATATTTTAAACCTTTATTATTAAACATTTACCATTTAAACTTATAAAAATAATTTATTATAATTAAAGCTATATCCTTAAAAATAATAATAAATTTTTTAATATAATTTAAAAAGTTAATATTATTTATAAAAATATATTAGCGTACCTTAAACTATCTTTAAAAGGTACGCCCGATTTAATAAAGGAGCAATTAAAATTAAGCTATTAAAATTAAAGCAAAAAGAATTACTCCAACTTAAGCTTAAATTAATCCTTAAAAAAGGATAAAGAAAGAAAACCTATTAATAAAAAGTTAAATAAGCTTAAAGTTAATTTTAAAAATAATTACTAGCTTAATATTATAGCTATATTAAAAGGGATTAATTAAATTACTATTAATAAATAAAAGTAAAATAAAATTAACTATTAATGGTATAATAAAAGCAATTACTATACCTTTACCTACTATGCTAAAAAGGATATTAATAAAAAGAAGCTTCCTTTAACCCTTAAAAAAACCTCTTTTATTAAAAGAAGGCTTAATAATAATATAAAACTACTATTTATAATTAAACGAATTAAAATTAATATTATTATTATAAAGGTAATTAATCTTATATAATATATAAAAATAAAAAAATTAAACTTAGATTTTTAATTAAGCCCTATAAAATACTATATAGGAATTTAAGCCTTTAAAAAGGTAACTTTTCCTATATTAATATAATTAAATAAGTAAAAGATAAGCTTTTTAAATTAGCTTAAAAAAAGGCTAATTTAAAACTTAAAACAGGTTATAAGCTTATTATTCCTATAACCCTACTATATAATAACTGGAAATACTTAATTAAAATACTTTTAAATATAAGTAGTATTATTTTTATAATATCCTTTTTAAAGGTTAAATAATAAAAGCTGCCCCTTATTAAAAAAGTATACCTTAAACCTATATTAGCCTTTAATATAATATATATATAAAAAGTAGGACAGTATTATATAAAATAAATTATTTTTTAATATTAAAAAGACTATTTTATAAAGCTTAGCTTTAAATTAAGCAACCTTAATAAGGATTATAATATTATCCTACTTTAATAATAAATAAAGAAATATTAACTTACTTATTTTTTTAAAAATATAGAAAAAATTGTATTTATATTTAAATATTGCTATAAAAATTATATTAACTAAACTATCCTTAACCTAAAAACTATTAAAGTTATAATAACCATATTTTAAATAGCTATTAAGGTAGCAATAAAATAAATCCTTAAAGAATTTAAGGAATTCCTCCTAATTATAATTAAAATAATAATATAATGGTTATTTAATTACTAACCTTAAGATTATATAATTAATCTTATAAATAGGAAAACTTTCCTTTAAAAACCCCTTTATATTATAAGTAATTATAAACTAAATATATTTAAACTATAATTGGATAAAATATTTAAAATTAATTATATTTATAAATTTATTACATTATATAGGGCACCCCTTATATTTATAAAAAAAAAAAACTTAAATAATTTATTATACCCTATTATAAATTATTAAAGCTTTAATATTATTATAATATTAATAAGGTATTCTATTCCCCTTATTATAAAACTCTAGGTTAAATTTTAAAAGGTTAAATAGTTTATTAAAATTAACTTAAAATCCGGATTTTACTTAATTAAAATTAAAGAGGGTTATAAATAGAAAATAACATTCCGTTATAAATATAAACTTTTTAAATATATAATTATACTTATAGGATTTATTAATGCTTTTACAACGTTTTAATTTATAATAAACTATATTTTTTAAAACTTTATTAATGTAAAGCTATTTATATACCTTAATAACCTTTTAATTTATATGGAAATAAAGGAGGAATATAATAAAATAGTTAAAGAAATGTTATAATGCTTTAATAAGTATAATTTAGCAATAGTACCCTAGAAATATAAATAGCATATATATAAAGTTAAATTCCTTAAATATATTATTAATATTAATAACATTTTAATAGTTTAAAATAAAATTAACTATATTATTAAATAAAAAGTACTAATTACCTTATATAAATTATAATAATTTATTAAATTTATAAACTTTTATTAAAGATTTATTAAAAAGTTTTTATTAATTATAAAACTATTAATAAATATAAATAAAATAGATTAATAATAATAAAAGTGGATAAAAGTTATAAATAAAGCCTTTTTTAAACTTAAGTACTATTTTATTATAACTTTTATATTTATTTATTTTAACCCTTTTAAAGTAATTTACGTTAAAATTAATACCTTTAATTTTACCTTTAAAGTTATACTATTATAAAAGGATAATAATAGTAAACTTTACCCCATTACCTTTTATTCCTAAAAGTTAATATTAATAAAAATAAACTATAAAATATATAATAAAAAGCTATTTATAATAATAAACGGATTTAACCAATAGTATTAATATTTAAAAGGTATTTAATATTAAATTAAAATCTACTTTAACTATTAAAACCTATTATATTTTATAATAGTTAAAGTTTTAAATAAATAATAAGCTTATTAAATATAATAATTATTAATATATTGGTTTATAATAAATTATTAACCTAGTAAATTAAACAAAAAGGCTAATATTATATTAAGATTAGTTTAATATTACCTTAAAAAAGGAGGGAGTAAAGATTAACCGGTTAAATTAGTTTTATAGGATAAACATTTTTATATTTTAAAAGATTAATGTTTAATTTAATAACGTTTATATTATTAACTTTTAAATAATTTTATAGCTTTTTTATATTTAAATAGCTATTAAAATTTATTAAGTTTATTAAAAAAGTAATAAAGGATAACCTAAAGTATTATTTATAAAAGGATAAGCTTTTTAAAGATATAAAACTTATAAATAACCTATTATATAAAAAGGAATACTTATAAGTATTTATAGCTATATAATAAAAAGTAATAAAAATAAAGTATAATATATAAATAGTTAGGTATATAAAAATAAATAAAATGTTAAAGCTTATTATAAAAAACTTTTAATAGTTTAATATTAAAATAATTATAAGGAACTTTATATAAAGCTATTATACTTATTAATAAAATAAGGCCTTATAATATATTCCCTATAAATTATTTTAATTTATAAAGTTATATTATATTTTATAATAATTAATTATAATAGACTTTATTATTAATTTACTTTTATTTAATAGTTATAACTTTATTTAAATAATAATAAATTCCTTTATAAAAATAAAATACTTTATATCCCTAAAAGTTAAGGAAAAAAAAACTAAAAATTTTATTAAAATCTTTATTAAATATTATTAAAAATTATATAATATACCCCTTAATATAATTTTTAATAAAAACTTTAAGTTTATAAATTATTTATAAAAAGACTTTTTAAAGCTTATTAATATTAAACCCTATATAAGTATAGCCTTTTATCCTTAAATTAATAAATAAATAAAATAATTTAATTAAATCCTTAAAATCTATTTATAAATATTTATTAATTATAAAATATTTAATTAGGAAGACCTTTTATTAATTATTAAATTTATATATAATAATACTATATTAACTTTAATATATATATTTCCCTTTTATATAAACTATAATTATTATTTAACTATATATAACCTTTTAATAGTATAACCCTATAACCTATTTAATAAACTATATACCTATTAAATAATATAGGTATATAAAGAAGTTAAGAAATAATTAAAAAAGGCTTAATAATATATAAAGGAATAAATAGATAAAAAATAAAAAGCTCTACTTTAATATATTAAAAACTAATTAATAATGCTAAATATAAAAAACATTAAAATAAAAAAACTTATTAAAAAGCTAAATAAAAAGATATTTAATTCCTTTAAAATCTATAAGGTAATTTCCCCTACCGTTATTAAATTTATATTATTTAAAGGATAGAAAATTTATAATTTATTTTACATTTCGCTTATTAAACCCTACCACATTAATAATTAAGCATTATTTAACTTTGATTAGGTCCTATAGGAAGCGCTTCCGATAAAGTTTAAAAACTATTAAATAAAAGAAATTAAAAATTCCTTAAAAATTTAAAGGAATGTAAAGTACTTAATTAAATAGAAAGGTTGGCTAATTAAAAGGCATTGGACTTAGAAGCTATATAAATATATAAACGGTGTTGGTATAAAGGCTTTTATTAAATAGTTCCATTAACAGAACTTAAGTAAACCAGCAAACCTTTAAACTACTACGACCCCAGATTCGCAATCCACTTAAAAAGTCGAATTATACTTAAAGTTAAGCATTAAAAAGGAAAAAGATAGTATTATACAGCTAAAACTTTAAAACCAAAAATAATCGATATTACCCCTAAAGAAAAGTAAAGCTATAAGCAATTAAATAAGGATAATCTATTAGCTATAAAAAGACTAATAATTAAAGCATAAATGCCTAATAAATAAAAGGGAGTTATAAGATTGTATAAGGCCTAAATGAGTATAAATAGCTAAGGAATCTCCTACTTTAGGATAGGAAAGAGAGAGAAAGAGATTAAGGCCCTAAAGACCCCTAGTAGATTATTAATGAATATGACTAAGTTCCAAGCCCTTTATAAGAGCCCTTGTCACACTTCCTCTGTATGTGCAAAGTTTCGGTCTTGGATGAACACGAATACAGCTGCTAGCTACTATATTTATCTCAGGGAGTTGAAAGATAGGTAAGTACCTAGATTTAGTAAGATAGTCCTAAATTTCCATAAAAAAATCAAATCAGTCTGTATAGTACAATTGGGTTGTAGATATTTTATGTCATATGTACTACGTGTCTTTCGTACAAGATGAGAAGATGACGATGTCCACATATTTTGCCATGGGCATCTATGAGGTCCCAAAGATGGCAGAATTCGGCTGGTAAACCGCCATCTCGTCATGACTAGATTCTTTATCAGACAATATGTCACACAAAGAGACGTCGGATTTAACAGGGATTGCGTTGTTGAACCCTATTGAATCAACTGCTCCGGTATTCTCATCCACAGCATGTACGTTGGGCAATGGTCTAGTGTAGTTATGTACCCAGTGTGCACGCCTTAGTCTCCAGTTGGTGGGCAACTGTGCCCACCAAGATCCTGTAGCTTAAACCCTGCTCTTATGTACTCTGAAGTGCCTAGATAAGCCTGGGATTAAATAATTGGGGGTGCGAAGCTAGGTTGAACTACATAGGAAAGGTGTCAGCCGGCGGAGGGAGGAAAAGTGCTTGGATATCCGCACCGCTGAGATAAATCACCGGAGGCCAAGTATCATGTATCAATTCACGTAGCATTTTTTGTTGAAGGCGAAGTTGCATATGACCATGAAACCGTTCCTCCTTAGTATCTCAGTGTGTTATAGCCATTATGTTACATGGGGTAATTTACTACCAACGGAAGGATTGCCATATCGGTGCTAGCCACGTGGTACTGAGATCCATTCTCCTCATTTAGTTCGCCATCAAGTGACCTAATGTGTGAACCGGACAGTGATTTCTCTATTCGATGCGCAAGAACTCGTAGTCAAGGAGTTCAAAATACTTGGTAGCAAATCCGGCTATAACTCCTTTTTCGGTCACAAAGTATGATCTCTCACCAATTCCAGTAAATTTGGTCTGAAACTACGAGTTTCGTAGCTGTTCATTACTCGAGTCGCAAGGTAGGAGATTTGCTTATTCTGGCCTGTTATGTGCCATGCCTTATCGTTATGTCTGCTTGCATACCAAGAAAGGACTCGTGATCGCATTTCTCGGATCATTCCAACCAAAATTATCAGTCATGAGTGGGCGACCCTTCATACATGACTAGGCGCGCCTTGAGTAGTCCAGTGAAACATTTTACTTTGATATCTTGCCTTAATAGTCTCAATATACGGCTCATAAGCTGGGAGAAGCGTACAATGTTGTACTTACACAATCGCCCGCACCGGCTCCATGCTTTTGCTTCTCTGTTATTTGTTACCGAGGCGGCTTCATCAGCCTACATTCCCCTACATGCCTCTGTCGTCTCGAGGCAGGAGGCCGAGAACAAAACCTATGACTTCATTGTAGCAGGTGGGGGGATTGCTGGGTTGACTGTGGCGGATCGCTTGACGGAGGATCCTAGCGGTAATCTCAACTATCTTTCTTATTTCGGTCTATCCATGAAGCGTGATTAACAGGTTTTACACAGTCAGCGTACTTGTTGTTGAGGCGGGGCCGTTCGACGATGGGGAGGACAATGTCCTCATTCCTGGTGCCTACCCCCCTTTTCAGTATTTCAATGGCCTTGAATCAGTGCCACAAGAGGCTCTGAACAATAGATCAGTGGAGTCGATTTGCGCAAAGGTTGTAGGTGGCGGAAGGTATGTCCAAGTACCTGACACATACTAGCTGGTGGCATTAGCGTATGAGTGTCTGTCAGTTCCAACTAATCTATTTTCTTCAAAGTGTGGTAAACGCGATGGGTATGCTACCCCTTGGAGTCAAGCTCTTCCTATTCTAGGTGCCCGTAGAGGTTATGAATGTCTGTAGTATACATAACTCCAGAAGTCTAACCATATTCCCGTTTTACCTGAAAGAGCATTCACTGACTCCCAGCCAACTGTAGTGTATCTAAGGTATATGGGTTACCTCGTCTGATTTCTGTCTAGAAGATTTATCTCTGAAGTTATGAATAGAGCTAACTCGATATCAACGCGCAGAGGAGACAAGGCAGACTATGATGATTGGGGTAAGCTTGGTAATTCTGGTTGGAGCTGGGACTCAATGTTCCCTTATTTCTTGAAGGCAAGTTCTATATATCAAAGGGTATATTTAGAGATGATGCTAACATTTCATATAGGGGGAAAACTTCACTAAACCAGACAGCGCTTTTGCAGCTCAAGCAAATATCTCATGGGATGATTCGGTCCGTGGGACATCCGGACCCGTGCAATACTCTTATCCCAATTACTTCTACCCAGGCAGTTCCAATTGGTGGAATGCAGCTAAGTCAATCGGCCTGCCTGTCGTGAAGGATCCGGAAGCAGGCAACAATCTCGGTATCTTCTGGGTACCCAGTGTCTTGGATGCAACTACTATGACACGGAGCGATGCGCGTATCAACCACTACGAAAACGTACGAGTTTCGCGGTCCAACTATCATATACTTGCTAGTACTACAATATCGAAGGTCCTTTTCAGCCAGACTCGAGCCGTAGGTGTCGAGTACATCCCATCTGCCGGTGGTAGAGGTAATAAAGTGTATGCTTCGAAAGAAGTGATTCTTGCAGCTGGAGGTGTTCACACCCCTCAAGTTCTGCAGCTCTCTGGCATCGGACCTCAAGCGCTACTCAATAAGTTTGGCATTCCTGTCATTCAGGACCTTCCTGGAGTTGGTCAGAACCTGCAGGATCAATCGACGCTTACCGTTGAATGGAATTGTACGTTTATTTTTCCGAACTTCTGTACGGCTCTTATCTAATATCTGATAGTCACCTCCAACATTACTCCTAATTCGGGAAGCCTAGATACCAATGCCACATACAACGCAGAGCAGAGAGCGCTCTATGATAACAATCGGAGTGGAGCGTACACGATAGTTCGCTCACTCAGCACCAACATTGCTCAACTTTCTTTACAGCTCATTACTAAAAATTACTCCTCAATCGCTGCAGAAGCTCGGTCCCAAGACCCTGCCGCATCTCTTCCAAGCGAGGTAGATCCAACCGTACTTAAAGGTTACAAGAAGCAACGTGAGTTGTTGATAAGACAATTTGAAGGACAAGATGCAGCAGTTGGCACACTCCACTGGGGTACTTCATCATCAAGCATCATGTATCATCTCAAACCCCTCAGTCGAGGGGCGGTAACTGGTACGTGTCGAAATCTACTGTGCCGGGTCTGAGACCTGGGCATGGTGCAAATATATTTTGGCTTTCAGAACTAACTAACTATTACTATAGTATGTGAGCCTCTGGTCCAGAAATGTGAAAATCATCATCTGTATCATTTCAGAACGTATGTAACCAGAAACTGTACTAATACATTTCGATATGGCAGATCAACAGTACCAACCCACTAGCAGCACCGGTCCTAGATTATCGTACCGCCACGGACCCCATTGATATTGCCATATACGTTGCCTTGTTCCGAAAGAACCGCAGACTCTTTGCTGCTCCGGATATGGCGACACTCGGCCCTATTGAGACAAGTCCATTCGGCGCGCAGGTACAGACAGATGAGGATATAATCGCCGTAATGCGAGAGCAAATCAACCCTTCCAACGCTCACCAGTGCTGCACCGCTGCAATGCTACCGCGGGAATTGGGCGGTGTAGTCGATAGTGAAGTATGCTACCCTGGAACTGCTTTTCTTATTCTTAGCGTCAGTGAAGATTATAATTGCCTGTTAGAACCGCAAGCACTTCAAGAGTATACATAAATCCCGAAACTTGCTCCATTTCTACCTAGAAGAGTAAATACTGACTCATGCGAACTATAGTGGAATGTGCATGGGGTTCAAGGGCTGAGGGTTGCAGATATCAGCTACTGGCCCTTCCAAACTTCCGGAACGCCGAGCGCAACAATGTATGCCAGTGGCGAGAAGGTGAGACAATCTTACGAGTCGTTCTAAGTGCCGTATTCACAAGAGCTAAACATCCCATGCAGCTTGCAGATGTCATCAAGAGAGACTATAATCTCACGTCATTATGAGACAGAGGTAGAGAGTCCAGCTATCTCGCTTCCGTGTAAGTATAGCTGAGCAGCTGAAAACGTCAATCAGGCTTGTCTATCAATGTCCAACATATTTCGCAAATAATTTCATTCATGAAACACAGTTCTAGAACATTGGTTTGATAAGTAACCGAGGGGAAGCGCGCGTGGAGAGACTTCCGCGTTCGTATAGCATTCCCACCGAGTGTTCAGTTTTGCACGTTGATACAACCTCACCTCCCAACCTGTTTTCATATTTAAGTCTCTCAGTAGCAGTATAGCCTGTTGCTTATTCTAGGCACATGACTCCTTGCCGTATTTGTAAAGACTCTCATACGCCTTTGTGTTGAACTGTGTACGCAGGCTGGCACGGATACGAGAAATAGACACGGTGATTCTTTAAATTAGAATAATTATATAATCTTGTTGCAAAAGATATCAGCTGTATCCTGGTAAATGAATTTTGTATTGAAGAGCTTTATGATCCCTGCAAGGCGACTCATTTTTGCAATACGCCCATCATGTAAATCCTAATCATCCTCAAAAGTTGGTAGAAGTGTTTCTCCCTTTCGGCGCGCCATCTCAACAGCTCGGTAATAGGAAACTCTCAAATGGGTATCGCGAGCTATCAATCTGTTGTTGATGTAAGTCTTATCGCTTTCACTTATGATGGAGGACCGCAAGGCCTCACAATCCCAGCAAACACAAATGTTGTACTCGGTAGCGAAGTGGATACGATAAAGAGCTTTAGTCTTGTCAAACGCTGGGTCGAGAGTCGCCGTTCCAAGCTTGTCGTTATGATCGATAAATCGGCCTGCCATTTTCACCGTTGCTAAATTATACTGCGTAGGTGAGCACTGATGCGTATGCCAAACAAGATCGATATCAAGAGTCGGTACCAACATCGTGCCCGGATATAGTTTCAACAGTGTGAGGAATCTTTCGTAACGATTTATTGCCCGATCTATCGTTTCACTTACAGCGGGGCTGCGAATCCATAGCTGCCTGTCCATTTTATCAACGAAAGCAGACTGCCTCTTGACCGCGTCGACGAGTTTCTCAGCTGTATCGTCCTTGCTTACAGCTTGTCGGCATACATCAAGGAATCCGTATTCAAGACGGCCAAGGATATTCTGTTCATTGGATACTTTTGGTACATCTGCTAGGGTTAGCCCACGGTCTTGCCCTTCGGAGCGCCTAATGCCGTGGTTGCTTAAACACTTGCTGATGGTCGCTGGCTTGGACTCATCCTCAAGGAAAACAAGTAAGTCTGAGTGCAGGCCTACTTTATCCTGGAACCAAGTTTGATCGTTCGTGGACATCTCGAATGGCCAATTGGGTCTGGCCGAGTCGATCGCTGAATGCTGCTAACATGAGTTCTTGTTCCGCAGATTGACGAGATTATGGTCAGAAAGTAGAATAACGTACAATCTGCCTCCACGGAAGGGATACTTTAGATAAGTGAACCAATCTTCCCTGTTGGAAAGTTTGAAACCACTTTGGATTCAGAAGTAAGGCATGCCAAACCATTAACACATCTGTCACTGTTAGTAAAGGCAATTTAAGTAGAATACTAGACGGTACCTATTGGCGGAATATGTAGCAAGTGAGAGCATGCGTCTGGCTGGTTCGCGTCCTGTTCAACAGCATCAACCCAGGACAAGAACCGAGCGGTGGCAAGCCTGAGGAAAAGGGACCATTTCGCTTCTCTTCGCTTGTCAAAGGTCTCGTCTCGAAGTTTCAATTCTTCTCTCACCCAATCTTTGGTGAGACCATTAATATGTGCCAAGCGCTTGCGGAACACTACGCGGTTCTCGGGTGCGATCCCAAAGACCTCATCCAACTTCCTGGATGATTCAACTTCTTTTCGAACGTGCCGAAACACTTGCAATAGCTCTAGATGTGCGGCGCATTCCGCTTTGTTTGGGAGCCTTGCTGAAACTCCTTGCACATCTACGTTGTCGATCCCAAATTCGAAAAGGCTGGGGTCAGGAATTCTGGGGTTAAGTGACAGTGAGGTGGCATTTACGAATGTAGGCGTTTGCAAATTGCCGTTAGATAACTGAAGAGCAAACGCGTTCTTGCTGCATTGATGCAGGAAGTTTTGACTATAATCAGACAGCGACATCACCGCACTGAGATTCCGGAACACGATGAGATTCAAGGAGTTTAGCACTTTTACGAGCCCAGTAGAAAGTACTAGTCTTCGATTTCCTCAAAGCGATTACTTTGGACACATTTTGATCGTATGCTAGAAGTGAGTCATTGAGGGCTCAAGGTGTGGTGGCTGTTGCTGGCATTGGAGTATCGGAAAGAAAGTCTGAGACAACTCGGTGATGCTTTAGGCAATTAGATGCGTGGACAAATTATTATACCGAAGCTGAACACCAGACTAAGGCTAGTTCAGTTCAGCCTCAGTTCAGCTGTTGTTGTAAGGCAGACAATGTCTGACATAGCCACTCTTGGCACTGTGTGCCTCCATGAGACGCAGACCTTGTGGTAGAGGCTTGTCATTGAATATCGCTTAAACAAAGGATATTTACTAGTCGCTCGCGATACTGCATCGTGACCTTTGATTGAATGTGAAATAATACCTTTCTTATTCTAAGCTTCGAGCATGCTAGAAATTCAATTCAGTCCGAAACCCTAAAAGATGCGGAATCTTCGCCTCCCATTCATTGGCCGACTCTCCAGCAGCAAACATTCCAGCTCCAGTGACATTAATGAAGCAGAAAACTCGCCTTGGAATTTGGTCGGCGAAGCAAACGACAATCTATTCAACGAGCTTGAGAAGCTCTATTGGATTGGGATCAGACAAGACATTGAATTGGTTCTGTGCACATTGAGGGCTTGGCAAGCATCACAATATCAAAAGGTCAGCCTCGAAGACGAGTCTGACAACTTTATCCACGGCTTTGACACCTTTATTGACCAAGTCAGTGAGGCAAGTCGTACCTTCGCTGATGAAGCGGCAAAATGGAAGAGTCAGGATGGTGAAGTTGCAATAGACGGCTACATTGAAGGGCTCCAGCGTTGTGCACAAGGTATGGCAACAGACCAGAGGAGCACCCAAGTCAAGACCGAGCTTCGGCAAGCCGTAGGGAACCGTCCCAGCGATGGCAGTCTCCGGCGTCGTACTAGACTACTTCTACAAGCAGTTGCCGTCTTGGATATCGAGAAGCTAGTTGAGCATACGCCTCCATTGGACGATCTCTCATCCTGCAAGAGACCTACAACTCCACAACTCAAACTAGACACTATCAACAAAAGTGGCGTGCCTATATTCTCGCCCATGCGGTGTTCATCTTGTTCCAACGTGATTCGAGGTAGTATGCATCGCCGAACTGTCTTTGGTGAAGAAAAGAATCACGGGGAAGCGGAAGTTGAAGTTGTATGCGAGAACTGTTATCGAGAAAGGTTCGTCGGGATCACAGGATTTACGAAGATGTATAAACATAGCATATTACGTGAAGCAATCAATCCGCAAATCAGTCGACAAATATGCTTATGCGACCAAGTGCCACATTACGATGTCTCTGGCAAATCTTTGAACTTGTTCCCAGTCGACAAGGAGGCACTGCATCTCAAAGCTCAACAGCCAGGTTCAGTCGAATGCGGCCTACTCAGGCTACCGGCAATTGAGGCCGAGGCGAAGTACGATGGTATGCAGAGCCTTGTGTTTAGGAAGAAAACGAAGAGTAAACTTCTGACGGAGGAAGAGAAGGAGTATGAAGAGCGTGAGGCTTCGAAGGCAAAAAAACGGCAGAAGCGGCATCTGGCAAAGAAAGTGACGCATGAAAGCCATAACAATATCGTGGAGAGGACTACAGAAACAGGGGCAGCTGTGGCAGCAACAGAAGCAGAAGCTGACGAAGATATTCCATTCTTCTTGAAACGCCACATTGAAAATCACCCGTTCGGAAATGTCCGTATGGCGCTCCGAGTAGGGCCTTTGATCTTCGAAAACGGCGTCGCTCAGTGAGTTTACTCATACACTAGATCCTGAACACGACTAATTGAGCGAAAACAGTACACAGGGTGGTGCTCTAATCACTTTGCGAGAGAGTCCTGTATTTCATTCGCGACAATGTAGTGAGACAGCCAGAAGCCTAGCTTTGAATGAAGGTAATATTCGACAACTGTGGTGGCAACAACGACCTTCTGGACGCCCAAAGCGATACAAAGCTATCCTGAAGCAAGTCATTGGATCTCCGTTTACTGGTCTCGATCCGGAAGATGTTATTCTCGAGAATCGTATCATTGATAGTCTCATATCCGCTAGTAACATTGGCTTCGACGACCCTGGGCTGAGTCGCCAGGACCGCCAAACACGGACAGAGAATCTAATGGGACCTATTATGGAAGACTTGCAGGACCTAATCAAGGCTAGAGTGTCTGTCTACTTAAAGAGCATAACTTCGCGATTGCTGGATCCGCAAACGAAGCTGACATGGAACCTAGCTAGCAACAACTGCCAGAATTTCTGCGATTCTGTCATGGACCTCGAGACTTTTGGGCCTCTCTTCGCTCATAACCATGACCAACCGAAATCCATGTTATACCTTATGAGTTTTGTCTGCCGTCCTTCAGAATATAGTAAACCCAAGATCAAGACTAAGCTCGATGTTCCTCGAGGCCTAACAGAAGAGTACCTCCTCCGGTTCCGGTACGGACGCCATGACGATGCCGACATCATAGATACGCTACAAGAGTATTGGTATGACTGGGGCGCTTTTGGCAAGCACTTGTACCGATACCAGGATCTTTTCCCCTGGGATTGCACAGAGGCGTTCGGTCGGTATCCCGTGAGCTGTGGCGATTGTAACTTAGCGAAACACGTATGGGCATTCCCTTTCGATTCATGGTCGATCATAGCGTTGCATTTAACCAGAGACCATTCCCACTATCCATCGGATGAGCCAGAACGAGCGGCAATCATATCCGATGTGGGCTGGATGAAGAACAGGCTGCTTGTTCTTGCAGCACTCGAGAAACTTACGATAGCGGCTACTGAAATGGCCAAGAATGCTTCGTTTCGGAAAAGTACCACCTGGTTACACACGCAACCCCAACCAGCTCTAGACAGGCTCAAGTTGGGTGGTATCCATCGCGCACAGCCATTCAGCCACTCTTATGATCAGGTTAGTTTACTGAGAACATGTTTCCCCCGGGGCAGGCTTGGAACGTCATTTCTTCTACAAGTTCCCAAAATATGTACTTGATTCCTACTCTTTTCGGTAATTACTGACCCTTGCGTATATGAATTAGGGAGAGGGCCACCATTACTTCACTGCATCTTGGGCGCACCTGAGGTTCGAGGATCAGGTCACGGAATATGAGTTACTTCGCGGCGGGAGAATGAAGCTTCCAGATGTGGAATATGCGACGCGTTTATACCATGATCACGGCGTCAAGACTCTTGCTGACCGTTACAAAGCTACCCATATTGAAGTGACACCCTCTTCTTATGCAAATATCACAGACTCGGGGTTCAGCGCAGGGGCACCACTGGCCGCAGAGCCTGTTGATCCCGCTGATATAAATTGTGCTTCGGGCTGTGGTGCTGCTGAGTGTTCTGCAGGACCGGCTTGCTCCAGTGGCCATGACGGAGGAGACGGAGGTGGAGGTGATGGCGGAGGAGATGGTTGTGGGGGAGACGGAGGCTAAATGGTTAGCTAACGGTCTTGGTTGCCGATTACCTTAGTGTGTATAGGTATGTATAATATCAAACAGCTCGACTTTAATAGAAGTCCCCAAGGCAGTATAGATACTATGTTGTAAAAGCTTTAAGACATTACGGGAAATATTCGTCTACCTATTAAATGACTACATCTTCTCCAAGTCCTCGGCCCACCCTAGATGGCAACCGCCTCTACATTCCCTTTTACATGCGAAGCAAAGCCACCACCTTGGTCCGGTTCGCGGTAGGGATTTGCAGCATTTGAAACAGGACAATGGCTGCTGTGTCAGCTTTGAGTACATGACTTGGTCTCGCCTCTCTCTTAGAGCCAAAATATCATCGGGTTTCTTGATGCAACAATCTCTACAGAGTCGACGGGCGTGAGGATGATTGGGAAGAGCCCCAAAAGAATTAACAAAGCCCTTGGTTCGGCCATCATAACACTGACACGGTAGCTTCGTATCGAACAGTGCTCCATGCGAGAATGGATCTAAAATTGATTTATAGTAACACCTCGAACATGTGGCGGCGCAAAAAGATATATGGAACGAGACAGTCGAGCTCGGCGCCATCCTGGATCCGCTACATCCCTATTTTGTGACCGCGAAGTTAGCTCCTAGATCTACCATTCGTGGCTAGTGTACTTCTTACATTGCAGAGTTGGATGCCGCAAGCCCAGCAATCAGCTTTCACCATTCCCCAGCAACTGTAGTATCTCAGCTGCTTCTTTTCTGTGGCAAAATCCGAATTCCGCCGTGGAAATAACGCTTCATGGTTTTTCTTCGATGTCAAGCTGAGATTGACAATATCCACGTAATGTAGATGTTGCACAATTTTCTCTACCACGTTATGAGATAGTAAAAGGAGTAGCCCCTTTTCCTGGTCACTTGAATGGTGTGCAAGCCGGGGTACGAGGGAGTGAGAGTCTGGAAGCCTGCGCTTTGTTGCGAAGATTATGTGGGAAACCCAATGTTGGATATAACGACTCGCGAAGAAGGCGTTGTTTTGAATACTTTCCCGCGTTATATGCCGTATGGGTGGAACAGCTGAAAGAAGCCAATTGGATTTATCAAACCGCCGGTCTCTGGGGTAGGTAGGCGGTGAACCACCCATCCGTTGCGACCGTGATCCGATGAGAATGTTAGCAGTTGCTGAAACTGCGTATAGAATGCTACGAATAATAACTCGATCAGCGCCCAGGATGGTCACGCGGATACTTCACGCGAAGTATCTATTTGGGACAACTTACACCACTATGAGGCCAGCATACCACTTCGCATAGTATCCCTGACAAGTCTCTTCGCCGGTAGTATCGTCTCCAGCCTTAATGTCGGCTATACGTTGAAAAAGTATGAGGTGTGGACTGGGAATGGTGTCCAGGCTGAGGTGTGCACATTGTGCAGGGGTGAAGCTTATATAGGTTGCTTCTAAAGCGAGAGGGATGAGGACAAATCCTGTGATGATAGCATCTACTACTCCAATGAGAGCAAGTGCTCTATCTTCGAAGAATATTGTAGGAATCCACAACAGGAAATTCCAAACAAAGCCAATCACACCCTCCATATAACGACAAGTGTTAGTCAAACAGAACGCTACGCTTTGATCAAGCTGTTTGGGATATTCGAAATACGTACAACTGGTCCGGCAAACGTTTCTCCGACCAGAACTCTAGTGCTTAAGGGAGGAGCTAAGAGTATTCCCTTGTGATCTTTCACGAAATTGAATTGAATGACGCTGTTAACGGCGAAATAGGCAAAAGGAAGATGACAAATGAAACGGAGCACAAATGAAAGAGTTCCCTGGCTCATTGCTGTACCCGTGTATCAGCTGCTTCGGCTGGTGTACGTTCAACAGCAACTAAAAGCCAAAAATGATGATAGAGATCGGTGATGGTCGCGCTTTGCGGATGATGTTCCTTGACAGCATATTGAGAACCTATAACAATATATGAAAGCAACAACGAACAATATACCGGTATGTTGTCGTCAGTTTTGTGTCGCGGTAAGGGAGTCTGGAACAGCCAGCAAGGCAGACTCAGCTCATGGGGCGCTAGCTGACTCTGGCCAGCTTGGCAGCGCAACCTATCTAAATGCTATACCGAGCTGCACAGCCAAGCTGAGATTAGGCACCCTTATGATCCCAACCTTTGATCGTGTGGTAAGACCAGGAACGGTGCTGTATTCCATTCATTCAACGGCATGCTTACCCTTGTTTCACACTTGGTCAGCTGTCTCGTCTGACAACGAGCCACTTGGCTTTTCTTCTCTCCCCCCAAGGCATTTTGTGATGTATGTTCTTATCTCAATCTCCTATGTATACTATCCGCAGGCTTGTCTTTGTCTGAAGCCAGTGCGGGTCAAGTGCTGGAGCTGGCCTAAGTATGTGCTTCTGCTACAACCTCGGCTATTGGCAATGCAGTACTACGTAGGTAATTTGTAAGATGCTTCACAAGCTGCCTTTGAGCTTCTGAAAAGATAGACACTACATTGGCCCCAAGTTTCTCACGAAAGGATATGTCTATACACTCTTTGCTTCGCGCCCCAGTTCACTAACATTGTGAAGATGATTCTAGAGTTCAGTCTACAGCTCCGTTTGCGCAATTCGACTAGAATACTAGTAGCTATGTAAAGTTCTTCATACGCTGGATATATGGACACATCTGACTATTCGTGCACAGTGCAGGCAAGATGGTAAATTTGGTTCATGAAGCTTGGACATAACATGACGCTGAAGGCTGTGATCTCAACCTTGAGTGGTGTCTACCAAGACCTTGAAATGATAATATCAAAACACCAACGCTAACAACTTCCTCGCGCCACTATCCGGTGATCATTATGATATATCTACCAACTAAATAACTATCGGCGGGCAAAGCATAGCTGGGGTAGTAGCCCTACAGAGTCGTGGAGATATGAGGCAAAGGCCCTGTAATAATACGTTCAAAGTATCTCAGTCTATCCACTCTAACGAAGAACATACAATGAGCAAAGAAATCGATTCATAGTGGAAATTAATGCTGAATTTTCAAGCTTGAGACCGAGCTACGTCTCGTCCACAATAGGTTTTCACAGGCGTCTCGCAATAGCTGGACTAGCTTGGAGAACAAGGAACCGTTAATATCATCAAAATGTGAGTCCATTCAAGTGCATGTACATGCCCGAGGTACCTAATACCTGGGTCCATATGGGTAAGGAAGGTGCTCAATGTAAGCAAACAAAAAGGGAAGTCGCTACGAGAACGTCAATCTATTTAGGTATCTTCCTCGGTGCCTTCACTGTTGCCTGTATATTTGCCTTCTTCCTCTCCGAGAAGTCTTGTCTGAGGATCTTTCCCTGTCCACCACAATCGTCCAGACCTCCGACCTAACCTTCTCATTTGCCAGCCAACAGCTTTATCACCAGACAGGGTTACATCATGACGTACATCACATTCCCGACAAACAACTTTTGGGACCCGATGATGCCCCTTCTAGCTTGCTTTATGGGCGACTTGTGTTCCCTTCTTCGCTTGGGAATGTCACCTGAGAGAAGTATGGACAACTTGTGGATTCAGTATGATGCGCTGGAGGAAATGGTCCGTGCTATTGACGAAATCAATTGGTTTGAAACTGAATACGCCCGTCTACCCTCAGACTACGAAACCCTCTACGGCAATCTCCGGCTGATCGAACCTTTGGATGCTCGGCGTCTGTTGCTCACAAGGCGAAACAAACAGCTTCTCAGACGCTGTGACAAGTTACTCACCAATGACCGATATGACCCTTATGACCTACCACAGTATTACCCACTCTTACACCAGCTAGACCGGGGCCTTGCCCATCTCAAGTCAAATATCGACAATTATCGATTATGCGTTCGAACCTGCATTGATGAGCTTGGCCGCGGGACAGTCCAGCCCTTGAATATACTGGACTTACCCAATGAACTGCTTATACTGATATTCAATTTCTTACGCTGCCATGATCGTCTTGATGGCTACAGGCACTACAACTCACCTATTTACGTGAGACCGTCCTCTGACATCCAGAATACTCGCCTTACCTGCCGTAGATTTTGTGCAGCTAGCTCACATCTCCTTATCAACTACATCCACGTGGAGTGCCAAACCAAGTCATTGGGCCGGCTTCTGGAAATTTCTAAACATCCTACCATCAGCAAGGGTGTTTTTGGGGTTGTTGTCAAGCTTACTTCTTATCATCCGGTACTTGCAAACGATCGGCGCGCATTTGCTCGTGTCTGGGCTCAGAGACTCCGTAATAAACTCGATGATCTGTGCGAATCGGATGATCCAACTCCTTCTAATGAGGATTTAGAGAATTGGCATAAAGTAGAACAAGCTTGGGAGAACGTGGCTTCCAACGGTAGCGGTAGCCTTCACTCTGAGCCTTGCACCAAGGCGATTCGAACCTGTCATATGGAATTCAAAAAGAGAGTACTTGACCAAGAATGTCTGGGTAAGGGCGGCATTTTCGTCAGACTTACCGCTATGGCCATGTCGCAAATGCCTTTGGCCCAAGATTTAGCATTTTACGAACCGATTGAATTCGATGGTGAATCACCTTTGCTAGCAAGCAATGACCCTCTAGCAATTGGGCGATCATTACTCTATCCATTTTCTTCAAAGGAACACGAAGCCCATCACTGGAACCATCATTTGCCTTTCGGCAACATACCCGACTTTCTAGCCGCTCTGCCGCCAGCAGGTGTCTCAATAAAGACTTTAAAGATTGAAAGTGGCGTATGGAGCGCGAATCTGAATGAAGCCACCGTTTTGGTTTTCAATCCCATGTCGCACGACAATATTCGCCTCCTCGCAAGCAACTTAAAATACGTCTCTTGTCAACTCCATTCGCTATATGGAGAAACTTTGGACCAGTTGATAAGCGACAACTCTCGGTTTCTGTCAGTAGTCTTAGATACCGACAGTCTCACCGGGATCGATATCCATGTCGCGGATACAAGGGATTTCACCAAATCCAGTGCTTGCAGCATTGGTCCTATATTGAATAGTCGAAAGCGTGATCAATTGAACATGCTCCGTTTGTCAGAAGTAGCTATCCATGAAAATGAGCTACAGCAGATTATTTCTTCACTCCAACCGAAGTCCAACAACCCCTACTCTGGAGTCCAGATCCTACTCTCTTATGTACAACTACTCAGTGGGTCGTGGGCTAGTGTATTGGACTCCCTACATGACAAGGTAGATTACAGATCGATCCTCCGGCACCCATATGGAGGTGAATGTGAGGATATGACGGACGACGAATATTGGAGGATATTTTCAGGTGGTGGGCGCCGGAGTTCGCTAGCCGAGAAGTACATTCGAAATGTGCCGCGAGGAATTTCGAATCCTATGCACATTACCTCTCCCGATCTTGCTGAACCAGAAGTTTCCTAAATGCAATTGCGCAGTTTCCCATTAGGGGTATTAACAAATGGACTCGTACCTGAAAAGTTTGACCTAAAATAATTACGGAGGTATAACGCATAAGACCTTCTATTCAATTCTAATCTCCTTTTCATTTCTAGCATTATATAACACGTCGTGACCTTATGATGATTCTGTGAACCTTGCTAAATCGGGATTCCATTAATAGGTTTCATTCCCTTACCCTCATATCTCACTGAAATTCAGATCATATCAAGATCAGTCTTCAGTCAGAGGTTTATTGAGACAATTCAAATGGAACTAGCCACTTGGTGAACGCCAAACCACTATGTACTAGAGAAAGTAACTAACAAGCCACGTCCTCACACACCAAGTTTGAAATGGATTCATAGGCACTAATCTCTTACTGGGGAACCCTAACTCCAGTGATATCCTCCAGCTTCTTCAGCAAGGCATCTTGAGCCTTTTCATCGTACGCATCCTTCTTCGCCTGAGCCGGGGCCTTCTTCCCATTTTCCCAAAAACAAGCATTCTTGCCCTCGGCCTCACCAGTCCCCTCCGCAAGCATGACATACAGCCTCTCGCTCTCGTTGATATCGCCCGGGGCCCCGGCACCGCCCATCTTGGTAGGCACCCATCCAGGATCAACCGAGTGCGCGACGACACCCTTCGAGGCGAACCGGCGCGCGAATGCGAAGCCGAACATGGTATTGTACAGCTTCGTGTCAGCATATGCACTGCTTTCTCGGAAGTGGCCGGCTTTGTGGCGCTCTCTCCATCCAAAGTCCTCTAGACTCGTCGATCCGCCCCAATGGCTGTCAGAGCTCGCGTATACGAGACGTCTAGGGAGCGGTGCGAGACACGTCAGGAGATAAGGGGCTATGACATTGACGGCGAAGACAGCCGGGTAGCCCTCGGCCTGCGCGCGGTAGGGACCGAGATACAGCCCTGCGTTGTGGAAGATGCAGTCCATGGGCTCGAGCTTCGAGAGCGATGCCCCTAGCGCCTTGGTTTCCTCTATGGACGTTAGATCGCCGAGGAGGACGTCCGCGGCGCCGGGGCAGGCATTCCGCGCATCGCTTGCTCTTTGGGCGTTCCGGGCGTGGAGATAGACTGTGTGGCCTCTGGAGACGAGCTGTTTCGCTGCACGAAGGCCGAGCCCGTCTGAAGAGCCAGTTATGAATATACGTGCCATTGTGAATTCCCGAGATGAAGATTAGTGTGAACTCGGTATGTTGAAATCAGTTGATAAACAGAGAAGCTGGATCCTACTACTCATGTAATTGATATATGATGAACAGCATCAGTAGATAGATACCTACTCACCTTATACCTGTGTAAGAACTTAGCTAATCCATTTATTTATCCACTACCTACATTGTTTATTAAGGTACATCATAGACTGCCAGACCTTCTCTGGGTTAGGGTCAGTGCGAGATACGCGGAGAGGTACCTACCATCGATGTAACACTGAGGCCGCCCCACACAAGCTCAGACAGAACCTTGGGAGCTTTCACCACGGATTTGGCGGGGTAATCAGCCAGATCAACCAGGTAGTAGTGCGGGGTTGAGGGGCTGGCGTCATAGGCAGCGGCTCGGCAGCGCAAGCTTCAGGTACCCGACAGCGTTGTCGTCAAAGACAGGGTCTGAACACGGGTTCTAGACGCGAGAGTAAGTGGTCTACATTACAGCTTTCCACGCCTTCAAAGGCTGCTTTTGATTTGACTTTCGACAAGGAGTTACGCTTGACGTCCAAACGCTCCTCAAGATCTCCACCAAAATACCGTCCGTACCTTACGTTTCTGCTTCTTCAACACATCTCACACACCGGTTCCTAGAAGGACGAGATGTCGACAGCAACGAATCCGGACCCGGGCCTAAGCGCCCCGGCCTTCATCCCGCTCGAGGCGAACCCAGAGCTGATGACGTCTCTCCTGCGAAAGCTCGGTCTAAGCAGCGCGCTCCAAGTCCACGACGTCTACAGCATCACAGAGCCCGAGCTGCTCGCATTCATCCCGCGGCCCGCGCTGGCGCTGCTCCTCGTGTTCCCCGTGAGCGCGACCTACGAGTCTTCTCGGCTGGCCGAGGACGCCGGCGTGCCCGAGTATACGGGGAAGGGACCTGACGAGCCCGTCGTGTGGTGGAAGCAGACGATCCGGAATGCATGTGGACTGATGGGTCTGCTCCACGCTGTGTCGAATGGTCCAGCTAGGGGCTTCATCGGTACGTCAAGTTCTTCACCCTAATTTCTCTATCTACTTATTCCATCTCTTTCCCTCCGTTTCCTCCTCTCTCGACATCCCGAAGCGCCAATAAACCCACTAACAGAAGCTCCAACTCAACAGAACAAGACACGCCGCTCTCAACCCTTCTCTCGCAATCCATCACCCTCGCACCCGGCGAGCGCTCCGCCCTCCTAGAGAAGACGCCAGCCCTCGCATCCGCGCACCAAGAGGCCGCGAGCCAAGGACAGACCGTCGCGCCCGACGCCCAGGACGACGTGGACCTGCACTACGTGTGCTTCGTGAAGACAGACGACGGCACGCTATGGGAGCTCGATGGCCGGCGCAAGGGTCCCATAGCGCGGGGCCAGCTGGCTGCCGACGAGGACGTCCTCTCCGACAAGGCTCTGTTATGGGGTCCCCTGAAGTTCCTCGAGCGCGGGGGCGGAGACATGCGGTTCTCGTGTGTCGCGCTCGCAGGGTCGCTGGATTAAGTTCGGTTCTGACAAGTGAGAAAAAGGGGAAGACAGATGCAAACAAAGGTTTCTACGCCAGAACAGCCAGGCACATATCTAGCGTCCATCTGCTGTTCGCCGTATCTTATCTGTGTATAGGGACTTGCACGATGATATAAAGCCTAAACCCATACACAGATTGGAGGAACAAAAATTAGCCACAATCCTAATTCCAAACACTTCGGTGCGTAGTGGAGAGGGTCACACGGACATATCTACCACTTATTACTGCTTATCGGCGGAGTCGGTATCCGAAGGTGTTTGGCAGTCAAGCCCTACAGTTCATAATTAAGCACTTCTGCTTTAGAATATGGCTCGAAAGGTACACCATTCTTGAAAACAATCTCATTTTGTTGGCCTAATCTAGGTCGCTCCTGAGAGCGTTTCCAGTCTAATACCCTTGATACATGCATCTTCATCAACTCTGGTCTTTCTCAGTCTTGTAAATTACGAAACCATGTTGTAAAACGAACGTAACCCTTAGTTTTTAATCTCGTGAAACAAGTCCTGCTTAAGAGGCCACGGTACGCACCCACGACCAATATAAGAAGGCTAGATAGAGCCAGATCTGGATCTGGATCTAACATGATAGTCTCGGCTGAGTCGAGGAGTGTCCGTAGAAACCGTCTCTGCCAAACCAGATACAGGTGAGGCTACTTCTTTGTTGAATTTCTGTTCTGGTGAAAAGAAAGGGGCAGGTTGCGGAAATATTGGGACGGAGTAGCGGTGATGGTAGTCATATTGACCCGGAGAGGGACAAAAGCCGTGGCAGATAGGCAAAGGTAGGTAGAAATGATATGCAGCATGACCCATATCGAATGGGCTGTGCAATGGATAATGCGATGTTCCAGGCCCATACACGGCTGCCGTCCTCGGTCTAATCGGAAAACATATCAGTAACTAAGACAGGTGTCGATAACTCGAAATCGGTGTGGCTTACCTGGGTAATGGAGTGCCAGAACGAGGGGAAAGGGGGCGATAGGGAGAGGGCGGCGAACCGTTCAAAGACATGGCCTGTACCCACCAATCAACTTCTACTGGGTTTGACGAGGCAGTTGCATCCGAGTTTTGGGATGAACTCGAAATTATCTGTGCGCTCTCTGTTGAAGCAGGCGAGTCTCTGTTCCCATCGAGACCATGACGTCCCAAATGACCTGGCTGACCACTAGTGCTACATTCGTGAGAATGCAATTCTGCCTCTCTGCCACTGGTAATAAAATCTTGTATGTGCTGAACCATGTGTCGTACAAGGCCCTCGTCGATGCGTTTTTCGCCACCCATCTCAACTTTACCTTTGGACTTGCTGTTGGCTAAATGTTGTTCGAGAATATTTCTCAATAGGCCAAGGATCTCACCTCCCTCCGTGAATGAGGGTAAATTTCCCAAGTCAATGTTCGAGGCTTTTAGATACTGTTGCGTTGATTCACGTTCGGCCGCTTTAGCACAGGTTGTGCATTTTGGGTTCCGTTCTTTGCTGCTCATAATGGAAGCAGCCGACTTCATACATATATCACAGTTGGAATTGTATGTAGTCTTCGAGCCAGGAGAAACCCGGAGACCTTGAAGAATCTGAGGGGGGAGTTCTCCGCCAAACTTTGCCGCCTTTTTCCACTGTTTTTCCTTTCTACTCCTCTCCTTAGCTTGTCGTCGCTTTTCTTTCCTTTCTTTATTTTTCTGCTGCCTGGCTCTTCTCTTCGCCTCATGGCGTGCTTTCTTTTCCGCTCTTTTCTTTTCCCTCTCTTGCTTTTTACTGCCGCTGGGCCGGTCATTCTCTGGTGGTGGCTCAGTTGGTTGAAGAGGTGGGCTCGGCACATATAATTCGGAAGGAAGCTGTGCTACGGTCTCAGGCGCAAGACTAGTACTCCCCGTGGTCTTTTCCTCCGCAGTTCTCTTTGGTGACTGTCTCTGCTCATCGGCGCGGGATGTTAACATGCTGATGGCCCCCTCAAGTGTATGTTTGATGCCCGAGTTTACCTTTTCGATTACACTCGAAGGCATTTGCTCCAAGGAGTCGACCCAAGGAGAATGGGTTTTGTCTGCAGCAGCACAATGTTAGACGTGGTCTTTCCGGTTCTCGGGGATATCACAAACCTCCAGTAGGGGACTCATCGTCACCTTCATTGGCTGCTTTTTCGGTTAGTATAGGATATACCTGCTGTTTATTTGCTACTATGTTCACTAACCTCTAGGCGAAGTACTTGCTGGTGCGGCTGAACTTTCTACTCAGACTGGGTTAGCCACAGCTAGATACGCAAGGAAGATATTTGCATATACCAGCACGCTCTTTCGGTTTCTTTGGTCGTTTCCCTCGCTCTGGTTTCCCCTTATCTCGAGCGGGAGCTTCTTTAGCTAATCTGCATTAGTTAATTCGATAGTTGTGCGGGTAATGAGGATACAGACCAACGAGTGGCTTGGTGACAGGCTTAAGATCGAAACTCTTGTCATCCTCCGATGGGCGCACTAACATTCCGTCAGCGAGCGTGCCAATATCAAGTGAGATGCGTGCTTACAAATTTCAGGAATCTCGTCAACTTGGGGGAGACGCGGCATGGGCATATGAATAGTATCAGCTTGCTCTGCCGGCTTATCGCGTCGACCTGACTGCTTCGCTTGTTTTTCAGTTTGACAAATTCGATCCAGGTTATCCTTTTGCTCCTCAGGCACATCACCACGCCAGTCACACGCATCCATGCGGATGGATTGCTGTTGGTTCTTTTCACATGCGTGTGCCAGGTCGTCTAGTTCTGGCTCGGGAGCATCGCCTCGCCAATCACAAGTACCATTTGGCTTCGATGACTTAGGGGATGCATTTTCACGGCGGCCGGAATCACCGTCGAGCTGGCCAGTTAGCTGAGCAGCCTCGACTTTGGCTTGGAGCTGCTCTTGCGACAGTCCACTACCGTCGAAAGAATAGTGCATGATAATAACGACTGGATTCGAGGCGTTGGGGCGAATATATTGCTTGGTGTATTGGTTCTAGGATGTGCAACAGACCCGTTCACATACTAACGATGCTCTATGTATCAATTCTGTATAGGTGCTATTAGAGTGATGATAGGATCCGCGTGAAGGCTGGAGCGAAGAGAAGCGGGAGATAGAGCTTCTACGTGAGATGCGGAAGGGCCATGAAGTTGAAGAGTCCAAGATGTTCTCTTCGGGCACAGACCTGGCTCTCTAGCATGCTAAAACAGCTAATCGAAGAGAACGAACAGTTAGGCAGGCAGAGCCGACTATCCTTCACTCCAGTTCAGGTAGGCATGAGACGCAAGGGGTGACGTGGTGAAGGAGGCACTGCCCATAGGGAGCAATGTCCACCGACGGCACAAAGGCGAGGAAGGTGTGTGCCCATGCCCTCATATCCACGCTATATCCATCACCACCATCAAGTATCATTGGGATCGCGATACGAGTATTTCCCATCATGCGAGGCAGATACATTGGCATTATCTACGTACTCATTGAGATAGTCAGATATCGTTTCCGACATTGGTTCTTAGGGCAACACGTCGAGGTGAGATTCAGGGCAAGTCGCCACAACATTCAAACTCGGGAAGTTGGATGGAGGCTACTTCTAGTAGCTGCTGCCATCTAAACTCATCGTTGGGCTGGTAAGAGCAGCCTCGCTAGTAACTTGGAAGCTGCGGATGAGATATGACGAGTTTCACCCTGCTCGGGCAACCTTGGAAGACAAAGCTCGACACAATGCAAGCATGGCATGTGCTTACCTGATTAGCAATTTACACGCGGTTAGGGACTCGTACATTAGAAAAGGTCGCATCGAAAGCTTTTCTGGTGAGAAGCTTTCTACTTGTCGTATTACTAGACTCCACCCATTATATTTTATAAATAAATATGTTCATGAAGATGATGGGCATCAGGGTAGGCTTGACATTTAGGTATACATCGCGGCTTGAGCGTTGTGACTCAGGTTGTGGTAGCTAGATCTGCTTCCCATTTCTCGGACCGAGGGCGTCATCTGGTATTCGGCGCGGACTGACGTGCCAATTGCTCGACCAGCTGCAGACCAGCGCGTATTTTCGTTAAATAGCTATTCTTCAAACCCTTCCAGAGGATACCCCTTCATCAAAGACTCAATCAATCCATGAATTTGCCGTTGTATCGCCACAATGAGAACTAACCTGTGGTATAAAATGATATATCTAGTCCTCGAACGTATACCGTCAACCCGCATGGCATCGCGTTACGGGAGTCGAGTCTACTTTAGTGCAGCCAAGCAGTCGGTAACGCAATTGTAACGGGCTGGGATTCCGGCCGGAAGATGACTGCATACTAACGCTGCAGAGTTTTGGGGTTAAACATCTCACGACTGGTTTGGAGCCGAGGGAGCCGACTAGATCGGTGTATTACGAGTCTGTACGAGTAAGTTGATATTCATGACAGCCAGTGGTAAATCGCCACTGGTGCCGGACGAGAGGGCGGGGACCAGTGGGAAAGGCCGGAGTGAGTTAGATATGCGAGGTGAGGTGATGCGTTCTAATTAGCTACCCTACCTGCCGGGCCGGACGTGGAGGTGTGGTTGTGAGCATCGGTTAAATTGTGCGCAATCATGTGATGCTAACTGCGTACTTACTCCCTAACATAGGCCACCCGTGATCTCGGAGAATTTGACGGCGTATCGGTGCCCGCAGTGGAGGGTGCTTTTTCACATTTACATGTACGTGTAAAGCACCACAAGGATATCATTGAAATGGCCCAGCATGAGGAACAGGAGGAGGCATCAAATATTGGCCATCACCCCCTACTTAGTAGCTCGGGCAGAGACGGTCGAAGCAAACCCGCTCTGCATATCATCAGACAGGCATTACGATCCCACCCAAACTTCAGCAATAAAAGGGATCGACCAACCCGAGCAGGGCCCGAGGGCCTTTCACCGACTGGCCGGGTAGATCCAGTCTAATCCAGGGCAGGCAGGGACAGGGGCTATCGGGGGCGTCGATCCTCTCCTTTCTCTGGTGTCACCGACACCACGGTTTTGATGACTTAGTAGTAATGGCAGCCTGGAGAAAAACTCCGAATAGATGTCGCGTCCCGTTCCGTTTCTGTTCCTCTTATCGCAATGATGCAAGGTCCTTTACTCGTGTACACTACCTAGGTAGGTTTTCATCATACTCATCAATCACATTGTCTACTGTGCAAGCGGTAGTGTTCGCAGATTACTTAGCTACATGTACTCGATGGATCTTGTCAACGCCGTGGAGTTAATCCTAAGGGGTCGTAGCTTGCTAGACTTGTTGTTTAGCTTCGCAAGGGCTGTTAGCAGATGGAATCGTCAAGCAACAATGGTCATCCTGAAGCTGAGAATGGCTGCGCTACGGCTCTCTAGCACGTAGTCTAGGCAATTCTCGTCGCCAGGGTAGTATCATGCTGTAAGACCATGGCACTCCCTATCTCGGCCAGCCTTGGTGCCATAGTAGGCTACCGAGCTACCGAGCGCGGATTAAAGGCTTGCAGCCGAGAGAGTCGAGAGAGTCAAGGTGTAGATACACGCACACGCGTCAATGGCAGAAAGGCGTGTTGAGTAAGGTCGTCTGCTCGGCCTGCAGAACACTTTATTGTGATTGTCACGTCATCATAAAAATTGTAGCCCACTCCCCCACAACCAGACCTTCAGAATCGCTGGTCCATGCATAGAATACCGGGTAGAAGTGTCGTGATTCGAAGAAAAGCTGGCGCGCTACTTCACTAGTGCACAGCCAGCCATGTCAGGTAATTGCCATCTCGTCTTGTCGCAAGGAGCATCTCGAGCATCTCGAAGTCCAATAGGCTCCTCTCAACAGGCTGAGCCCGCCAAAATGAGCGGCGTCAGCAAGTACAGACGTGCGTACATTATCACGAAAGGACATATAAGTAATAAGTAAGTCGTGGCTATCTAGCAGGTGTACTTATTACGTAGAGATATGGGTTGGGAGGTTGGGGGCCACCTTGGACTCGAACCTGGGTCCCGGCATGATCCTTTGGCGGTTCCTGTCAGCACTCGGTATTTACAACCTTTTGGGGCTAGAACTTTCAACTTCACACATAGCCAGCCCAACCAAGTCACTATTATCAGCCGCAGTTGAATCCTACGAAGACAATGTATGAGGCGCCTACCTCTGTTATTATTAATGTGCCAACGAGCTGAAAGAATTCCGTGACTGTTCTTTGAAAAGGATTCACTGTCTCAATACTATATAATGCGTTGTATAACAAGGCATCCATCCTACCTACATACTTAGATGGCATCACTTTGCTTTTTCATGATGCACGGCCTGGCGAATACCTTGTATCCTCATATGCACGCGTCTTACTTACACTTCCTACCTACCTAGTACCTTCCTAGTCCCTGGCCATGCATGACGTGCAGTCATCACAGGCCTGAAGAATCATGATCAGATTGTCCGCCATTTCATTATTTCATTATTCAACCCCCTTCAGGTAACGTTTACGGGCTGGCAAACATATACTTGGAAGTACCTAGGTAGGTGTATGCGCCACATTACAGCTACTACACGGTAATATACAATATTGTATGCTCCGTAACATGGAATTAAGATTAGCTACAAGTGCTACTATTCTGTATCATGTAGATAGGTAGGGTCGGTAGGGTCGGAAACACATACTTCCTACCTCTTTACATGTACAACTTGAAGCGAGCGGCAGATAACTGGCAACCCACCTTATTGGGCTGTTCAAATCCAGTTTGCGAAGCTGCTGTGATGTGCCGCTGCCGTGAAATGTACAATATATGTACTATAAAAGTCCTCATACAGAACAAAACTGTAGGTACCTCCACTTACATTATCTACATGTAGGTAGTGTGGTGCTATCGCCGGCGATCATGAGTAGGACAGTTCCTCTTTGGTGGGTACATACCTAGGTATCTAGGGCTGCTAGGGGACTATGTACACTAGATACCTAGCGCGGGACGGCGCAATAGCGCCATATTAGCTTAGCCAGCTAGGTACATACAAAGTACGTACGTATGTACTTATGGTAGATGTACTACGTAGGTAGTAAAATGAACTAAAGGAAGGTTAAGTTAGGCACCACCTTAGTACATAGGTAGTACTGTAATGCTGAAATACAGGAGGACTCGCTCGCAAGGCCTGGTCACCCTTCTCACCCCGTCCTGTATTTTTTGATGGCCTCTCGTCTATCTCCGTAGATCTCTTCGTTCGTTGGTACCATTCATGCCTGAAAGATCAACCCCATCAGGGGGCTTCCTTGCATCTCGCCGATAGTAGCGCGCCGTGATCGAAGCTTTGTTGTGCTTGCGCACGAAAGCCTCTCTTTCTGTCTCTCCATGACCCTCTAGCCATCTTCTTCTTCTTCATACTTACATACATGTTAAGGGTATACACTAGGCGCCGCCACGCATCCTCTTCTTTTCCGTTTGCCCAGCGTGTTTTTGTTGTTGTCCATGGGCCGCAATCAACATCTTCTTATTAATCGCTAATCTGCCTTGTCTCGCCCGTCACTGGTACCTATATGGACTCGTTTCCAGCTTTCGACACATCTGGATAACCGGCGGCCTGTGCTTTTGCTGTTTGGGCAACAGCCCTACGACTTTTCTTGTTTCTGTTTGCCGACAAATTCCAACATCCCTCCTGCAAACGCTTTCTCTATTGTGTCGCCCACTGCCATAATAATCTATTAATTGAATGTCTGATGATATTTCACGGTCCATCACTTGGACGGCGGTAACTTGATTCTTGCAGCTTATCTTTAATCGCAGCGGACATTCCCCACAGTCCTTTCAGACAAGAGTGCAAGATAAAACAACAAGTCAGCCACTGGCCATATTTGCATTCGTCAAATCCCTCAGTATTGTGCAAAACGGCCATGCCAGCAAGATGGGGTTGCTGAATTTTATTTCCAAAAAGTCTTCTCACTCGGAATTGCCTAAGCATGGCTCGCTCAAGACACGCGCCTACAATGAGACGGTGGCGTCGCGGCCGCCAATCCGCGGTATGCTTGCTTCCCAATCCAGTAATGCTTTGTCTCGCCCATAACTTACTGTAAATCGTTTTTAGGCACATACCCTGTACTCGGCAATGGAGCGAAGATTTTAGAGGAGTTCCAAAGGTCTCACCCCAATCTTGCGACTATCTCTCGCAACAACACACCGATACCAGCTACATTGGCCCCAGGTCCTCGTTATCGCGGCCCCGGTGTGGACCGGCCGAGGACCGCACCGTCAAGTCAAATCGGTAACACATCAAACACTTTGAGCTCACAATCACAGCCTCTGAAGAAGAAGAAATATGGCCCTTACAAGTTACCCTCAAAATTAGTGACCGATATTCGGGATCCGTCAGCGCTAGAGAGACCCGCAGCATCGCCAGGCTTGGTTTCACTCTATTCGGACTCCGTCAAAAGCAGTGAAGCTGGAAAATCCAAGGGCTATGTTGATCTCCTCGACGCCCAGTCTATGTTCAAGCCCTCCGATTTCTACAGCAGAGTTCAGGCCGCGGGCGCAAAGAACTACGGCGAGGATGTGGCAGACCGTAATAGGGAACTAATAAGCACTAATTTAGATACAAGGGGTTCGGACACGATGCAAAGCCATGCAGCTGGATATGGATATCCTTTAGTCTCCCAAGATGTCGATGGTGACGACTCTCATGATGAACCCCCAAGGCCTCGAAAAGTCCGAAATTCGACAAGTTCGAGTCGTAGACCCAAAAGCATTGGCCCTCACACACCTGGCTCCTTCCCGCAACGGACATCATCACGCCTCCCACCACAACATGCGGATGAGGCTCCCAAGGTTCTGACCCGGACCGAGTCAGCCAGATCAGAAAGAGCAGCGAGACGTAAATCTATGCCTTCTTATTTGGCTTCCACACCTGCTGAGGCGCCGCGAAGCTCATCGGCTGTGAGAAAAAATAAAGTCAACGACCCCAATCCCTTTCCCAATTCTCTTAGAAGCCACGCTCGGTCCAGTACAACGTATGAGCGGGAGCATGCAAAGCCGAATATATCTTCCAAAAGACAATCTCTAGCACCCTCGCGCGATGGGCATTCCTCATTCCAACCATCGAATGACCTTGATAAGCCTTTACCGGCTCTGCCCACATCAAGAAACCATTCCAGACGGAGAACCACAGCACACAACAACACCGTGGTAGAATCACGGTTGCTGGAGAAGAGACAAAGCCTTCGGGGAGCTACCTCAGCCAGTCGCGGAGAGATCTACGAGGATACCTACCAACAGAAAAAATCATTACAGGCCACCCGACCCGCTAGCGGCCGAAATTCATCTAGGCGTCAACTGGGAAGTACCACCGATCTTCAGGACTTTTCCTATAGCTCGCCAGCACAGCAACCTGACCACGAATCACGTCAGTGCTCTCCAGCGTTGCGACTTGTACTTCATGTTTTGATTTTTACGAATTTGTACTAACTTGAATGTTTAGAAATAATAACCCCTTCTACCAACCACGTAGACATCCATAACCACAAAAGCCGATCAAATCACGCCCGAAATCAAAGTATCATTTCCATATCCAATAAGGGCATCCCTGTAGCTCACGAGGCTGGAAACATCGTTCCGGAGCGTTCCAGTAGCCTTCGTCATTGGTCTCTGACATCCGAAACCGCTTTTTCAACTCTTAGCTCGAATCCTTTCCGGCCCCAATCAGGGCATACCACCAACACTTCAGTTGACTTCTCACCACTAATTCCCCAAGCACACTTAAACGAGTCGATACCCCCAATCCCTGACGTTTCATTTCTAAAGTCCCTGCAGTCTATACCTGACAATACATCCACCATACTGTCGCCATGTCGCTCTCTTCCCAACCCTTACAAGCGTCAATCGAGTGAGTTCTTTTTGGATGAGCACGCTTCAGATGTTGGAAGTTCGCTAGGTACATCGAGGGGCTCATATGAGAGAGATCTCCTATTTTCACCTACAGAATACGGCGTCTCCGGCGATCAATCATCTGGTCTTCCTGGTTTATTCGATGTTGCTGTGCCCGCCTCACCTGTGGGACTGTCAATAAATCAAACTTGGGAAGGTGAGGCACAAAGGGTACCCCGGCAGTTTCAGATGCCAGCTTACATTGAATCTGACTCAAACGATTTTGTCGAGAATCAATACCCAGAATATTCCTCTGAAGAAGAAATAAATTTTGACATCCCGAAGAGCCGGGCGAGTTCGGCGCTACGGTATACCCCAGCTACAGAAAAACTGCCTACCAAGACACTGCCTCTTGAGGAAGAAGACGAGTCGGACCACTAATTCAAGGTGCAAGATAGGCTACACCAGTCATCAACTTTTAAAGTTGCTTAGGCCTGCAATATGATCATTTTGATCTGGATATGATAGCGACAGTGTTTTATACTTCGGATGGGATGGAGAGTCAAATGATTGCAGCCTAGGATTCTTTGCAATAATGATGTCTTGATTTGGGAAATTTGTACCTAACTCATTTGTGTATGTTGATATTACATGGTTGTATGGCGTCAGGTAGCGTAGAGTTTGGGTAGACACCCTATCGGACTTCGGATTAAAGAGATTTATGCCGACCAATAGTCAGGCAATGAAATACATTTTACTTTCTATCTTTCGATGTCTCAGTCCCCTGAACGCGCAGTAGTGACCTCGACGACTTAGTGTCCAGCTGAACTGAACGAAAACGTAGATGAGCCAAGCGCAACTTTGACGTTTCTTCCTTTTTGAACACCTTTATCTAGACGACCAACTTCTAGAAATATTGCCTCTAAGAGGAAGAGGTGATGAAAGAAAGAAAAGGCGAAGTCGATAATGGGATATAAGTCATTAAAAAGCAGGTATACAAAATATCGTCGCTACGCCCATATCAACAGGAGTCATCTACAAAGAAATATATGGCATGATCGCTGAGTCGTGTGGTAAAAAATCTAGATTAGAATTGCTACGATATTGAATGAACGCAATAATGCAGACTCGGCTTCACATCTGCGTGTCGCCATTAAAATATGTCACGGTAGCTGATTCGGGGGTAATCCGCCAATTATTAGCCATGGGCCGTGGCGACATGTACGTTTTAAAGATGATATCATATAGATTGTAAACGGCATACATGTCGTAGATACGTCGGTACAGATGGCGGAAGAGAGTTGGTAGTTCATATGCTTCAGATCAGGCGGCAGTACAAATAGGAGATCAACGCGATATCATTCGTAACTACCTACGTAAACTACGAACAGGTACAGCTAAAAGCCTTCCTGAATTCATCTAAAGTCATTTCCTTCAGCATGTTCAGCATTCTCTGCGCAGCCTTTGACTTCGCGTTCGAACCACTACCCGCATAGGCGTGCTCCCTTACTGTTCCGTGGATCATGACGCCAGCCACGACTTGAGTCGCCGCGAACTCGCGATCCTCGTCGTCGGTTTCCGCGACCATGACTCTCCATCTCTTACAGCGGAACTCGGTGGTAAGGGTGTGCGATAGCAGAGTCACGGGATGGTTATTGGCGTACGTGTCGTAGAGATGCATGTCTTCGAAGTATGGGAGGATATGGGCATCGAAGAAACGCTGCACTTCCCCGTAGTCATACTCACTATCGACGAAGACAGCGCCGATGTATGATTCCACTATGTCAGAAACGCACTTTGGAGGTCGCTTTACACTCGTCCAATAGTTGCGCGCATATGCAGCGCGACCAAGACCAGATGCCTCCGCTTCGTCTTCCGCTTGGGTCCGGGCGTCCGTGATATTTGTCACATAATCAGCGATCTCTTTGTGCAACGCGGTGCTCATCGAGACCATGTGTTTATGTAGCTTAAGAGATACGCAGAGACAACCTTGAAATTGATTCGAGACCATGGCCATCTTGTGCTCCGTCATCCACTGGGGGTCAGCACCGGGAAACTTCTGGTATAAATGATCGACACAGACCATGTCGAGAAGTGCGTCCCCAAGAAATTCCAGGCGCTGGTAGTTGGGTATTCCCTCATAGATAAAGCCATAAGAAGGGTGTGTGAAAGCACTACGGAGAAGTCGAGGGTATCTGAATTTGTACCCCATCTTCTTCTCTATCTCGCTTGCCAGATCGTAATGTACAGCTCGGGGCTCGGAGCTCTGCCATTCGGGTATCTTGTACGCGGCATAGTAATCACCATACGTCCTCATCGTGTGGTTCCGGTGATTGACAAATTTCGTGACTGCCTGGATTGCCATATCAAAATTTCTCTGCTCGCGCGTAGCCATATACGCTGCACCTATAAGCGCCTCGCAAACATCTGCGATAGACTTATCGGCTACTATGTGGGTTTTCTTGAGAAGGTTACTGTACTTTCTTCCTTTGAGTAGGTTAAGCCCCTCAGGGTACCATGTGCTTCGATCAAAGGCTCTCGTCCGGATCGATTCCTCCAACTTCAGCTCCAGCGCGTTATTAAAAAGATTCTTGTTACATATGAGAACCATACGATCGACGTGATACTCAAATTCATCGCAGTCTTGCATCTGAGAAAACAGAGCTATGGTGGTACTCATCTTCAGAAATGAATCGCCTAGAAATTCGAGGCGTTCATAGTTTCTGCCCATTCCTCGTTGTATATTGACCTGGTCCTCGCGTCTTTCCTCAGTATTATCGCTGTCTTTAGTCATGGCCTCGAGGGCCAAGTCCGGCTGTATGCCAAGGCTCATTGACCTGCAGCATTCAAGCACAATGAGATAGGATTCGAGCCGATAAATAACAGCGGGCAAAGTGTAAGTCATCGCAACAATATCAATTGGTATCTGCTACTTATTAGATAAATTTAATCGCGTCTTGGGAATGGCTTACAGTGGAAATATGGAGTGTCTGAAAGACCAGGAAGCATCTCCGGTCAGCTTCACCTATTGAATCAGATTTATCAAGTAGATTTCGACGAAGAGGTATGAACTCTGCTTCTATGACAGATAAATTATCTTTCGGGGCCAATCTCCCGCGGCTCTTCCGCCAGATACTTTGGACAATAGAGCTCCAAATATCATTATCTGGAGTTCCCTGGCGTTTAGTTCGTGGGAGCCCAGGCAGTTGAGGGTCTGTGGGCTTTATATCAGGACGCCTGCAGATGGTGTAGAATTTCCGAGAACCATCAAAGGGATCAGTGACGAATTTGTTTTCCAACACATTGTCTGATTGGCCCTCCCATTCAATATGGTCTGGTCCATCCTGAATTGTACGAATGCACTCCCAATCAATGATATCACGTGGATCCCCACTCTGCACCAGGTCCTTTGAGTGATGTGAATGCACCAAGGGCGCAAAAAAGTATGGCATCTTTTCTGCCTCAGGAGCGTACTCTTTGCTGAAAACATCCTTGAAGATTCTCAAAGTGAATTTGTTCAGTCCGTCAATATCTCTTGGAGCACATTCCATAGCACCAGACAACAGGAAGCATTCAACCCCTGAAACTTGCTGATTCGCAAAATAGACAGGGAATTCAGCTATCCTCATCAATGGCTCCCTTGTTAGGAGAGCCAGAGGTCGAGATGGTCGACCAATTGCCTGTGGGCTGGACAATTTGATTACCATGACGAAGAGCTTCTCAGGAAAACCAAGAACTACCCATAAGCCTGGTTTTCGTTTCATGGGATACTCGGCTCTTTTTTTAGAGCTGATCGCGAGCCTCGCATTACGCATAGCGGGTAGACGCTTCGAAAAGACAGATTGTAGGTTGTCATCTAGGTGCTTTTGCTTCTTCAATTTCAAGCACATCTCGAAGGCTGCGGAGCATTTCGCCACTTGTTTCGATGAGGCACGGCACCCAATCGCGCTTCTAATTGGGGAAGCATCTGGAAGTAAAACCTCGCATTGGAACTCGCCACCGACATTGTGAACGATGTAGTCCGCAGTGTCGTAGAGCGCCTCGGCTGATTGTCGCAAAGATGATACAAATTTGGCAAGTAATGGGATGCTCATCTTGTATGTCAATATCGCACCAGTGGATTCAACTTTATACATTCGTTGTTTTCTTTCTTTAGATAGATGATAATCGATGTCGTAGTCACAACCGGCAATAAGACGGTCTTCCGGAAGCATGTTGCAGAAATCACGCAATTTAACCTCATGATCTTGAATCTCGGTGATGAGTTGTCGATGCACAAGATTCCCAGTTTGAATCATTTGGTAGAATTTCGAGTTGGCACTTCTTGCGCGTCCTCTTGACTGTATATATTGAATCACTGTCTTGTAAAGATCAAAACGGATTACGAAATTGCAGCCCGGGATATCGATTCCCTCTTCACCCGCACTTGTAGTGAAGAGACAATTCAAGTCGCCGTTTCGAAATCTCTTAATGGTTGATTTTTGCTCAGTTAATGTCATGCCGAGATCGCCAGACGTACTAGTGGCGGAACCCATCTGTACCTGGTCAGCTTCTAGTGAGTTAAACCTAAGCTCAAAAACTCACAAGCTTTCCCACCTCATACCCCTGACAATTCAGGGCAGGTTGCTGAAAGATGTCGGCAAGTAGTGCTACCGTAAGGCGCTGTTCTGCGAAAATAATGCATTTGTCTGTCTTGGGGTTGAAATTCTCCTTCAGATGCTCGACCAATTTCATGACTTTGTGTGAGAGAAAAAATTGGTTAAGTTCAAGTTCTGGGGAAATGTGATTCTGTATCAACTGCTTGGCTTGTCGAGTAGCTTCCAAAGCCTCTCGTTCATCGCACAAGATATTGGATGGTTGCAGGAACTCATGTCGATTGAAACTGCGCTCTGTTCTCGCCTCTATCCTGATTCCCTCTTCTTCAGACAACCAGAGTTTCCATACTCGGTCCGCAGCCCACCGTCCCAGCTCAGTTGTACAATTTTTTGAATATGTCAACATTCTGGCAAATGCCCCATTTTGCCCAACAAGCAGATCAAGTTTCTGCCACAAAACTGTCTGAAAGGAAATGCCAACATTGTGATATTCGAGGAGGCCTTCGGTTGGTTTACTAATAGCTGCTCTGGAAAAGACGAGGGGGTCGCTCACAGTCGCTATTTCGCAGTGGAGAAGACCCTCCAATTGAGCGGCGGCGACGTGAACATTGGTTTTGGCGTCAACAGGCGATGCTGTCATGCCCAGAATCCGTGGACGCTTGCTATTGCTCTTCTCAAGTGTTGCATAGAAATCTTTGATGATTCTTGCATAAGGATGATTCTTCTTTGCATGGTGAGCTTCATCGAAAATGAGAAGGTTAATCTGTTCCATGCGGATGAAGGAGTGGCACAAGCATTGATGGAGTATCTCGGCCGTGCATACAATCACAGTTTTGTTGTTAGTCATTTCACTCCAGAATTCTCGTGTGTAGATCGGTCCACCTGACTCTCCCGTAAACGATTCCATTTGAAAGTCAAGATTTTCTTCAAGGACTCTGAATTGCTGATGGACCAAGGCAACCTTATCGACCTAAAGAGGAGGTCAGTTGTTATGTTAGGATCATCGCACGGCGGCCGAACGGAGATACGAACTAGAAACAATGCTAATCTATGGTCATTGCCTGCCCTTCTATCTTCTAGCTCCTGTTCTACAATATGGCGGAGGAGAAGCGCAGCGATAAGGGTCTTTCCAGTTCCTAGACTCATCGTATCAGCTGGCCCGCAATGTGAAGAAGAGTGAGAGGGGTGGGAATTGACCTGTGTCGAGGACAGCAATGATATTCTTTCTCTTGGCTCTCTCAAACAATTCTGTCTGGTACTCCCGAGGGCTACTGATGATAGACTCATCTTCTAGGAGGTCACGGTCGAACTTAGTCAGAAGATCTTCGTGGCTCGCAACTAAGCCCTGAGCGCGACAATTCTTATATGTATGTTCCCTCTGTCCGCGGAGCCAGCCATCAAAGAGGGACTTGTCTTGTATGAGGTGATCACTGGCAATGGGCTGTGGTGGAACATCACTGTGGACGGATTCTTCATCCTCGGAATGAGCGTAGTCCTCCATTGTGATGCTTCAAAGTGGGAGAGTAGGAGTTGGGCCCAGATATGTGGCTGCTTGGATACAAGAAGGGTCGGTGATACCATGTAGTAGGCCACCAACCTGTGAAGGTAAGATCAGAAAACAACCAATGCCAGCAGGTATTGGTGGATGGTCTCAAGGAGGTAGGAAGTAGGTAAGTAAGTAACCTTAAGTACTCAATGGCGGACATCGGGGGATGGAATCAATGGACGGAATCAATAGAACGAGCATTCTAGGCAAGCACATACTACACAAACAGCTGGTGGACCACAGGTTGGTACCTCCCTACCTCTAATCTTCCCTACCCTATGTAGGTATTTACCTACTCAAGTATATCCAGCAGTTCAGACCACAGCCCGAGATTGTATCACGGTGTGCTTTGTGTTTTCTTGGCTCCAGCAGTTCACAGCTTGCCTAGGTGGCAAGATGGTCGAAAACCGAGTAGGTCATCGAAGCATTCTGGTACGGTCCTGGCCCTTAGTCTAGACGTCTTCTGTAAGAGCATCTAAGTCCGTAGGTAGAAGCTCACCGTGCATGGTGAGCGACGAGTTTGGAGTCGGGACTTACACAGCTACCTACATATGTAGGTTGAGATGGCTTAACACATGGCAACTCCTCTGCTTCCTGCTCGCTGCTGCCTCCCAAGGTCACACAATACTTGTCTGGCATTATCTCTACCGAGGTACTTTCTTTGTAGAACTGACAAGACTCAGATTGAGGATTACATGTAGGTACCTATGTACCTAATGCTACAGCCCAAAAAGTACCTAGGTAGGTACTTACCTTAGTAGGTGCTTGAGCTATCAGCAAACGTCAACACCTCCCATTACTAGTAAGGTATGGTATCCAGGAGAGAAATACAACTTGGAGAGCGGCCTGATATATTTACATATTTACTTAGATTCCCCATCATCATTATTATCCTCACCATCAACTTCATCAGGTGGTGTTCCTGGAATGTACAAGGAATAAGCTGCGTGATGTACTACCTAGTATGCGTATTTGCGCATATCACATTACAGGGGTGCATTTGGCCCCCACCTTGCCACTTGACTGTACCAGGACACCAAGATCTGCGCCTTGGAATGCTTTGGCTCTGCAGGTCACGTCACAGCTCCCAAGTTGTTCGATATCACATATCACACTCACTGATCAGTCACATCGTCTCATACAAGCAATACCGCTCACTACCTTTGCATACAGCGCAAACCACACAATATCACAAAGTCGACATGGCTGAGGAATCGAGGACCCTGAAATCGGCCTTCCAAGCTGCTGAAGCAAAACGCTTGGCAGTGGAGGGGTCCTTCGACATGACCTCGCCAGCCTACCAGGACGATGTCACGGAAGCTCAGACGACCTATGAAGAGTGCGCCCAGATAATCGATAAGATTTCCTTGTTCAGCACCAACGAGTCTCTCGAGGATCTCGCAACTTCAGACCTACCCTATCTGCTTGTCCACTACCACAGAGCTGAGTTGCTTCAGAAGTCTTCTACTAGCTCACCCATGGAGCGAAAACGGGTCTTAACCTCAACCCGCGACGCTTATGAAAAGTTCCTTTACCTTTTGGACAGCTACTCAATCCTCTCTCCTCGAGAGAGCAAGCTTCTGGTGGAGTACAACGAAGATCCCACAAACTTCTCAACCATTTCAACCGTTGACGCAAACGCCCGTCGCAACGCCAAGATTGCGAACTTTAGGGCTGAGAAGGAGTTAAAACAGAAGCTGGCGTACATGCGCAACTCACCCCGGTATCTAGACGATGGCGGGGATGAGGAGGCCGTTCGCGAGTTACATCTCGCCAATCTTGCCTTGTGTGTTCATATGACTTTTCAGGGCCTCGAAGGTATTAACCGGGAACTGGAAATCTTAGCGCAGGCCCCCATCCCCTTGATACCCCAACACACAACTATAGAAGAGGATAACCGGAGACGCAAGGAGTCAATAGACTTAGATGCCTACTCAGAAAAACTCGATTCCCCTTTGAGGCTGCAGTCCGGTTTCTCAGGCCCGTTACTCAGTCAGGAGGGAAAACCGTTGCGGCCATTCACTCTTGTCGGCAACCGACAGGAACTTCAGCGCGGGGTATTTCGGCCAGGGCACAACCTACCAACAATGTCCATCGATGAATATCTAGAAGAGGAGAGAAGAAGAGGTGGAATCATTGAGGGGGGTGGTGAAGCAAGCGGGAGGCAACCTGAGCCTGACGAGGATAACATGGAAAAGGCAGACGAAGAGACGATGAAAGCTCGGGCATGGGATGAATTTACGGAAGCCAACCCACGTGGAAGTGGGAATACAATCAACAGGGGTTAATATAGAGGATCAAGGTATCTTTACCCGATGCATTGATAATCTGAACACGCAACAGACACACAAACAAGAAAGGAGGACCCAACCCAAGACCACATACACATACACATACACTTGCATGGCATTCATATACCAAGTTTCCAACCTAACGTTTTTTTTTTCTTGTTTTTTGGGGTATTTTTTAGAATATAGAAAGGTAATCAAAGTTGATACGGTCTACCCAGCAAATCCTTTTTTTTCTCCTAATTCTAACTTTCCTTTTATATTTTATCACCCGTTTTCCGTTCACCCCATATGTACTGTATGTACATCTGAGTATGCATGTATCCAGAAAACCATCTACCTACCGTATGCAGTCAACGGGGTATCCAATGCCAGCCCGGGGGCTACCTAGACTAGGTAGGTACCTATCTCCCCCTACAACAGTAGCGGTGACAGCTACCTACAGCTTGATTGCCCCACTTGACCTCCCAGCCTTGCCATCGATTTGTCGCGACTCGCAACCCCAGCAAGAAAGTGAATTCAGCCAGATAACATATCTCGAAACTACACCTTCAGCCTTCAAGTGTGCCATTCTAACCTCCATCTCAGATCAGCGCAGAGGATCCCCAACAAAATCTCGCACATCCTCGTGCGCCTGTGCGACAATGGCAACGGAACAGGATCCCCTCCTGCTCTTGAGGCAGTCCATCGCGTCTGGCAGCACCCCCATGCCGACAGCCTCAGCTGAAGCCTCCGCGCCTGAAGTTGGTTTATCGCAGGCGACACACCTCACATTCACATCGCCGACTCGCATTCCCCTTCCGATTGACACACCCACACGCTTCATTCTGAATGACACGCCCGTAGATTTGCGAAGCATCTACTTTACCTGGCTGCACCGCGACTATGCCATCCTCGAATACAATGAGCTTGCGTCAAAGTTCAACGAGGAACTCGGCGGCAAAGGCCAAGTCCAAAGACTCTCTTATATTGGAATGTTGGACTTGATTACCTGGCTGGAAGGCGCCAGCGAAGAGAGCGAATTCATAAAGCCTTTGGCTGGTGACAAGGATGGCTCGGCATCTACCGCCGCCGCGGCTCTTGCATCAAAGGGTGCTGCGGCTCCTGTGATAGGATCAACAGTGGGGAGATCAGGGAAGGGAACTTTAGACCCCAGACTAGCAAGTATCTACAACAGCGAGCGTAAAATGGGAGACCGGAATAGTGTATTGCGTGGTATTAAGCCAACAGTCCGTGCCAGCCCTCTCCCCCTCCAGTCTTTAGTATTAACTAGTCTCCCCAGGATTTCTCTCACGTGCGTAAACTCGCCGCCTTATTCATGACCAAGAAGGCGCCGCATGCTTCATCCTCGAACATTGCAAGCAATCCTGCGATAGCATCTCACCACAAACAGAAACGACCCGATCCCATCATCCTACTCTCTCCTTCAGCATCCTCCCTCCTCCGAATGACAAATATCAAATCTTTCCTCGAAAGCAGTCAATATGTGCCACCCAACTCTTTGGCTGCCAGTTCTAATACAACAGCAAACATGTTACACATCAATCGCCTCATGAAAGATATTGATGCGAATCGGCCAATGCGATTCATTCTTGTGGAAGGGGCAGAACAGTTCAAGCCAGAGTACTGGAATCGTGTAGTAGCCGTTTTCACTACAGGCCAGGCCTGGCAGTTCAAAAACTACAAGTGGAGTAACCCGACCGAGCTATTCCGCCACATACCCGGCATCTACGTCGGTTGGCGTGGTGAGCAACCCCCTGAGAGTGTCCGAACATGGGGTCATAGGGTCCACAACGTGGCCGTGGACAGGTGGAAAAATCCCGGAACAGCCACGGTAGATTCGAGTCGATGGAGAGATCGTGAAGCGGTAGAAGGCATCTGGAAAATGATCGAGAATAACATGCGAGCAAAAGGCTGGAAGCGTGACCAAGCGCCATCTTCAATATAAGTCAGTCATAGTGCGTCGAAAGCACATCAACCCGACAACCCTCAGGAATACCCAAGTATATTCCTTTGTGTAAACATTCTATTTCCTAACATTTAGGGCTTTTGGCCCAATAAATCCTCGACGGCTCTGAGAGAACGGAGAGTTTTTGGCCTTTTGACACCAAGTGTCAAACTCATCCAACAACTCATGCAATTTGTATACTACTCAAAAAAACGCGAGGGCGTGTGGAGTTCGAGAGGGGATATCCCCAGGTAACGGCGTAATGGAATCTAGATTCATGTCTATACTACCTTCGTTCTAGATAGGTGTCAACAGTCGGTTCTTTCCTCACCAAGTACTGAATAGGATTTCTAGCAGTTTCAACCACATCAAGAAACAAGTCGCCTGTCCACCAACATGCTCTAGAAGACAATAAACCGATTAACAATATTCGTCTTATGCCGCGTCCTATCCACCTACTGCAACAGGGAATTTATACTATATTTATGCAATAGGGTTTTCAGGCTACCGTCTTACCTCCTCTTCCTAACGGTCAACCAATAATGCCATCTCTCATTCCCAATCAACCGTCTGACCACCGACTAGCAGCCGTCCCCGGCGTCTTACATACATACACACATCCTGCAAAGCAGTGGCGAGGACCGACCGATATCATGCATTAGACTCAGCTCACGCGAGTAATACATCAAGTATTACTTCTTCTTCGTCTCAGTCACAATGGAACGGTGGGAAATGCAAAAAAAAAAAAAAAAAAAAAAAAAAAAATCAAAGAAGCTTACATGGCAGCATGACCTGACCTGACCAGCGCAGCGGAAGCGCCGGTGCGTCGTCTACACTAGTGTGGTGTAGCATAATTGTATAGTGTAGCGTCCCCCGTATACCCATCTGACTTGCAGTAAACGGTGCCAATATGATATCAAGGCAATGCCTGCTGATATATGCTGCATCGCCACGTATCTATTTGCCCGGGTTCGCACACACGTCGCTGTCCCCGTGCCATGATCTTACGTACGTACACACATACATACATACACCTCCTGAGGTACGGTATGTAGGTATGCGTCGCTTAGATATCCCCTTTCACACTAGATGGGTTCCGGCTGGGGTTGGAATGGGATGAGATCAGAGGGACCTTTACTCCCCTTTTGGTTTGCTTTGTTTTGCTCGTATGGGTCTGTTAGATGCAAGCTGCCGGTGTTTGCGTCTGAGTCTGCGTCAGGGTCTAGGTTGTAATGCTTCTGGTCGATATTCCTCGTTGGTGCCTGGGTTCAGGATCTGCTTGCAAATTTGTAATGCAGTTTTCTCGGTCCCGGTGTAGGCCTCTGCTGAGAGCAAACGGAGATGGGCATGTTTCGGTGTGAGGGATCTAGACGGGCGTAAGCTTATGGTGAAAATTATGATGATGGCATGAAATGCGGCGGACTTAAGAATGAGCCATATCAAGTTGTAATTCTTTGATACGCTACTCGGTCAACGCATCTAAACACGCAATACACGGGGACCAAAGGCATCCAGTGCTTTGATTACGATGATTACATGGAATTCCACCACGTTTGGTTCGTCATAGCATGTTCGCTTTGAGTATACTTTCGACTCAATTATCACTAGATCGCAAAACCTCACAGAGACGTCAATAGAAAGCAAGGCAGGCGGTTCCTTGCACGACGTATGGGATCTTGTTTTCTGTAACGTATGTCCCAGGAGATGCACACTCTGGGGCTATAGGGAAGTGTGTGGCGCAGATAAACTACGATGTCAGGTTGAAACCAGACTGTCCATACGTATGATTTCCTTCGTTTATCGGCCTTTAGACCCATCCTTACTTTGAATAACTAGAGAATGGAGTTTTCAAGGATTTTCTTTTTCCGATATGCGGTTGGTAGGCAACATCATTATCATTTCTGATCACTATCTCGACTTGGCTTCGCAGTTGACCACAGCGATCTTCTCTGCCGCCGTCTACAATGACAAGAGCGAACAATGACATGATTGGATAGTAGGCGTTAGTATGAATAGGAAACAAGCAAGCGTTTGAACAGCTAATTGGTTATTCTCACTGCGTAACTATACGGTGCTGCTTATGTCAGTTAGCAATGTTATGATGCTGGCGTCAGATTATAAGCTAGGTTAGTAGATCCATTTGTGCATTTCCTATATTAATTCCTCCTTGGTTTAAGTCTAGCAGATAGATGTGACTGTATTGAAGCATATCAGCATGACGTTGAAGTGAGATATGTACCCTCTGAATCCTATCGCATCGGTGCTGAAGTCGTAACACTGCTTGATACAGATTCCCTGGGCTACCATCCGGCGTCCTTTGATAGACTCCATCACCCCATGAGTCCTTCAGATGATTCAACATTCATGCTGATTAAACAAGATTAATGCCCTCGTCTAACCCCGTTTAGGGTCTTATTTCCGTATCAACCTAGTTCGCTATTATCCAACATGCCATTTCCTCTGTCATTTCGCAGAAACGAACTTCTGTCTCGCGTGTTCTCGCTGTCTGTTAAGCATGCAAACAACAAGTGTATACATGTTAGAGCTACAAGTAAACTCGATAGTCCGCACTTTCTGCGCATCCAGACTATCTTTGGTACACTCTTCGCCGATATATCTCTACCCACCTCGTCAGAATATTAGAACTGGCTGGCACCGACTCCGTCCTATTCACTTTCTTTGTGTGCCTACAATCACACCATACGATACAGGCGTCGCCGAGCCCAGATAAGCGCCAAATCCAACGTTGGCCTACATGTTCCCATAGCAAATTAGAAGTATTATGACATCATGAAGTAACATTCGCACATGAAGCCGGCAGTGGACTTTGGATATGAGTGTTCAAGACCGGTTCCTGCGTCAATCACGATATCCCTATTATAACGCTTGCCGCAGGGATGGGTTATCTAAGTACCTATGCATACCAAAATGGCCGTACGCCTGATGAGCAGGTGAGTGTGTTGAGCAACGACTTTACAATACTTTTTGATGCACACCTGCAATTTATGCGATGGAAGGCTGAACTTGGTATGCCGCAACATTGTACTAAGCATGGAGATTGTCCCGCGTGATATCCAGCGCCAATTCGTTCTCGGGTCCCGGCTGTTGTTTTATGATTAACGGATGACGGCGTGTTAGAGGAAGTCATATCCGGATTATGTTGATTATATAAGGACTCCCGTCGCTAAGTTTAGCGTGTCAACAAGGATATAAAAGTTCCCTTTCCCATCTGATACTGGGCTAAGTACGACAGCCTAGTAGATGTTAGTATGCTTGGAATGGTGTTGATTAATTAGGTCCGTTGACTAGAACAGCTAAAATACCAAATTATATGTACTGGGATGGAGATTAAGAGTTCAGCTCATCCTGTAATCTAGGTCTGGGCGCTGAATGAGGGTAAGTGTGACCGGGTCTTGAAAGTGTCAAAACTCGGCAGTTAAATTAGCTTCCTACAATTCTCAAATCATATCTAGACTAATTATCATGTATTTCTTTATAATCCATGTTCATACTTAAGGACTCCATGATGACCAAATTCGATTATTGCCCTCACCTAAACTACTTACTTAGTATCTACTTATATTAGTCAATTAGCCAGAAACCGTTCTTTGTATGTCAGGCACTACACCTGGAGCCGACCATCTTGGAAGAGCTAACAGGGCACACCTTGTTGTACTGATACATCTTTGATTTCTCTGTGACTGGTCTTACTAGTAGCGTATCAGTTGTAGCTCTGGTATTGATAGCCTGTGGATATTTACATCACGTAGACTGAGCTGTCACACCTAGTATGCTCCTTTCAAGGGAGCATCTTAAACCAGAGCGTGTGAACCAGCGTTTGTGGTTGAGGCTGTTACATGTGCTTTAAAAGGATACTAAGTATTCCAGTTATGGAAGATATGGGCATGGTGAGTATACCTATCATAAGATTCTACGAAACTACAATATCAGGACAATGTCTATTTCTTACAGCCTAACATAATTGCTACTTTAAAACCCAGGCTATGACTGTGCAACGAGATTTCCGCAGGCCTGTCCGCCGTACTCAAGCGTTCAATTAGTTGTACAATATGACAATGTCTAGGATCTTGATAAGGTGTATGGGGTTAATTATTCTGTATTCTAACTACTGTAAGTGTCAGTATCAACGAAAAATCATCTACTCGTTTTTGCTAAATATCATCGTATCCGCTACTGTACTTTGATAAAGCACTTGCGGTAAGACGGTACGGAAGTGAGACATAGTCGGGACGCTATCTTCCGAAGTTCACATCTGAGATTTACTTCTTCCGAGACTCTGTTCACATTTCCCGGAGGGCTGACTACCTGCACTAGGTAGCATGCAACATCCGCTACAGCGCTTACCATTCGTATAATCCCCATGAAACTATTCTCAAGCGTACGTAGGTCAACCCCGTGGCGATTGCACGTGTAATATGTAGTGCACATGTGACATGCGTGAAATATGTACATAATATCTACTGGTCGGCCACCCCATACTGTACTGCTGTCGAACAGCGGTCTCGACAAATAAGAAAAATCAAATGGGCGACGCCGCTTATAGACGACGCTGGTTGGTTGAGGGTGCATTGGAGCATCGCAGGGAGATCCCTCACGTCATCCTGTCGCCACGTGGTGGAACGTCCCAGAGCACTATGTCCGAGTGATAGCTGTAAGATATGTCACAAACGTAGGGCCGCACATCGGCGCAAATTAGACCGGCACACACACACACACACATACGCACATCACTCGTGTGCATTGATGATCCGCCGACTTGGCGATGTAGTGAGGTAGATGAAGGGACCAATGATCTGAGATCTCTCGCAACCTACCGCACCGTGTTTACCGAGACCACGATTGATTGACGGATACGTATGACTAAGGGAGGGTTGCATTGGGCTGCCGTGATGGTCAGATCTGCTGTATGTAGCTGCTTTACGCCGGACCGGAGTGAAATTGTCCAGTAGCTTCAGATGGGCGGTGTAGCATCGCGCGAC